TTTAACACTCTATACTAATTATAGGCGCTAGATATAGTCTTCTCTAATTAAATTAAGAGTTATATAGAAGATATAGTTTGAAGCCTATTAGATCTAAGAAGAAGATAGATCTACGTAGATATAATCTAGTCTACTAGCTAATAAATAAGCTTAATCTATAAGGTAGATATTATAGTTAAGCTTAGTTATAAGATATAAATAGGTAATTTAAGATTAGAATATATCTATACGTAATATTAGACAAAGACTTAGTCTAAGAAGGTATACTAGATCCTACGCGCGAATATTCGTATATCTACGTAGGTAGTAATACCTGTCAATTCGTCTCTCCTTCCGTAATCTATAGCTACCGTATTACCGTTGCCTCGCTTATCCCGTCGCCCTATCGAGTCCACCTTTCTTCGTACTACGATATGCCTATCGGTACCACGTCCACGACTGCTGCTGCCTCGCTGGCTCTACTGGTTGCGAGCGCTACTACGAGATGGACCTGTCTTTTGAGAACCACGGGCGCGCCCTAGTGGACGACCACGACCACGACCACGACCACGACCACGACCACGATGGGTATCTACATGGTCGTAATAATGTGGACGAGCGTCGTGAACGAAGACGGGACCGACTGTGACATCAACACAGGCGCGCAACCATTGACTTTGACAGTCGATAGAAAAGCGAACATTGCCATCAGGGCGCCGCCCTCGTGCCAAAAGAGCTTGTTCAAGGGCGGTGTAGATTGCTCCTTCAATACCGTCTGTCTCTCGCCATCTCGATACCACCGGTGAGCTTTGCCTGCTCCTCCCTCATCCAGGCCATAATTTTCCCTATGGCGAAGAGATCGTGCTCTTTCTTGGAAACATCGAAGTCATCCTCTATCCACCCGGGTGTTCCGGCAGATAGCAGTAGTTCGCCAAAGTCTTTGCATGAGCCCCAGTCGATAACGATTGGGTCGTCGTTACTGTCCAACGCGATATTGGTTGGGTTGAGATCGTTATGAGCAAGCCCTAAAGCGTGAATATGACTGATAGCGTCACGGAGCTTCTGTTCAAATCGATTGAGGTCGAGACCGGATGTGTCAGTATGAAATCTGTGGTCCAGGATCTTTTGATAGCGAGTCAGAGCTATGCCAGTGATATAGCCACGTCTGACGACGCATCCGTGGTATGGTACGATGTTCGGGTGCGGGTGCCGAGCCAAGAATTCCATTATATGAACTTCTTCTAGTAGCATTTGGGGAACGATGCTCCCGCCGAACTCCTCAAGTAGGCAATGTATCTGTGGTCGCTTCAGAAACAGTTCCGGAGCATCGGCGTGCTGGGAGAGCAAAGTGGCGTCTTCGACAGCAACAAGTTTAGGGAACACGTCGTCGTCAGGGATCTGTCGTATATTCAAGCGAATATCTTGATCGGCTAAGTTGTACTTTCGAATTCCTAGGGCCTCGCCTGCCCATGCTCGATGATCGAAGTCGACATAAGTGAAGATCGTGCGACGGAACGCACCGCTGTCAGCTGCGAAGACTTCGAAGAGGCTGACGTCCTGTTTCGTTATGGCTTTCGTAGATGGTGCTTCGGCCGCATCTGTAAGCATCGTGGGCTGTTATGGTAAGTGTTTGGGATTTTGTAGCGCACAGTTTTCGTTTTCAAGCTTATCGAGAAAGCCGATGCTCCGCCAAGAGCTGGATCCTTGTCTGGCTACGTAGTCTGCCTACGCCGCGTCTGCGGGAGCTCTGCCGCTACTGCAAGTACACACTGATAGAGTAGCAGCTTGCTGCTTGGTAAACTGTGGCCCCAAATTAATGGCTGAGCAGTTGCCACGTCGCCATGCACGCGAACGAGGGTTAATATAAAATGCTCTCAGACACTTGTGGCTACGTTTGCACGGTCGCTCACAGTTCACTGACCACTTGCAACCAATTGATTCAGCTACCATTGCGTATACGCGCTCACGATGTACGTAGATGCGTCTAAGATTAGACTTGAAAGACTGACAGTCCAAGGTGTACCCAAGTCACAACAATCAGAGTCGATGTCGATGCTCAAGGTCGCCGTCGTACACGCACGGAGGTCGTTACTCGCGATTGCGGGTTGTCCAGCTGCCCTCAATCTGCAAATTATCGACCTCCAAGGTCGTGAGCTCTGGCTCCACGACAAGATCGCCGTTGCGAATTTCGAATGACCCTGTATTCGCTACATACTACATGGGACAGTCGTTCTCGGAGGCGTCTGACACAGATATGTCGTGCACCGGAGGTGTAAGGTCACAGCGATCTGCGTCTATATCGAAAGGCGAGCGTTGCTCCGGGATGGACACTTATCTCAGGCATGGACTGAGCGGCTGACTATCAGTCACCTTTGTCTCATAATAACTTCGATATGGCTTCCAAGCTGTTTGGATGATCCACATCACAGTGAATCGGCTGGTGGTCTTAGCGATGGTTTGATCGATTGTAAACGCTCGAACGCCCACGGTAGTGCGGTTGGTAGCACCGGCATCCAATCAAGTTGTAAATCCCTTGCATGCGCGTGACTTCTAGGCACAGGCAACGCTCAACTGATGCAAGTCATGCGAGGAGAGGCTTTTAGATAAGGATTGGGAAGTTTCACGGAGCTTATTCCGGTTTGGCAACAAAGGATGAGTACGGCGGGGGTTTATAACATGTGAGATGAGAAGCCTTTCTTAACGTTGTTCCCACCCCTGTGCATGTAACCGCCGTCTTTCCCACGTAGTGACCATTGGTTGGTGGTCCTAGCACTAAAACAAACCACGTCCTTCGACCAATTCTGTACAGCTTTTCGAAACTCCGCATACTTGCTATGGACTCAACTTCAGACCCTTTCTCTCCGATTAGACCTGACGATGCACTATGCTGCAGCGTTATTGATGGGGATCTTCCTGGAATTGAGGATGATATACTCAGTCTCATCGCGAAGAACCCTATCGCGGGTCTGACACGCGCGATTACCCTCGCAATACGTATGAAGAACGTGAGCGCCTTCAGTCTCCTCCTCAAACATGCCGAAGTCGACGATGACATCGCAGAGGCCGCTGCACAAACTGAAGATCCAGACATATTCCAAGTCATCCTAGACCACAATTGGCCTATAGACCGGAATCTCCGGCGACGCTCAATACCATCTCTCCTAATGTACGTAAGAATGATGGAGCTACGATCTGTGTCCGGCGAATATTGACCGAATTCTCAGCTTCTCCGTCTGTAATGTGGTATTCCTCGACTGGCTTCTACAGAAAGGCGCAGATCCGAACGCAATTTCCATACTGAATGAGACGGCGCTGTCTTTCGCTATACGCGAGGGAACACTTTCGGCTGTCAAAAGACTGTTAGTTGCTGGCACGGATGTCTTTCGAGGAGATCTATTCCACGCAGCGGCAAGTCGGGAGTGCTCGTCTGATGTTACGCTCATTGTTGATCTACTCGTCGAGCGAGGAGTGCCTCTCGACACTTACGAGTTCGATAACGATATTGCTAAGCCATTGAGATACGGCTACAAGTCTGGAACGGCGCTCCATGTTGCCTGCGAGAAGCACAATTACCACGCAGTAAGAGCCTTTTAAAAGCACGGAGCCAACCCACGTTGCCGTATGAGGAAAGGCGAACGACTAGTACCACCTACGCCAATCGAGATCGCATTGCAAGATCTGGTGCTGACACAGATATTTCATGAATATATGGAGGCTGCGCAGCGGGAAGGCGAAGGTACTTTGGCAGAAAAGCAGTAGTGACGTGTGTCGCAAGGAAGGGCCGTAAGAGCAATGATTTTAGTCGAGCCCACGGGATTGCCTGCTGTCGGAAAAGACTCGCAAAGTAGGAGAGTTCCTAGGCTTTGGCACGAGGTGTGGAATGGAGAGGGGGGCGAACGTGAGAGTGAGGTGTTGAACTCTGGTTAAGGCCGTCGATTTCGATTTATAGGAAGCGGCTCACTGATGCTTATGGTGTCCAGAGATCTTTGTACGCTGGTCCACGATGCGCCAAAGGCCGCCGCGGCCACGGCAGCTCCGAGTCGTGTACTGGGAATAAGCGGGCTGCACTCGAGGACGTGCGGGAGAGGCGGCTCATCGTTCAATTGCACATAGAGCCAGTCGAGGTGTTCCTCGTCCCAAGAGCTGGCTGAGGGCGCATCTTCGAACAAGTCTGGGACGTGAGAGCGGTCTGTCCGATAGAGCATAGCATAATAATGCTACCACGCAGTGAGGATGGATGTGGCTTTGGGAAAGCAAATGTGAAGACGCGCGCGCGTCGAACTCGTGACGCGGGGTATCGTTCGCAGCTACCGCTTTTGGATGTTTGTTTACGGCCTTCTCGAATCCTTTTCCCTCACCTTCACCACCGCACCATCCATTTGCAGCGCACTGCCATCTCACAGCCGCCATCCATCGCACTGCCATGTCACGCCCGCAGTACTTCGCCCACTGCGATGCAGCTGTCCCCATACTGGCGCCCTTCGACGCGCCACGTTCAAGACGTTCTGCACACCTTGGTCCACACCCCGTCTCATCCTCGACCTGGAGCGGTCCGTCACGAGCTGCATGAGCGCGATCCATCTCCTCTTGCTACCGCCTCAGCCGTATTCTTCCTCCTCGGCCTCTGCAAACACGCTTCGTCACCCCCTCGGCATACGTCTCCAACTGAGTCGTCCGATGATGACGCATCCGGAGAACGGATCCTGTCCTTTGACGTACGATTGCTCGCCTTACGCTCGTGCCATGTACGTGGCTAACCTTTGCTGCAGCAGCCGTAGCTGCTCAGTATCAAGCTCGCTTTCTCGACAGCCTCTAGCCTAACCCTCCTCCATTGCGCAAAGCCGCTATACACTACCGGTACCTCGCCGCGAGAGCTTCGCCATCTCATCCTCACTCTTCACGATCGGGTCAAGCAACGCAATATACGAGACGTTCGGGAGAAGACACACAAACGAACAGGACTGCATGGCAAGAGGAAGGTCCGGGATGGAAGCGGGGAAAAGACGAAAGTGGATGGACACTCGGCACCGTCCAGCGTAAACGCCCGCCCGGGTACTCCGGCTAATTCGGACACTTCGGCTACTCCACCACTCTTGTCAACGCCGGCCTCACGCTTACTGTCCAGCATCTTCATCCGTCCGGTACCTCGTCCATCTCCCGACAGATACAAAGCCTGCTAAGCGCTCCATCATGCCCGATCTGTCCAGTACCGCCACCGGTACAGCTGGCGATTTCCTCCAACGTGCGTACGCCCTCGATGGTGCAGCGGACTCGGAACAGCTGTACAAAGAGTGGGCATCATTATACGACACACATCTCGGAGAAATGCAGTATGCTTCTCCTCAGCGAGCAGTCGAAGCGCTTCTCCAGCATCTGGATTCCAAGTCGCAAGAAGCTCTTACGGTCCTTGACGCCGGCTGTGGGACTGGCCTGGTTGGTGAATGTCTCCAGCGATCTTCTTTTCCGGGAAAGTTCATGATTGATGGCCTGGACATCACGCCTGGAATGCTACAAGTCGCTCGCAACAAAGCTCTCTATCGAGACCTCGAAGTCGCCGATCTGACAAAGCCTATCAATCGTTCCGATGGCTCTTACGGAGCCGTGCTCTGCGTGGGAACCCTCACGAAGGGACACGTCGGACCAGCTGTTCTCCGCGAATTCGCTCGAGTTTTGAGGATTGGCGGACTGATTGTTGCAACGATTCATGACGAGATCTGGGAGAGCGGAGGGTACAAAAGTACTGTCACAGACCTTGGAAGATCTGGAGCTGTGGAGATTGTTAGTACGGCTGCATTCGGCATGCTGAACGACAGTAGCGAAGCCGGCCGAATGGTCGTTCTCAAGAAACGAAGCTAGAAGAAGCTGTTCTCGTTGCATTGCTGGATACGCACACTCTGATATGCCGATTTAGATAACCTCTGATCCTCTCCTTGTTCCCACGCGAGCATGAGACGGTCAGCTTCCCGAGCCAAATCGCGCTGCCCAACTTTCACCTCTCCTTCATCTCTCGCACAACAACCAGGACCTGGGATATCGAGAAGAATGAGACATGTTCGGACTTGCGAAACGCAGTTGAGGTACAAGGGAGATCTCAAGAAGGAAAAGTTCAAGTAATGTTCCACGGTATGAAATGTCTTCGAATGCTACTCCTGACGGGGAATCTCAGCCGTGAACTGGGCTGTTTTTGCGAGCCTTCAGGGACTCCCCCAACCCAGCCTTGTGCATCCAACCGTTTAGGTGGGCTTCCGAGGGAGCGAATTTCTCATCCAATGCCGGGTCTGCGTTGCACCGCCAAAGAGACCCGACTCAATTGTCCGCACGAAGCATCCATCGACGGCCATTAAGCGTTCGAAACCTCCTTCAGACCCTTAACTCAAGTACAAGATCCCACACACGATCGCCACGACCATCACCGCCGCGGAGAGAGTGAAGGCGAAAGTCCTGCCAAAGCATCTTGCCGGTCTCGCTCTCTGTTCAAGATTTGCTTCCAAATTTGCGTCGGAAGTTGACGACCTCCAGAACTTGCCGGTCTGTTCTGCTGATCGTTTGCTGGCTGGGACTACGATACGAGAAGCTTGAATTTTGGCTGGGAGTTGTGAGGCCTCAGGGCGGTGGAATGTTGCCGCCATGGACATGGCTGTGAATTGCGGGCGTGGCTGGCCGAGGGAAGCAGCCGCGTCGTCGCACAAGATGTCGAGAGAGAAATTGAGAGAAGAGCGCTGTCCAAATCCACCAGATGGTTGAGATGGATTATTGGTACTCCTCTTTTCTTCGCCAAGCATTGCATTGTCTGACGGCATTCCTTCCATCCAATAGCGCCAGACGCTGGCTGTGCTGACTGTGAAGGTAATTCTCATTGCGAGCGATATAGTGGATCGCATGTTTGGCTTGGCACCACGAAGACAGCGCGAGGAATTATATCTTCCACGCCATCCGCCCTAATCTCGAGGACAATACAATCACAAGCGCATAGGCGCATCCATCTCCTCAGGAACAAGATCGACCATGTCGCTCACCACACCCACCAGTCCAACTTCTGTCTTTCTGGGACAGGAGCGAACGGCAACGCCGCCTCCACCTTACCCGAGCTCCGACCCGACTCTTACTACGCCACCACAGACAACGCCCAGACAGCTTGAGTCGCTCTCTCCCGGAGCTGCGAAGGGACGTGGGCGCAAGAACGTTGCATTATACTCAATCGTAGCTATTCTCTTGGGCAGCGGCGAGGCACCGGTACTGACCACTGCTACAGGCGACACAAAAACCTCGACAACGACGACGATCCCACACTTGTCGACACTTTTCACCTGAACAACTGGAGGCCATGACGCGCAGTGAGAAGCGGTTTTGGTTCTGGTTCGCTGTGTTCATGTACGTTGGCTTCGCTATTGCCTTAGCTGTGATCATTAGCAGTGCGGAGAAGAACGGCTAGCATGCATTTTCACGGCAGGTCCCAAGCACAGGGGAAAGAGCAGCTGGGGAAGAGAAGATGTAAACAAAGAGAGGCTCAAATATCTTGCGACTCCAACTCGTACGTTTGATCTCTGTCAAATTTCCGCACTCTCACACACTCTCTAATACTGCAACCAAAGCTTCAACCAAGTTCAATCAAGACTCAATCAAATTCAACCATGGCCTCCAATCCCAAATGCGACGCTCCATGCGTGCTCCCAGTTCCCTGGATTCCGAATATTACGAAAGCTCGAACTGCTCTCTGGTCCACTGCTGCCGTCATTGTTGCTTCCACTGCGCTCTACCGTCGTCTGCATGGCAAGCCTCGTGAATCTGTTCGGCAAATTCTATGGCCCGCAATCAAGATTATTGAGCCGATCGATCTGGTCTTCTACACGGTATATGTCTCGCACGATGTCAACAGGTTTCAAGAGGACATAGGCTTGCTGGTAGTGACTTAGGTAGTCACTGTCGCTGTTGGCCTCTATGAACTTGCCGATTATCTGGACCTCTTCCCCGGTACCAAGGAGCCTCCAGCTGGCTCCGATCCTGAACTTGCGAGCGAGGATGAGCTTCAGTCACTCAACGCCTCCATGCGTACCCTCCACGAGGGATCGCCTGACCGTCTTCGGTCTATCTCTGCCTCGCCCTCGGTCGACAGAACCGCCAATGCCCCTGACGATGGGCCCTCCTAAGCAGGAGTAAAAGTCCCTCGCGAGTAGCGACCGCGTTGGGCGTCGATCTGGAGTGGTGACCAGGTCGGTCCCCCACGATACGTTCGAGCCTTGACGAGGCGTGCATAGCAAGAGATTGAATACCATTACACGATTTATCTCCTGCTCGGGCTCAGTACCCATGGTCTTTGGTTCATTTCCGACACCACATTCTTGTTCCGACCATGGGGAAGCGAATACGAACGTCCATCTGCTAGCACCTTCCATGCATCACCTCGTGACGGAAAATCAATCGCCGACGAGAAGCAGATGATCACCTTCAGCGAAAGCTGCTTACCTCAATGAGCGCCGCTGCGACCCAGATTACTGCTCCCACATATGAGCCACGAAATCTCCACACCTGGCACCTAGGAATCAACATGGCGTCCAGCTGTTGCCAAATGGCTGCGGGATTGATGCTTAATCGAATGCAGCTCATCGTCTTGATTGCAAGGCCGCGGACGCTTCTCTGCTTTGGTCCAGCAGCAGTTTCCGGAATGAGACACAACCGTCCTATCGATAGTGAGACAATGTGGAGAATGTCACATGCAAATCATCCGCATGACCGGTACCATGATGGGAGCCGCCAACACAGAATACACCTTGCGAACGGCCACAGGCAGTGAATCCGAGAACCGGGCTGCTCTAGGACTGCATCTTGAACACCGGCTCGTGCGACCCACTCACAATCGACGTGAAACCCTGCCGTCTCCGCATCAATGACTAAGCCATTAGGGCCGCGTTTCCACCACGGAGCTTGCGCTTGCGCAATGGGTCTTCAATCTCAGACGATCGCTTATGTCTCATCGTCTCGCCTGAGACCGCCTTCCACTTCGATTATATGGAGGCACTGGGCCCGCCGCCACGTTGAGCGCCAGGTACAATATACCATTGTGGGTACGACTCCTTCCTGGCACTCTACGTGCTACGACATCTGCCCATGCCGCTTCAATCAGGGACGCCTCTGGTGGACGAACAGTCTTTATATAAGAACCATGGCCGACATGCTTTTGCCAAAAGACGATAAACACACTCCTTCTCACAATCCTCGCTATTCATTCATTCCGGAGAGTGCATAACAACCGCTTCAACGTTAGCCAGCTGCCCAATTACAAGCAGTCCTCCAGGATGTTCTCCCGCTCCACCGTCGCCGCGCTGGTCGCGCTTCTCGCTTCTACCGCCGCTGGCGGCTATGTACTCCCGTCCTCAGGCACGGCCTCGACCACGCAGTTCCTAATCGGTCCCGAGTTGTCTGGCGGTACGGCTTGCGGCGTCCAGAAGCTCTCAAATGGAGCCACCTCGCTTCCAAAGGGCGCCATTGGTTCAGGTGGTGGACCTGGCTACCTCTATGTGAGTCGCGCCGCGAACCTCTGGCCCGTAATCTCGATCACAGAGCGGATCGCTAACGACTACGCCAAATCTAGGCCGCAATCAACCAACTCGCTTTTGGCGCGAACCCCTCCGTATCCTCCTCCGGCGGGCCCGGTGGTGCATGCGGTATCTGCTACAGCATCACCCCAGTCTCTTCCAGCGGCACGGCTTTGACAGCCAACACGCTCACCTTCATGATCGCCGACGAATGCCCGGCCTCTGTCGCGCTCTCCGGCGGTAAACACTGCAACACCTGCACCACCTCTGAGAAGAACGACCTGGGCCAGACGTGGCATTTCGATATCGCGGTCGATGCCATGAGTGATGCGCAGTACAAGACCTTTTTCAACGGGGTTACTGATGGAACGTAAGTCTTGCGTTCGCCACATCTTGCCACGCATAATCTTCCGCCATTTTGCGTGGACAGCTGATGGGTCTTGTGCGCTGACACTCCTGACAGTAACTGGAAAGAAGTCCAATTCACCAAGACTTCGTGCGGCTCCGCCAATCCGAAGCCAAGCGTTGCCAGCTATGGCTGTATCTCTGGCAGCTGTCCGAACCAAGCCGGCTCCGTATGCGAGAACACCGGCTTCAGCAAGCGTACTTTCGCACGTCAGTTCACTGGGCTCTAAAGAGGGCCATTGGAGAACGACGAGGGTCGGAGGAAGGGATGCGTCGTGCGCGAAAAAAACTGAATTCTTGTATCACCACCATTTCCCGCACAAAAGCTTTGGATCTCCTAGATCATCCACTCTTTATAGCAGTGTATAACTTTGCTTCGTATGGTAGCAGTGCTACTTATATCATTTTGCACCCAAGAAGGAGGCAGGCTCTTCTAACAAATCGCCTGGTTCTCTTTGCTGATAGTATAAGTGACGTTATGGGTCTCTACGTTTGGGAATCGTAAAATCCGAGAGAAAGCAGATCGACTCTCTGGGAGTGTTGCGGTAGATCTAACTGGAACACCACGCGAGATGCCCTCCAAAAGCGTGCTGTCGGCGGAGGAAAGAGATGCAGCTATAGTGCGGCCATCGACGTAATGATCAGTGCGAAGGATGTATTTATCGGCTTCCAAGGGATAAAAGTGCAAAGCAGTGCTCGTGCATGATGATAGACGGCGCCCCCGTCCGTACGGCTATCCTCAAAGCCATCTCGCTATCCGATGAGTCCATGGTACGAGGCCGGTGTACAGTCATAACATCCCGTACCAAGTCTCCAATTTGTCCTCCATATGTTTCCAAGTATCCTCTCCTCCACCACCAAGATTACTTCCATCTTCCTCGGCTCTTTGCAGACTGAGATCCAACTTCCATCATTGCCAAAACACCCAATGATATTTCAACCCCGTAACAAGAACCACAACCGCAACAACCAACCCAACAGCAGCAATCGAATACCCAGCAATATATAACTTCTTGGTCCGCGCCTTCCTCTTTTCATCCCAGATTTTGAATTCTGCATCGGAAAGCTGCATCACGGTATCGTTGCCGCTTTTCTTGGTCCATGGAAACAAGAAGTATGGCGCCATCGTCGCCATTTTATTTGTTGTAGATGTTGAGTGAGGGACCGGGTACAGTAATATTGAGGGTACACCGTCGATGTGTTGGTGGGACAAGAAAGCATGATTTCGGATGGCATATATATGTGAGTGTCGCGTGCCAAGCCAGGTCAAACAAGCGTCGAATGATTCTTCCCACAGACGGCATTGTAAGCAGACGAAGCTACCGGCTCCTACCGATGGAGATGAGGCTCGCAGATAGCATGTTTGAGTTGACAAGATCTCAATAAGCAGCACTTGGCACGTATCGTCGGATTCAGAAGGATGCTATACTGCTGGGCCCGTCCATGATCGGATATCTCAGATTTTTTTGTCGAGATGCTGATTGAAGACCTGTCTCGGCCCTGGCTTCGATGGCCTTCGGTCTGTCTATCCAAGTCCTGCGACACAGCTCGTCGCAGTCGTGAGAGCGGTATTGGTAGGACAAGTACAGATACCGAGCCCTCCTTCCTCCCTGACCGTCTCCGTCTTCAACACACATCCCCTATGGTCAGTTCTAGCGGTGCTGTTGTATCGTGTGTGAATCCACAGTCTCCACGGCCGCCGTACTTGGTGTGCGTGATAGTTGTGCTACAGGCAATCGTGGTGAGCCAACATGTTGAAGAGGGAGCGAATCTCGTTAGTCGTGGTCAAATGGCAGTCGGTGGCAGAAGGCACTGCGCATCGACCCCTGTCGAAGAGAGTATTGGGAGCGGTTTCACGGGGGCTACCGGCACAGTCAGTGTGGGCAGTAGTGATGTGTCTATCGTCGGGTTGGCAGTATGCTTCCGGGATGAGCATGATTTTGGTGGTACATTTGCTTGCCGTTGATCGGTTTTCGTAGCTGATGCCAAAGTGACCAAAGTGGTGATGGCGAGAGTGAGAAGCGGTTTTAAGCTTCTTCCGGGGATTGATGCCGATGGCAGCAGGTTGGGTGTCTCGATCTCGGTGTATATATCTTCTGCTGCACCACAAACTCCCAACGACTCGTTCAGCCTAGCTAGCGTCATGTCAGGCGCATCTGAGCCATGTGAAGAACATTCAGTCAGACTGAGCCCTCATTTTACGATCTGTAATGATGGGACAGCGCTGTAAATGCTATCCTCGAGCGCATAGTATCTCCATCTGGTCGGACGGTTGATCTGGCTGGCGCACGAGAGACCAGCTCGTGCGCCCTGAAGCCATTGATCAGGGCGATGATGTGGTGGTGCCGACTCACATGCGTCTCGGACTGGAACGCTTGGCTGGTAGCGTGGCAGACCTCCTACCACTCTTATCTCTCGACTCCGCTTGAGCATGTGTTGACTCTCCATCACCTCCTAGCTTCTACGTTCCAGCCCACGGTCCGCGATTCGGTGTCCACTAAGCTATCTCTTTGCAGTTTGGCCGCTTCTTGTTTACAGATAGCCTTTGCGATGGCTTCCGTGCGCTCATTGGCGCGTATCTCGGACGGCGACCGCTTGCATTTGGCGGGTTTCACCTTGGGAGAAAGCTTTTTGGGTTGCATGGTAGTCTCTCGCGCCTTTCACGGCGTACAAGGCTCAGTACTCGGTCGACATTGGTGCGTTCTGCTGTCTTGGAAGCTGATTTCGGCGATGTGGGCGGAGACGGCGGCCTGTTCGGGGTTGACGCCGCTGCCGGGCGCCATAGCATTTTCTTCCCTCGTCAACATTTGACTCCGGATGATATTAGCTATACTAAATCGCAGCGAGAGGATGTCGCTGGTGATGGAGCGCTGGATATGGAAGTGTAGACCGAACGCTCGAGCGCGTCACGCGATGGAGATGCTGATGCCAAGCCCGGCTGCTTGGACATCCTGGAGCCGGCGGCGAATATCCGAGGTATCCGAGATGATTCTTGCTACGACAGCGGACAAGGAGCCCACATGCCGCAACTTGCCTGGCAATGCGATAATGTTACCATCCAGTAGATATGGATAGGCTCCAAATGATGCGAAACGATTGAGCTATCTGTTGCATGGAAAAGGCTATGTTATGTCGTGATTTGAGTCTAGCTTTGCAATATCGTATTGCGTCGACTGACACTTCTTTCAGATCGCTGCACACTCAAGGGACTTGAGCGCGGCAATTGCAAAGGTTCATTACCGAAGGAAACACAGTACATTCCGCCAAGTTCTGCTACAATTGATCCTGGGAACAACACACGATCGCGAAGCGATACTATCACTTCTTTGTCGAGAGTGCCACACCCCCCGAAAAGGTATGGAGCCTATCATTCGAATGGGAGAAATGTCGCGATATCTGGCACTATCATACCAATCAGGCTGCGGCTAGATATCTCCCGACAGATGCTATAGCTACCACAGCGTTTGAGAACCAGGAGAAATTTTCAATTGCAAGTGGTCTGCCGATCAACTGTTCGTCAATTCGGTCAGACAAGGTACTAGAAGACAGAAGCCTCTCCCCGGGAGCTACTATTACGGAACTATGGAGGCATGTTCCTGTTCTCATTCTCTGACTTTCGTTCTCCTATGTGTATCCAGATTCCGCGCTCGTAATTAATTGACCACACCACACCAGACTAGGCAGGTCCTTGATGTAGAGTTCGCCGCCGTGCATGCTGTCCATTCTGAAAATCTTGATTCTCATCATCTTCATTCGTTTTTGTTCATCTCCAGCATTCGAGTGATAAGCTTCTCATGTCTCTAAAGACACCGGGGGCGGACGTATTAAGCGGCGACCGGCAGGGTTGCAACGATGTTCGATCGTTCGTCGTCTGGTCACCTGTTAACAAAGTCCGCAGTAGCTAAGATATTCCACAGCTCACCTCCAACTCAAGCAAAGTTTGCCCTGCACAACTAACATTCTCGTATGCCTTCAAGACACAGTGCCCTACAGAAAGATGAGCAATAGAGGAGAGCATATTACGGGCTCTTCCATACCGTAATCTGTGCCCCATGCGGACATGTCTAGTTGGTCGTTGTAGTCTGGAGCCCATACGTATTGGAAGGCTGAAAACGAGTCGTGTTCTTCCGAGTAACAAGCCAGCCCATGGTCTCGAGTCGCAGCGATACTGATTGATTCGGATGAAGACCACTGGCAATAGTTGCCCTCGTATCGTTGGACCTTGATGCGGAAGGGTTTGAACGAGGTCGTCAAGGCAAACAAGCCAACAAGTATGAAGACTAGGACACTAATCACTATTGCCATGAGAGTTATCACAAAGATTTCACATTGTCGCTCCGCGCAATCCTTTCTTTCGCGTCGCTTGGTCTGTCCTACCACGGCGGGCTTTTCGATGTCTTCCACCGCCGGCAGGTGGCTTGTGCTCGAGTACTGCATAGCAGTGTCGGTCCAGTAGGTAGTGGTTGGCGGAATCATCACACGAAAGAAATTCTGTGAAAGATGTGTTGGCGAAGAGTTCTCGAAAAGGTCGCCGTGCTTTCAGCTTCTCTCCCGTGGGTCAGATAGCCAAGAACCCAAATGAGTTATTTTGTGGTGTGCGTACCAAAGTTTAAATCACACAAACCTACCGCAAGCTTTCCATTTGGTCTTACTACCATCCGCTTGGCAGCCTTTCATCCTTCCATTAATCCAATTTGAGATGAAATATATCTGTCAGAGCTGGTCCGTCATTCTTTCATCTCCCTTACACAACCTTGCTCCAACGCCCCCAATCAACATGGTACGACTATCAGACTATCCCGATTATGAGTCGACGCGAGATTCGATTGAGTGTCTCAACCTCAGCGAGCTACCATCTGTGGCCGTCACTGAGCAGAACCTCAGACTTAGGAGGCTTCAGCAGCGACTTCCCTGGATCTTGGCATCTCTCTACACCATCGTAATCCTGGCCGGGGTCTCCGTCTATTGCCTTCCATCCAGGCTTGATGAATTTCGCATAGAGCTGGCGATGTATAATGACACATCTTGCGACGGCTCAAGAGACACAAGGCCCTTGCTGTCTCGACCTCACCGGGTTTACAACCCACAGAGCCAGGGCGCGCTCGTTGCAAAGGCAAATGAAGGACCCGTGTGCGGCATTTGGAATCGCGGCGCCCCGTTCTCTGCTTTTCAATACCGTTGGTCCCAAGAGTCTTTGGTACCGGAGCAGACGCAGTCATGGGAGGAATGGTATGGTCGGTATTCCCACATGATGTCCTGATCAAAAGTCTCCGATGCAAGTACTGACCGTTCCAGCGGATCAATGCATACTCAAAGCCTTCGAGAATCTCCACTGCACGGATGAACCATTGATCAACGTGTTGGTATGTACTCTGAACAAGGGCTTGCAGTGATATGCTCTAACGTACTTTACAGACCGGGATGGACACTTCATCCGCGACGTGCTTGTACGTAGGGCAGGACAATTCGACCAAAATGCGAAGTGTGTCACTTGAGTGTACGGAGTCCCGGAACAGGAGGTAATCGACTGCTACTTCCGATTATGATGGTTGTTCTTGTCTTCTTGGTGACGCAAGAGACATCAATCATGGAAAGCTCACCTCGAAGAAGTCAGCCGCAAACGAAAAGAAATGCACCTGCTGCTGGATACTGTGCCTTCTCACGATGAATAGAGGAAACAGGAAGGGGGTTTTGTTGTTTTCCGGTCGACGCGCAGATGAATTGTTCTCTTTAGCAACTCTCACACTCTGACACTGCCAGAAACGCTTTTTCCATCAAGTCTCCATCAAGTCTCGATCAAATCTCAATACAAACGCAATCAGATCAAAATCAAATCAAGATCGAATCAAAATGGCCAAAATCGACTGGAATGCCGCCTCCCGTCTCAAAGTCGCCCGGCTGGTCATCGCTGGTGTGGCTAATGTTGTTTTCTGGTGGATCGTTCGGGATAGGCTGGAAAGGGGCGAGAGCCTCCTTTCTCGCCTGAGAAGAGCCCTCAGTTGCGCTATCTGGATTTGTGGTCTGTCGGAGATTGTCTTGGGTTTGGTCACTATAGCCGTTGACTGGAAGAGCTGCAACCTCTTGGATATTGCACTCTAGTGCTGTGGAGCAGTCGGCTGGGGTTCCGCCATGCTTGTCGATCTTCTGGAGCGGAATGGCTTGTTCCGGCTCAGAAACCTGCCTCACTATACTTAAGTCCCGCGGGAGTAGTGACCCCGTCGGGCAGCTGGTCTAACGGGCTTTACAAGCGGTCTCCCAGTGTCTAGTCAGGCAGACCAACCATTGAATTCGATACTACAAAGCAGCCACTATCTCACACAGTATCCGGACCGCAAGATGTAATACCATCGGCATCGACAAGGAACTTCGAGCATTTGATCGGTGTTTGAGCCCACCTATCTCTTCACAGCCCGACAATCTGAATACATTTTCCCTGCAGACCATTAGCAGTGTATCGACATGGAGATTTGATTGGAATTCGAGCCCGCCATCCCTTCTGTTACGACGTGGTGCTTTGGATGCATTTACATATATATCTCGCCTGCAGTCCATCACCGGTGCAAGATTGAAAAGAGCATTTTGGTAATTAGCATCGACGGTTCGGAGTGAGAGTATGTCAAGCCGAGCTAGGGGTGGTTTGCATGGAGATAGAGTATGTGAGAGCTTGATCCAGTATCCAGGGCCAGTGAAGATTTCCCTGCGACGTATCAGCCGTCTGGCCGAGTATAACATCGAAGCAACCGAGAGCTCTCACGGAGGAACGCACGTTGATGTCGTGGACTTGACCGCGAATGCCGGATTGTTCAGTAAGAACGCTTTTTTCCCCTCCCTATCCCTCCCAAGGAATGGACTTCTTCCGTCAACTTGATATCTACCATACCATCTTTTGCAGAGTCGAGAAGCTGCGATGTCCCTGTACCCCAGAGCTGGTAATCCCTTATTCTTTCGCACTTCGCACGCCACCTCTTGTTTGTCCCGTCTCACTCGAGTAAAGCAATTCTAGATGTGGATCGCAAGCCAGAAGATGGGCGATCTTTGTTCAGTCAATGCGGGCGCCGTGAAGCATCTGCATATCGGTATCTCAGGGATCTGAGTGACCGCTGAGGGCTGAAGCTATTAATTTGTCGAGTAGCGACTCCTACGGCTGCGCTTGTTTCTGGCCTCCCGCTCCGCGCTGTAGCCTGTCCTTTGCTCCCAAAATTCCGCTACGCGTCGCCTCATTTTCCTCCTCGAATTGTCAAACATGAAGCAGGTTTGTGTCGCGCAGGTCCTTCACAGGCAAGGTTCGAACTTCGTCATACCCTACCTGTGAACTTGTACGATGATTCGTCATGGATCTCAGGAGGCGCTGGGACGGGAAGTCGTTTTGAAAGGCGCCTACTACGGCTTCGCTTCGCTTCTGGCTTGGAGGCTGCGCTTGTACGCGGGTGCTGTGGGACGTATTGGTTCGAGCTGTATCTGCGGCGAGTCTCATTTAGTAGCTCGCCTCTCCCGACATAGGTGAAGCTTCTTCAACCGCAATTGTAACGGTAGCCCCCTTGAGCGAGGAAACAAAATGTTCAGGGGGAAAACTCGGGTAACTCTCACCGCGGCACTAGATCAAGCCTCAGTTTGGTCAAGAGAATTCTTCCTTCAAAAATTCGTATCTTACGCCACATACATAAATTTCACTTGCGAAAAATCTGAGGAATATGTCTTACCATAGTCAAAGCTCCTTCAACAAGAATGGTAACGATACCTCACCTGTGGGATGAGACAAAACGATCGGAGGGACAAGTTGAGTGACTGAACACGCGACTGTAAGCTTGCGCTTGGGTTTTCGATGGCATTGGCACCATCAAAATTCTGCGGCGTCCGCCACACTGATCAAATATCTCCCAAATCTGGTAGAGAGTGACATGTGGCCCATGTGAAGCTCCTCCGACAAAACCGATACCTCACCTTAGACGGGAGGAAAAGCGATCCGCGCACGAAAGACAGGCATGGCAACGCAGCCGGTCTTGGCTTTTCCATGTGATGCCCGGCGTCGGGAATTCTTTCAGCTGCCCCAAAATCCGCACTGTCCCTCTCTGAGGTTAGATTCTCTGGCGTAAACATTGAGTTGTATCTTCGAGCCAAGGTGAAGCCCCTCCAGCTAGAATTACAACGATACGCGTTTTCGATGAGGACAGACCGACGAGGAGAGTACCATCGTTGGCGCACGAGCTCCGAGATTCGCCGCAATCACAAGTCAGGACCTGCTCGGCCCGATGAGGTATATGAATAAGAATTTCACCTCAGCTCTCAACCAATTACAAGCGCAGTATCAATGCGAATACACCAGGTCAGTCCAAAATACAGCGTGAAGGCAGCAGCAGCGGCAGCAGCATGGCAAGTGAGCAGCAACGGTAGGTACAGTTTTTTTTTTGGCCTCTTGAGCCCACACACCGTTAGGCCATAATTTTTTGCCGGCACCGTGTATGAGGTCGTTCGAGTTCAGCTCGACTGACTCAGTTCTCGAAGTAATCATCGAAGGCACCAAAGAGCCGCGCAGTTTGCCAATGTTCCACAGTAGCCGACGAATGCTCTCCGCTTTTGCTCACTTGGTCTCCGGAGCCTCTGGAGCTGCCCAACGCCGAGCCACTTCCGACAACAACGATATGCGCCAGACGGCCGGCGATCAAACGACCAGCCTCAAGGAAGACACGGTACACGAGTCAAAGAAGATGCGCACTGAGCGCGACCTCACGAATGATGCAAAGCAGCAAAGGGAGAGGAAGAGCTGGCTACATTTTCATAACTTGAACATTTTCCGAGCGCCGCCGAGCACGCGCGACGCAGGGCCATTCCATCGCCTCAGACACTGTCTCTGAAGTACAACTATTGATACTGAGTCCAAGGCAAAGAGGATACGGAGACGACAAGATCTAGACCACCAAGCCGGCCAACAAGCTCGAGGGCGGAGGACAGTGAGCCAAGTGCTTTCGCCAAAAATCATGAGCTCGTGTCAGATTCAGGCTACAGTGTAAGCTTGTGCTCGAAGGCGCGTCCAAAAGTACTCCATTCCGAACAGAGCAGTCTCCGGAAAACCGCATGTTGCAGCTACCATCAGCTATCCTCGAGCCATGAAATGGCGCGCGAGTAGTTTCCCGACGTCCCTTCGCACCATCGGAGTCAGCCACGAAGACGTCCGTCGGGAATGCGCGACATACGCCAGTGGGGAATGTGTCTTATATTGAGAGACTTGGCTGCTCTCAAAGACAGCAGCCAAGCAGTCCGTGGCAAGACAGAAGCAGCGAACGGCGGAATCGAAAGCACGTGCGTCGCAGAGAGGGGCTCAAGTCTGAGGTGAGAGCAGAAGAGAATGCAGCAGTGTTCTTCGAAACCATACTCACTGCAAGTGCACGATTGATGTCCAAAGCCGAGCGTAGAAAGCTTTCAAACGATAGTATCGAAGCTTTCTCGTGCTGTCAAGTCTATCGTTGATGAGAATTAATCACTTCGCATCAATTGCAATCTGTTACATCATCTCCTCACGTCTATCTTTTCGAAAGCAGTCTCTCGTATCGTGTTCGCCATCTCTACAATACTCTTGATCCTCGACCAGCCGGGCGTGAGCGCTCACACTTTGCATTCCGAGAACCGAGAAATGAGTCTCGATTCTTGTATCAGCATCTAAATAGCCTCCTACGCAGTAGTGCGTGTGAGTTCACCGTCAAGGGACGTTGTGATGTCAGTTGAATTGGTCCTGGAAGTAGAGAGAGCTATCGCGTGACCCTCATGAGCGACGGAGTCGATAGATGGCTTCGTGCTCGGCATATCGACAGTAACTTGCGCGGCGTCTCCGTTCAGAGACGAAAGACGCGATCCTCCGGTGTCTGTCTGCATATCCACTTGGCTGCCTTTGCTGCCTCCAGGCCCCGGAAGTCTACCAGTTCATCACACAGCGAGGACAGAAAGGCAAGTTCCGCCCATCGCAGATGAAGCCCTCGCATTGCGTCGATGAGGTTCACGACTTGTCCTTCGGTCGTCGCCGACAACTGTGGCCAATTCTTAAGCCCGACTCCACTACCCCATGAACCGCCGTTAAGCGTCACATGGAGCGTCTTGAGAGTGACGAAGACTGAGCTCAGAGTCTTCAGCAATGGACAGACCGCATTCAGGGTGTGGTGGAAGGCCTCGACGTCGAATCCCATGTCGACTCTGAAGACTTCACCGTTGAGCCGGATGTTGAGATGGCGGATGGCAGCGAACTTGTAATGGTTGATCTTGTCTTCGAGAAAGAAGCGATCGCTCGTCCATGACCATGCATCTTGGCCTCCAGGGTCCCCGGAGTCGATCATGGCTGATGATACTTCCATGACCTGAGTTAGAGCGGCCGTATAGAGCTTGCGGGACGCAGATGCCTCACGGCTGACATGGAAAGGGCTACGCGGGTGACCATAGTGGCCTTCGCAGTGGCCTTCGCAGTGGCGCAGTTCGACATCGACATCATCCAGCGTGAAGTACATGATGTTCTGGAGGATTTCGGCTGGTAGATCGACGAGTTTGATAGGCTCAGCGGCTATGTTCCACAAGAATTAGCAAGGACAAGCTGAATGAAGACACATGGAATTACCCAGATCTGCCAATTCCACGGAAACCTCAACCTTGCCCTTACGCAGCAGCCAAATGAGCTCGCTGTTGCGAGTCCAAAGCTTCCCGACCTCCTGCACTTCTTTTCGGGGGAATCAGTATCCTGCACTCTGCTTCAGCAACTCTCTTTTGTCTTACCTTGCAGCAGGTGCGTTGGAACAGCCACCTCCTCTTGCTCAGCCAAAGCAATGAGCTTTCTGCCGCGCTCTACGAGCAATCGCTGGCTCGGACCAGGTATGTAAGTGTATGGGTTATCTGCGCAGATACGCGGGCCGCACTTTCCGCACTCGCAGCGCTCCATGGCGGCGGCGCATGATGGCACTGAAGACACGGCGCGGAATCGAGAGCGTAGGAGAGAGTCGGTTGTCGAAAGGGAAAATTGTTTTGTCGAAAGTTGGCAAGGTGAGGTGTTATGTCTTGCGTGTAGAACATATGGTGAAAGCCCGTGAGAGGGAATATTTATACTTTGCGCACGGGCTCGAGTAGACACGGAGCGAAGCAGGTGCGTTCCATCGGTAGATTCTCGGCGGCAATTGCAGCTCGTGAACTGCAGTGCTGCAGCCTGGAAATATTCACGTGTCTGCCGAAGCCGGAGACGCCTGTGAAGAGCTCTGCTATCCTGACAGAGAGTAAAGGTATACTCCATTTGGTGAGAAGACTATAACATATGAATGTTTTTCTGGGAGATCCCGTATTGCTTGATCTCATCGCGAACTACGGCTATTGTCGATGTTAAATATCCCTATTAGGACAATGGCCACTTAAGGCAAACGGAAAACACAAGCACAACACAAACACAAACCTTTTGTATGTCTCTCTCTGCCTGTTCTGTAATCCTGTCCTTTTTCGACTTACTGCTCCGGTTTTGCTTGTCTGCATCGGCTTAGGCCTTGGATGTGAGATCTACAGGCCGCGCTCTAGCATTTACAAGCGTCGTGATGCATTGAATTGCTATTGGTCGGGAGTGATCAGCGCGTCTTCAAAGATCCACAGCTTCTCTGGCTGTTCATTCCAGTCACGCGCTTGGAGCCCCGATCACATGTTAGCCTCCCTGGAGCTGCTCTAATCTCATATGCAGCACTAACAGCATCGTCACCAACCAACGCAACCATGGAATCAGAGCAAGTACAATTCAAAGCAGCAGCAGCAGCAGTAGCAGGAGTAGCCAAGTAGATGATTGGTCAACATGGCGATCTTTTTCCTTTCCCTCTCGTTTCAGGCAGCCGTCCTTCCACTCATCAGACCAGCCACCCTACATGCTACTTTCCTGCCAACTGAAGGCGACAACACTAAATCACAACAGCAGTAACAAACACCACTCATATCCTGCGCTGTAGTCTTCGAACTCACTTTTCCAACCCTTCCGATCGTCCGGACGATCATTCCCCTGTCCACCGTTCCAGTGGAGCAAGAATAACTCCTCCATCAAGCCCAGGAGATTCGAAATTTCAAGCTTACAAAGCGTCAGCGCGTCGATTCCAGACCACCGGAATGCCTACTGACTTCTTACTGGGTCTTCTGAGCAAGACCAAGACACGGAGGAAGTCCGAGGAAAGACTATGCGAGGCGAGACGGCCAAGAACATAAAAGCACGGGCGAAGCTCGCGAGAAAGCAGATCGAAGGGCACGGTAGCCAGGATCAAGAGCTAGGGAAGGGCAGGACGATGCAAAAAGTAGACCGCGATGGAAACATGTTTTCTTCGGCATATAAGCGAACAAGTGTCGAGGATCTTGTACTTCTCTAGCGTATCGGGGGACGCCGAGGTTATTCTGCTACCTATCGAGGGAGCCACGAGAGCGAAGGACCAGAAAGAAAAACTTACAAGTATATAGGTACCCGAGGGGAACGTCGCTCGTCGTAAAGACCTCGACTGCAGCATCGCATGCGCTCTCAACACAGAAATTAAAAAACACGGACACCATTCGGACAAGGTTCGAAACCCGTCTCCAGTAAACCCAGGGAAGAGGTACCACGCACCTACGCACCTACCTACCCACTTACACTCCGAAACTGCATACGCGGACTTTACAAGAAAAAAGTTATAACGGGAGCTTTTGCGGGAAATTTTTAGTATTCTCCGACGCCCATGTGGGACGCAATGCAGGCGGCAGGATAGGATTGCCCTTGAGGATATGGCTGCGTTCTCTGGATGGAGAGCTTCTTCTTCTTCTCGGCGGGGTTGATGATAGCAGACAAGAGGGCCAGATGTGCTGTGGAGGGCATGTCTGAACGCCGCTACAGTTCGATCGCCGAGGGTTCGTCTTTACTTTGATACGCTTGCGCTGGAAATTTCCTCGGGCTCGAAAGAAAGGGGAAGAAATAGCTACATGTCCCTGAACGAGTTGCGTCAGACAAGGGGAAATGGAGTTGAAGATGTTGCCTAAGGCCCGGTTGAGGACGTCTTCAGGAAGAGCCGCGATGGACCATATAGAAGGAATACTGCTCTGCGAAGCCAGTGTACTGTCGCTGATGCTTTGGTTTGGGTAGTGGGTTGGAACATAGACATGTCCGAGGCAGCAAGACCGCATTTGGTCGTCAGTGCGACAACCTAATCCTGTCACCACCATGAAGTTCCATACGCACTCAGCCCCATGCGGTAAAGGTGTCCAAGTCGTCAGCCGATCAAGCGTGCCTCATTAGCTTGCCCTACTTGACCGCGCGGCCATGCAGCAGAGTCGAAAGCTAATTACGTACCAAGTTGGCTGACAGGCGTTCCATGAGAGGGAAGGAAAGGTGAGGTCAAGATTAAGTACCTGGGCAGCGCTGCACAGGCCGCGCAAGCTTCCGTGCTTGCATCTGCCAAGACCCAAAAGTAGATCGGAGAGTCGATTTCGGACGGAGTGGATCGCGAGGCGCTGTGATGAGCTCATGGACCAGACGATCAGATGCGACGGTATACGCAATCCTCTCTGCCGCGCTCCAAATCCCACGAGATGCTGTGGAGCTTTGGGGGCATGCTTACGTTGCCTGTAAGCTGAGCTGAGGATTGGGCTCAGCTGCACGAGCTGAAACGTGAGACACTGTCAGGCTGTGAGGACTGAAGGCCAGAAGGCGGGGCATCCTTTCGTGGGGCAGTCGCCGTATGCAGTCAACCGACCTCTTTCATTTGATCGATAGACTTGACGGACAAATAGCCGACCGTATGACTGTCGCGATTCAAATTCCCAGGCCGAGAGAGAGAGTAGTCCGTCCGGGAGGCTATTACGATTCGCTATTCTCCGGTCCCGTGCAAGGCCGAACATGTTCTTGCCTTCACCGGCCAGCGCATCACGTACAGAGCAAAGGGCAGAGAAACTTGGATTCGGCCTCCGACATGCCGACGCGAGGCTGGGATACGCTGTTCAGAGCGGACGGCAGAGGAAATCCTTCAGGTCCAGGTCGGCCTGCGCTGGGCGCACAATGTGTGATGCCTGCTGACGAAGCGATGTTGTCGAGGTGATGGTCGAGGTGGGATGGATGATGCTGGGAGAGAGGAGGGACAAGATATCGGTATTCGGCTCCACGCTTAACCGTTTTGGGTTGTCGCTAGTTATGCGCGGACCGCGGCGTGCGGATTCGAGCCTCCATTGCTACAACATTGGTGCAGCGCCACGTTGGTGCAGCAAAGATAGAGCATGATTGCGAGAGAGTCTCGGTTGATTGTGTGTTTTCTCATCATGGAGCGCGCAAGGACAGGCTCATCGTCGCCGGTGTTGTCGGATGAGTAAGACCGACACGCCAAGGCCCAAGAAAAAGAATCACCGGATTTGCTTTCGGACAGCGTTGGAGAGCCGCAGCCTCATCACCCACGCGACCAACACAACATACTACACACACACACACACACACACCGAATCGTGAGGAATAGCCGCCAATCCTGCACTCCGCCCGTTTCCTTGTATACTATCCATGCGGGCCTGACTGCAGACTGCCGGCATGACGCGTATTCTCCGACCGTCAAGTCGCACTCTCCAACTCACCCAAGTCATGGCTCCGACAGCACAGCACAGCACAGCGCACCGCTCCGCACCGCAGTGTGTGCAGCGCCCTGATGATGAGAACGGCAGCCGCTTATCACGGCGCGCAGTAACGCAGGTCGCAGCAGCAGCAGAGTTCCTGTCCCGTGAAACCGTCACCTGCCCGGCCAGGCGAACCGAACCATTTAATCTCCCCTCGCTGCCCAGCAGGTAGGCCTTCTTTTCTATTCCAGCGTCAGTCGTCCTCTGCTGCATACTCCCCTCCTACTACCCGTCTACTCTCCTCTACACTCTGCCCGAAGCAGCAGCAGCAGCAGCAGCAGCAGCGACGACAGCCACCATGAAGAGCGCCATCTACGCCTCCGCCCTCCTCTCCACCCTCGCTGCCGCCAAGCCGCAATGGGGCGGTCCTCATGGCAATGGCAATGGCAATGGCAATGGCAATGGCGCTAGCTGGGGCAATGGCGGCCCATGGGCGGCCTTCCCCAGCTGCGTCTCATCCTGCCGCAACAACAACATCGACTGGAGCAACTCCACCGGCCTCTGCAGCAACCAGTCCGCCATCAACCAGCTCAATGGCTGCATCGATTCCTCCTCCTGCAACAACAACGACAAGAACAGCGTCCGCCAGACCATCGCACAGCTCTGTGTCAACGCGGGAACTACCATCACGCAAGCACCATACAATACTATCTCGGTTACCAGTGGTGAGTCCCCAGCACAGACCGGGGGAGTAGGAGGCTGGGCAGTAGGAGGATCACAGTGGAGTGCATGGGCAAGCGCGAATGGTGTAACAGGATATCCGACCGCTGCATCGCAATGGTCCAGCTGGGCATCTATCAACGGCTTGCCTACTGCAACAGGCGATTGGGCGTCGTGGGCTTCCTCTCGCGCCTGGGCTGCTGTCGGTTCCGGTCCCTATCCAACATCAGGCTGGAGCAGCGCGGGCAGCGCCTTCTCCTCTTGGACTTCCGCAAACACCATCACCGCTTGGCCCTCTGCGCCTTCCGACTGGAGCTCCTTCACCTCTGCCCATCCGCTCCCCTCCGGCCTCTCTCCCTTTGCGAGCTGGTGTAGTGCTAACGGCTTCCCAGGTGGCTCTGCCTGGCCTACCCAATGGACCACCAACTCCGCCTGGGCTTCTGCTGTCTCGGCATGGGACGATGGCAATGGCAATGGCAACGGCGGTGCGGATGGCTGGCACGGCGGCTCTTTCGGTCCTTTCGGTCAAGGCGGCCCGGGTGATGGTTGGGGACCAGGTCCCTGGGCCAGCTCGGGCGCCTGGACGAGCGGACCTTGGACTTCGTGGTGGGGAACTGATGCTTGCCCTGCGAGCACTTGGTCTGGTGAGTTTAATCTCCTGCCCAATCGCATCGGCCTGGGGTTACTGATATAGACTCTTAGGCTGGACAAACGGCCCATGGGGAACCAGCGCTCCGTGGACAACGTGGTCTGGGTGCACTGCCACCACGACTGCTTCCAACGTCTACACGACCACCTACACCACCAGCGGTGTCCAGACCACCTCCGTCGCCACCAGCTTCGGCATCCGTGTCGCTGAGGCTACCGAGTCCAGTAGCAGCAGCAGCAGCAACAACGGCGGCACCTCCACTTCCGGCTCCGGCGCTGCCCCAACCAACTTCGCTGCTGTTGCCGGATCCGCTGCCGGTGTCGTCGGTGTTCTCGCTGGTGCCATTCTCTTGTAGAATCGCAGAATAGCGCCTGCAAAAGCTTCGACTACCCACCCATTGATGATGAATGACGGAGTACCCCGTGCGCACTAGCGGGATGATCTTGAAACCCCCAGAAAATGATGCGATACCCCTTTCTTTCTTTCTTCCTTCCAAAAAAATTCGCACTCGGGACGGACTGTAAGGTACTCGAAATGGGCCTGGCCTTGGATACACCATGTCGCTCTCTGTCTGTTCCTAGGTCTATCGGACATAGGATCAGGATACGTAGACTTTGGCAATAGATTCGATGTATCAATCCTTCGTCTCACTCAAGCTAGTGTTCTATGGCCCTTTTCATCGACGTTCGCTTCTTCTTGGAACGATACGGGTAGTGAGTGAGTGAGTGAGTGAGTGAGTGAGTGAGTGAGTGAGTGAGTGCAGTCGTGTCGTCCGACAGACAGCTTCCAGATATAGTAAGGTTACGCTTACCGAGGTAGGTATGATGTACCTGGCTGGTTGTCGCTGATCTTTATTTGAGTTTATCTCTTCGCTCTGCTTTGTCTTAATTGATATTCTTATATGAAATGCTAATCTCTCTATAGTTTTTAAACCAAAGAAACACCACCTTCTACAGACGAATTCCTCCGAACGCTTTATATAATCAGGAGAAACGGGATTGGATCATTACTACCAAGAAACGCCATGAACATCCTCATCAACAAATCAACAATGGCAGGCTGGGCCTACAGAAACCGTCCCGCATTCCAAGTGATAGAAACAAGATCTCGATCGCGTCTACGGTATTAATAATGAATCCCATCTTCCACAGCATCCCGGCCGGCCACAAGACTACCACCTCTAATACGAAAATCAAAAACGGAAAACGGAAAGTCCTATCATTAACATCTCCTCGCTTGGATCCGTCAGACCCCGGCCGGGATTGATATCTGCGAGAGACATCCGCTCGGTACTTCTCTCAATCTCAATAATACCGGATCAGCCACCTGCTACGGTGCGGCGGTGCTGCAACAAGAGGTATCGATTAGCGTCATCCGCCCTCTTTCTTGCTTGGAAACCCCAAGTCGAGGCTGTAAAGTCCACGCGCCACAATGTCGAAACTCAAGGAGCTGTAAGTGGAAGTCCAGCGAGAACTCTACAACCCTTCCCAGATTGTGAAGGATCGGCTGAAGTGGATCATCGACGCCCTCACGGCGGCTCCAGAGAAGGATAAGTCGATGATTGTAGGAGGTGCTACAATGCGTAGCTATCCGATGTACGGGATACCGGCGACTTTGAGCGACGCGATGGGCATGACGGACGCCGAGCCCGTGAATGGTCTGGTGGCTGATGTACCTCGTGGCAACTACAAGGATGAGTGTCTTGGTAATACAGAGTTCTTGTTTACCTAGCGGAGAATTCGAACGGTGCAAGACGAGAGACTCGTACACATCACGACATCGAACTGGGATCGTGGTCAACGGATATGGAGAAAGCACACATGGACATCTCTTTCGGTAATTTCGTTCAAACCGCAGCGCAGAACCACACGAGAGCACGCCGGATACTAGACTCGATAAGACAGCTTCAATGTGCCATTGTACGTTCGAATCCAGGGCACAGGCCCATTCCGATCAAGTGGCAGATACCTTGCGCCAGATCGTCGGTTATGACCCGGAGAGCTTCGAAGGTATGATACTGGAAAGCGAGGCCATCCCCAGGGGTATCTTCTTTCCAAAGCCCTCTCAACTTCGAGATCCGCGATTTGCACCCTCGAGACAATAGCTCACTTTTCCTCCGTATATATAAGGCTGAGAGGAGCACCTCACGCTGCGGAGACTGTATCAGATCTCCTGTCTAGATCTTGAGTGCAATGGCCCTGAAGAAGCCGGTATTCTTTGGTGGATTCGACCGCACAACAGAGTGGCCGGACCAGGGAGTCGTCTCTGCGGAAAATACGAAGCATATGATGGGATAAGGAGACTATCGAAGCAATGATGGACGAAAATCAGATGTGGGTGGTTTAATACTTCTTGCCGTGGACAGGGAAAGTCTACCTTCGCCCAGAGCAGCGAAAGAAAGCGGGGGCCAGAAGTGGCACCAGCAAGACAAGAGGCAATCCTAGTTCGCTAGCTACATCTTTGTGTCCTGCGAATGGAGCTTGCAAAGATTTTAGCCTATCAAAGAGCCACATAGTATGCTGGCTTTCCTGTAGATTTCAACCACATCGTGTTCTAATACACCACAACATGGCTATTGGTCAGCGTGCAGACGCCACAGGATGGCCGGGCAGACAGTACACAGTAGGCTAGACGCCACACGGAATCTGGAACGCCCAATTCCAATCCGAGAAAAAAAGCAAATGCTACTTCGCTATCTGTACGCTTTGCTACGATGGTCTTTGCCTTGGTCGAGATAAGTGGCGAGTTAAGAGAATTTCATAGCATGAACATGTCTGATAGACTGACGGAGACCACACACGCTCTATCTTCTGCATACTTGAGGTGAAGTGATCACTCATTGCATCTGCCGTGCCTCGTTCTTTTGGCATCCAGCCCAGATGTAGGATACGATCACTCCTGCGGGTATTGAAGCGAGAACCTAGTTGATCCGCATAGCACATCATGGGGTTTTCTCCACAGGAGCTTATGTCGGGACGCCCGAAGTGTGTTTTGCTTCACTCTACAGGGTCTCCTTTTCTGCGCTGTTAGAGACCGCAAACCTTCTTGGCCTGTTAACTCAGGCGCAAAAAAAACACGAATTTGATAGTGAAATACACGTCCTTGTATGAAGAAAGTACACTGCTCAATCGGTAGCGCCGCGGAGAGTCTCTGCTCAAGAGGCCATTCGGACTTCTGAGATGATTAAACACATTCCGCGGTACATCTAGCGTTCTTCTTTGTGTGCGAGAGGGCCACCCTAGCGAGCTGGAAATAATACATTGCTGAGGGCATGCTTTTTACCTTCAACAATGCGAAAAACAACGAGGGATCTTTCGGACAGCTTCTGGCCGTGGTCATGATTGCCGCTCCTACGTTGGGGTTCTCAAGTCAATGTCACAGGAGGGAATTCCGTCCGCCAAACATGTATTGAGTGCGGCTCACGGTCTTGACAGAAAAGCCAGAGGAAACATGGAGGCTTGAGCCGACTGGGTCTCCTGTAGTAAGAGGAAATCAAATCTCTTCTTAACATGGCTATGCCAAGATTGAAGATAGCATCGAGCTACCGATGATGACCTTGAGTACTCCTCTAGTGCCGGGAGATGAAGACGCTAGCGAGCTCTTGCGAGTAGGAGACGACTAGGTTACCCGACCGCAAAAGATCGTATAATTAAAGAGGGCGAGGAATGCTATAGATGGGAGCAATCGGAATGAGAATTCGCTTGCTAGTGAGCGCTGCGATGATTGGATCGGAAGTTTGGAATCTCAAGATACGAGACGTAGAGCGGTAAAGGGAAGTGAGATACGACCTATGGAGTCGGTAAAGGTTTGCCTTCAGACCCAGTGGTATCGTCGAAATTCTCAACCTTGTACCCGTAGAAGTTTCCCAATCAAGTATAGCGTCAAAACTAAATGGACGCCTAGAAGAAGACGCCTGCATTCGTGCGAGACCAGGAAATATAGAGGCCAATCAGGGCCTTCTTGGAAAGCTCGGTCCGGACTGGAGAGCGCGACTCTTTTCGTTGACTGCGTTCCTTCAGCGTCCCGTCCCGGCGTCTCGCGACACTCGAATACCATTTGCACAGTCGTCGAGAGTGTAAGGCGTGATAGACTGGTTGGCTTGAAGTGTAATCACCTCGAGAAGCATGTAGACACCACAAAGCCCGGTCCATCGTCTCCTAGATTCGACAAAGCTGTACCGCGAGCCTCGAAGAAGTGAAGCGGAAAGAAAGCTTTAGGACCGTGGTGAGAGCTTCGGCCCGCCAAGACCAACATTCAGTGTCCCGTTTTTCCTGTCCCCCAGGAGCGTGGATTGCAAAGGCTTCCTTCCCGCATATGTGGTCAAGTTTGAAAGCTTCGAAGAAAGTGAGCCATCTCGGACCGGAATCGCCTTGAACCTCACTGCACGGACAGAGAAGGTTTCTGTGCTTCAATCGTGAGGGTTTGCAAATCGAATGTGGAGCATACCTGCTGAGCAGGAAGAGAGACATAAGCCGAGGAACGAATTGCAAATTTCTTATTCGCCCGCAAGAAAGTTGCAAGACCGTGACTCCAGCTGTCTTGATGCCCTACTCTCGGAAACTGAGGCTCGTCCGTGTTCCAATTCTCCGAGAGTCCTGGTCCCTGCCCGTACGTATGTCCTCGTGCAAGCACGTCGGACGGACCCTATGTTTCGTTTCATATAGCGAGTTGGCATCTCTCGGTGCCGAAATCCTCGCATGGATTGGGATCGATCGGAGGGTTCTGTTCGTGCTCGTGGAGAAGCATGGGGCTGGGCTGGCTAGGGCGGTGTCGTCTGAGATGTCTGATCAGGATGTGTGCTGCGTTGGAATCCTTGCGGTCAGCGCGCACTGTATAGACGGACAGGATGTGGAGAGTCAGTCCGCCCGGCCGTTGGAACCCTGAGCTGAGCGACAATACAGCTCCGCACAACACGAGATGGATTGATCAACCTAATTCCAGTCATTGTGCGCAGAATTGCTGTACGCTTCGGTACCGAAGGCCACGTTGGAGGCCTCTGACGCAGGTGGGAAATTCGAGGGAGCAAGCAACTTATCCGGACGTTGCACAGAGAACCACTCTTGCGACATGCCCTGTAGGAGTAGCCGAACATCCTGGCGGTCATCACCGCTTCCCATGCAACCAGATCTGACTCTTGTCTCCAGGGGAAAAGTGAGGATTCGAGAAAGGTATAGAATTGAATTGGGGTATTCTCTCTTGCCCTTCATTGCGTTTTGAAATCAATCGGTATGGGCTTGTCTCTAGGTGTTTCTGGCTCTTTACCCGCTGCAGAAGAATACAACCACGAATTCCAACGAGGTGCAGATGTATGGCGTGTCTTCGGAAGAGGGCTAAATATAGCAGCCCGTGCCCATGCACGCCTGCCGAAAGAGGTTGCAGGCGAGGATTAATCCCACCAATCATTGCCCCAGCTTGCGCGCTACACGAGACGCAGGATGACTAGAGTTTCCTCAGATTTGATGGGTAGCTGGATTGCTTTCATTGGGCTACCCTCAATACTTGATGACATTCTGCACCGACTAGTCATGCACGACATGCGCCGTCCGGCTCCCCACCGTTGCAACGGCAAACGGCCGGGAACTGCACACCCACCTTAGCTCACATCATGCCCTGGTTTCTACTTTCAGACCTGGTCTCGCGTTCCACAACTTCCTATTCAGCATCAACGCCAATATCGCTGCGCGTGCTGAACGATAAGCGACAGGGAATCTGACAACTCCGTCGCTGCCGTGCGCCTTGCTAACCTTTTGCAACACTGTCAGCGGAGTGTCTCCATGCATTCTCGGATCGCACAATCCATGAGAATGGGTGCGATGGCGGGCAGGTGCTGATGCAGCCTGCGACAGAAGCGAGATGCTGCAACGTGAGGCCCTCCGACGTTTCCATATGGCTCGAGGCACGATAGAGAAGACAAAGTCCTCCCATTCCCCATCTTTCCTCTCCGTTGATGCTTCGACTCGCCTTTGGTAGTTTCCCTTTCTTTAGTCTTTCTTCTGCCTGAATTACAGGGCCAAGCGTTGTTACTCTCCTCGTGTATTGACCCCGTATCGATAATATCGGAGAACCCCTCCGCCCTCATACACCATGGCGGAGTTTCAGCCTATGGCCGAGCAGCCCTTGGGGCACTACGGGACTCACAACGCTTCAACGGCTCGCGATGGAAGCTTTGAGATCTCATCGCCCTCAGACTTCTTTCTTACCAATCCCAGAGTCATCATCGGCCTCTTCCTCTTCTTCGCCTTCATGCAATACCGCATCTTCACACAGGGAAAGAGCAAACTACCGCCTGGAGTAAGACCGCTTCCAAGACTGCCAGGTGAGACACACAACTAGGGCATATCCGAAGATGTGGAGCTCACAAGCGTGCAGGTCTTCCATACGCAGGCCGATTCTGGGACGTTCCTGGACCCGGTATTGAATCAGCATGGCACTTCGGAAACTTGCACAAGAAGATGGGTCCGATCTACGAGTGGAAGGTTTGTCAAGACGTGAGATATGTGGCCTCGATAGACTTCTGTCTGACTGTTGCGGCCAGGTGATGGGCGTCATCCACATCTGGATCGAGACCGACAAGATCGCGAAGGACCTCTTCGTCACTCGCCAACGGAACTACTGTGACCGAAACGAGCTGCCGGCTGCCATCGGTGTACGAGAAGGTGCAGAGATTCTGCCGCTCATGGGTTACGGCGAGCAGTTCCGACGGTACAAGAACTTCATGCACCTGATCATGAGGAACGCCGCTCCAAAAATCTTCTACGGCTGGCCGGTGGAGGAGAACAAGCGGACACTGCGACGACTGCTAGAGACGCCCGACCGCTGGTCCGAACATATGATTGTGCACTGCGCACGAACGATTGCCAGCATCGCATGGGCCGATCCGGAGCATGGGAGCAAATTGCTCACCATCATTCCCACGATTCTCAAAGCCGTCTCTCCCGCTGGACCGATCATCAACAAGCTGACTTTCTTGGCGAATCTACCAGAGGCGATCTCTCCCTACAAGAAGGCCGAAGCCATCCGCAGACAAGAGATGACCGACGCATACATGGAAGCATTGGAAGATGTCAAGAAAAGGGTGCAAGCAGGCGAGGCAGGGACCGACTGTTGGGGTAAGCTGTGGGTTGGAGCCGAGAAGGGAACAGAACATCTCGACTTCTACGAGGCAGCGCATGCTATCGGGTCCAGCTCTTTCGTCGCCATTGCCACTGTCGGAGGACCTCTGCATGCTTTCTTCACCGCTATGTGCCATTACCCGTCGTGGCAAACGAAGGTCCAAGCCGAAATCGATAGTGTCTGCCCCGATCAACCTCCGACTATGGCCGACATGCCAAAGCTGCCATACCTTCGAGCAACGATCAAGGAAATCATTCGATGGCGACAAGCAACACCCCTCGGAGTCCCCCATGTCGCTCTCGAAGACGATGTATACGAAGGCTACCTCATTCCCAAGGGAGCAATTCTTCACGCAAACCATTAGTAAGCCACTGTCCATTTCATTCTCCGAGTCCTCTCCAACTGACCATCCAAACAGCCTCATCTCCCGCGAAGAAACAATGTACCCAAACGGCAACGAATTCCTCCCCGAACGCTGGCTCGACCCCTCTTATCCTACCTACAAAGAACCCTTGACCGAATTCCCCAACCTCTCCGGCGACCGCGCTTTCGGGTACGGCAACCGCTCCTGTCCCGGCGTAGACCTCACTCAATGCGAACTCCTCTCCCTCATCGGCAGCTTGCTCTGGGCGTTCCAAATCACCAAACCCGAGGGCAGACATAGCCTCCCCTGGTACGAAACCGCACCATGGGTCATCACCATGAGCAAACCGTTCAAAGCGAATGTAGTGGTTAGAAGCGAGGCGAAAAGGAAATGGATCTTGGAGGAATGTCCTGGGCAGTCGAATCTGATTAAGGATACGAAGGAAGAATGCAAGACGAGGTGGGATGTGTGTCGAAAGGAAGGGGAGGAGATGTTCGCTTGGGAGGGACTGACGGAACAGGCTGATACGAGGTGGAAGGAGTATCCGGAGAAAGTGAGGGAGACGCCGGTTTAGATTGTTATGTCTGGTTTTTATGATGATGCGGAGGGTTGGCCTCGCCATTATGGGGCCCTTCGCTGCATGTTCGTTATGATTAATCGACGGCGGTCAGAGCATTGCTAGAAATGATTCTCCTTTTCAACTGGATTCATCGTTTCATCCAAGCTCGATGAATTCTCACTGCTTGTACTGTTGCCATTCAAGCTGGATGTACGTGTAGTAGAAGATGTACTGAACATTTCCATATACCCGAAAGTGTTGGTGTTGCATCTTTACTTAGATACATACTAGTGTAAACCCCAGCAATGAGTAACGCAACCGTAAGGATCTCCTAGCCCACGAGTACATGTGTACCTCCTCCGATCCAAATGTCGCACGAGGTCGACTTCAGGTTCTGACACACGCCCAACCACGACGTACGCACGAAGCATTGCGAAAGAATACAACGACTCTCCTCCCGAGTGCACTCTCACAATAGGTGATATCTTTATGGATTATGTTGTGGCGCCTGTTCGCTCACAGCTACCAATCTACAGATATCTGATAGTCTTCTCCCGTCCAGGAAACCTGGGAGCCGGTCCTTGGCCGAAGTGGAGATTGTCGCCGACTGCATTCGCATAAACAGGGCGATACAAGTAAAACTTCTAAACCTACTTACGAAAGAAACTTTCATTGAACGACTCGCGACTTAGATCCAGCTTGATACCGACGGCATTCAAGTTGGAGAGCTTCGTGAGAGCGGCGTGAAGGTTATCCGCGATTTAGTTGAGAGACCGACCAAAGGCTTCGATGTTCAGAGTCACCTCAAGTTCGGTAGCGTTTGACGCAGAGTCGAAGAGGGGCGCTCATGGGTCCTCTAGCAATAAAAACGGCAGTTGGAAGCCATATGCATGTCGAGCAGGTCAATGTGAATGCGGACGTAGTGTTTGGTAATGTTTTCTCGTTTGCGTAGGCGCTTGCCAGTATCCAAGAACTCCTCGCATAGGACACTGCGCTCGCTAGAGATGAGGGTCAACTATCCGTGCAAGGCCGGAGAGGCATTTGAAGAGATCAAGTCTCGACAACGGATTCCTTCCAGAGTAATTGAAAGTCATTCCCCTTCTTCGTGCCCAAACAATGTATCAGTGTTTCTCTAGAGTACTCCACGTCACCATGCCGCTCATGTCTCCCAAGAATGCTTCCTCCGTCTTTATTAGTACTTGTACGATCCTCTCGTAGAACTCCATCTTGTCTCGGGCTCAGCGCCTGGGATCTATCCCAAGCGACGGTCCTTCATCACATCGTCTATGACTTTCCTGGGTGCTCGCACCCCGTTTTCAACTCCAACCTCAGTATAGTCTTGCAGCACACGTTCGTTAGTCTAGTATGACACTGCTTGAGGAGATGTTCTGCGTCATAAGTGAGAACTCGCAATTGCTAAGAGCTATGAAGCATGTCCGCCGAAACCAACGGCTACCTATTAGCGGAAGAAAGGCGAAAGGGAAGTCGCTGTTCGCGCACAGTTGCAATAGCTCGGAATGAAGGAAGCTTTCGAGACACTCTTCAGAGTGGGAATCGTGGACGGAAAGCTCAATCGTGATACCGAAAAGCTTGAGGCTCGAAATCGCAACCATAGCCATATAGAGGCGGATAACCCCCTTTTCAAAGGTCTCTTTGCTGTCATCGGGCTCTCCGGGGAAGATTTGAATAATCAGCGAGATGCACAGCGTGGTAGCATTAGATGGGGAGTCGAAGAGAGCCATCTCAGAGGGATGAGAAGAATGGTAGGTCTATGTTAAGTCGAGCTCGACATGAGTGTGGTGCTTCGTGATGTGTCCATTCTTGCGTAGGCGCTCGCAGTTCTCAAGGTACTCAGCTCGGAGCTGCCTGCCAGCTTGACCCAGCTCAGAGCGCGCGATGACCTTCGTTCTCCGAGCATCCGTTTCATGCTCGGCGAGGAGTAGGCCGGTGTAAATGTGAGCTCGAATCTCTCGAGGGACGCTTCTTAGGGAGGCCGCCATGTGCGTAGCGATTTGACTTGACGGCGCGATCCATTTCTGATCGGACGGGATGCTAGCAGATAGTCTGTGAGGATTATCATTTTCGAGAGGTATGGAAGCAGAAGGAAATGAGGTTTTGCGTAAGGCTGTGGGACAGGTGAATGTGAACTTCACATGCCGAAGCTGAGTAAGCACGCTAGGTCCGGCTAGTTCCGCCCGTACCGCACCATTTCAAGCTTGGCATCCTTCTCTGTGCTTTTGAACAGCTCCCACAGCTGCACCGCAGACAGCAAGCTTTTCGCGATCGAGTGTCAGCCAGCATGTCTACCGACGAAGTAGAGCCTACTCTCCTCAGCCTTCCTCGCGAACTGCGGGACAAAATTTACACCTTCGCCGACGAGGTCACCCTCGTCTACAAGAACAACTCCACGGGGGAGCGGCGGCTAGTAGACTCCTCTCCTCTGTGCGGCGCCAACAAGCAACTCCGACTCGAGTACGTGCAGAACTGCGAGGAGCTCAGCGCGAGCGTGAAGAAGCACCACACCACCATCGATGTGGACTACCACGAAGCGACCTACTCCGGCAATGGCCTCGCGCGCCTGGGCCTGTTCGAACTCCCTCCTACCGCCGAGATCTTGACCATCACGCTCAACATCCGAGCCTCCGTCGCAACACCACGCGAGCACGGATACCAAAACATCGCCACGCATCTCATCAACGCGATCCAACGCCTTCCAAACCTCGTGCACTGCACCATCACGACCACGATCACCGGCATCACCGCAATGGACTATCAAATCGCACACGAGAGACGCTTCAACCGCGAGCTCTGGCGCGCCAGACCGCAGGTGGTGGCCGGCAAGGAGTTCATCCTCGCGGCTATTACGGGTGAATGGGAGGGCTTGCTGGGGTGGCAAAACGATACCAGCATCTACACGGGGCCGCTACGAGGCTGGCAAGACCAATTGTTGGACCTCGACAAACTGAGCTTCCAGCGCTTGACGACCGTGTATCGCAGGACTGGAACGCCCAAGGGCCTGCAGATTTTGCAAGGCGTGAAGAAGGCCAGAGAGCCCACCTTGGTGGAGATGATACTTTATCCTATCAAGTTCGTCCTTGGCCGTCTCATGGAGGGACGATGAAGGTCCCGTCCGGCAGGTCATCTCGAAAGACACTGAATCAGACATGCCGCTGAGTGCACGGCTGTGGCCTCTTGTTTTGACTGAATGCCTGGGATGAGTTTCATCTCGACGAATACCGAATGTGGGAAGTTGCTGAATGCCAAGCTGTGGGCTGTTTGTTTCCATTGAATGCTGAGGATGCATAAGGTGTTGGAATGCTAGAAGATGCTGAGCGACCTGCTTTCTTGGCTTATGATAGACATTACGAGAACAATGGCAAGATTTACTCACCATATCTCTGACCCGCTTCAAAATTTCCCAGCTCCCATCGATCCCTCCTGATGCTAAAACTGCTCCATATGCTTCACATCCTCTGCGTCCGGTCTCTCGTCCGGCTTGAAGACTCCCAAATTGACAAGCCAAGCAGCAGAGTTAAACTCCGACCAAATCTTCGAGATCCTCCAAGCATACTCATCCCCCTCTTCGGCAGGCTCGACTTCCAGAATTGCATTGCCATGCACAGGCTACAAGCTCATGATCAGCATCACTGTCTCCCAATCCCAGGTCCTTGCCACTTACGATATCGTCAGACTCAGAAACATGCCCATTCGCGCTCCTCTCCGTTTTCCAGCGAACCGCCACAAAGCGACACCCACCCCAAACACCCAGCATCTCGAACGGAATAGACGGCTGTTTCCCCTGCCCATCGACGAAAGCAGCCCGACTTGCAAACGTAGGCGCATCCATGTTCTTAGGCCCAGAAGCGCCTTTGTTGATGATGATGTTGACCGAAGAAGCATAGTCGTGAAAGTCTTCTGTCAGGGCGGAGAGGGCGAGGGAGGTAGTGTAGTTCTGGATTAGCTGGCGGAAGATGTGGGCTGTTCGATGGGATTCTCCAATGGTCATGCATGTTGCTGGAGGAGAGGGGGTGGTGGTGGTGAAGGATGACATGAGCCAGGAGAGAGGAAAAGATGGTGATGCGGACATAAGAACTGCGAGAATTGCCAGGATAGCAGTATTAGTGATGGAGGAGCGCATCTCTACAGATCTCTTAGAGTGATTCTCTGCAAGAGAGCGATGGGTCGAACAGTCGAAAGGGGAGAATCCCCAAGGCTGGAAGGGAGCGACGAGTACACGCAGGAGATAGAAGCTTGAGAACCGTCGAGATGTAGCGACCGTGGTGTGTGGCCAGTGGAAGGAAAGCTCTCCGAGCTCATGCGCTGGGAAGACACCATATACTATCACCCATACTAATTCCTCAGTCCAGCTGACCTTGAGCGGGCGGCGGTGATGCAATCTAGAGCAAGCAGAAGGCTTGCCCGCCATCTGTGAGCTGTCATGCGGCGCCGGAAAAGAATACCGGGAGCTCTCGAATTGGTGAAGCAGACAATGCAACAGCTTGAGCATGGTTTGCTAGCGAGTTGCAACATCGTGGTGAGATACGATGAGCCTCCATCAATTCCCTCTGCGAAGGCGAGATCGCGATCTATCGATCTGATATGCATCAGCAAGAACCGAACCATCTTCCAACAAAACCACACTCATCCCGGAACCTGGCTTCGTAGTGCAGCATGTGGCAGCCACAATATACTATTTCAAGCATGGAGCTCTCATAGTGCGATCCTTTGCCCTCTGCCAGCGCCGAATCCCAGAGCAGATTAGGGTGTTGAAGTAGCTCTCTGATGTCGGATCATCCCCTTCAGCCCGATGCCTTCTTCACGAGAAAAGTTCACCTGTTCTCGGCCGACGATTACATTGCAGAGAGTCCAAGATTGTGGCGTCTCAAAAATCCGGTACGAGGCATCTTCGTGTCTCAGACGAAGAAGCCACATGAGCTCGCGTGAATGTACGATGGCGTCTGGCTCTCCGAGGAATTCCGAAGCGCACCAGCAGATGGGCACCACAACACGTGCGGCAAAAATTGTCCTGGAAAATAGAAGAAGATTCCGAAGCATTCCGAGAAGAAGCGGCGCAGGTCGGAGACGAAAGTCGCGCAAGATTGCGTGGGTAGTCAGTCCAACCACTTACTGCAGTGAGTAAGTGGCGATTTCTTCACACTGGAAGAACCGAGTACAGCAGACGAAATGCCGTTCCGCCAAAGGAGCTGCATGAATCCAACTTCGGTATGAGAATCTTCGCACATCGCCAGCAGTCCAACTGATTATCTCGAACCGAGTGCCAAGAAGATTGTCATCGCAATGCAGCAAGGGCAGAGAAAGACCGGGTGGTCTAGAATGATGACTGTCTCTCAACAACCATCGTCATCAGTCCGAACCTCTCCAAGAGAAGTTCCTTCTAGTTCCTGGTGGGCTCACACGCCCGTCATTCGTGCAGACTTCACGATTTCCTGCTTGTCGGTCAAGGGACAACTACAGTGCGGCTTTGTCGAATAGGTATGTCCTGGAGGTATCGTATTTCACCACACGTCCGACCGGTATTACCAGTCGTCTACCGTGTGTTGGTGAAATACGATACCGCTGTTTCAGCTACCCTACTTACCTTCCGGAAGCTGATACGGCAGGCATATCATTATTTACCAAGTGCCTGTACCTGGCTTCTCCACGGTAGTGGGCAGATTCTGCTTGGACGTTAGGCCACACAGATGGTCGCGCGTTGATATATCGGCTTCTCAGTTGCTGGTGTGTCCTTTCCAGTTCAACAGACTCAGGATCACTGGTCGCGCTCGTGGGATCCCGACAAGGAAGGCAAGATGGCGATGTTGCAGACCATGTGCCGGCTATGTCTGTCGTCGACGCCGCATGGCATGTCCCGTTCAGGCGATGAGATATCGATCCAATATTGAGCTTTCCCGTATGGCAGGGAAGCCCCAGCCTGTCATCAAACTCAAGCGAAAGGCTCGTGGACACAGCCCCAGCCTTGCGGCCGGAGTACTCTCCAGCCCTTCTACCACGTTGAAGACCCGCCATAAGATTGGGCGCAGCAGAGCTTCACCCAGCAGGGAGCCCGGGGAGAAGCATGCGGCTTGAATACCCAGCAACGCCTCGAGCGACGAACGAAGGAAATGTATAAGACACCGCCCAGAGTCTCACATTTCCCAGCTTTCCGTGATTCATCATTGTTCTCCGCTTGTTCAGCCATACGCTCGCTATCCAAGATGCAATTCATTCTTCCTGCGCTGGCTTTGTTCACGACGGCACTTGCTCAACAGCAGTGTTACCGACGACAACTGCCGCAGGGTTACCCACCCCAAGGTACCATCACCGTACAGTTTCCCAATGGAGTCAACCCTGGTTTTGGACCGACCGCATGCCAGCAGGTGAACAATTATGGGTATGTTGTATTTCTAGCCATCACTGCTCAAAAGAATGAAGTCGCTAATCGAGGCTGCTAGATACGTGGCCGAGATCAACTACCGTTCGGTGGTGAGTATACCTACTTCGTGAGCTCGAGCCCAGGAGACTGACGGATGATTCTTGGTAGGACTTTTGCAACTATGGACAACGATACGTGGTCCAGACTTGCGATTTCCCCTGCTGCAAAGCCTTGGTATGTTTGCAAAGCCAGCCAATTTTCCTTCGATGTCAATACCTCGGCTAAACGGTATCTAGGCTGCCGTCGATGGGTCGGCTGGTACTTGCGTGTGCGGCCTTTAATTCCAGAGGGCAGAGCAGGCATAATGTGTCCGAAGCCTGATGATTTCACAATCTCCGTGGTGGTCGGATAAGCAATGGCGAGAGTGGCCATCTTAATTCAAAGTCGTGTACATCGTTCGCCAGTCGACTGTCTCCTCAGGTGAAAGCCTTATCCTTTTCCATGGTACTCCCAATGAAAGCTCTCAACGCACTCCACCTACCCGCCGTCGTATTCTCCACGCCCTCATCTCCCGTCTCCGCGACCTTCTGTGCGCCAACAAGTTGCGCCAAGTTCTTCCCAAACCGCTCCATCTCTCGTCCCTCCATCGCTCTCTTCCTCTTCATCGCACCCGGCCGATTGCGCATACTCTTCATTTTCATCTTCCCCTCACTCTCCACAACCTTCTTCTTCTTACGCATCGTCTTCCGCACACCTCCCATCACATCCCTACCATCCTCAGAAGCACCTCCCCACTCCTCCTCCTCCTCTTCATCCTCCACATCAGGCAAAGCATCCCCCAACCCACCAATATCCACCCCCAATTTCTTCCCCGGCCGTCTCCGCTTCAGAGGCTTCTTCTTGCTGATACCCGCTTCTCGCACCTTGTGCATGAGAGTGTTATGTTTGATGGTACGTTTGTCTTGCTTGCTGAGTTTGAACCCTGCGCCGAAGCCGAAGTCGTCTTCTTGGGTGTTGGAGTGGGAGGCCTCTGGGAGGACTTGGTCTGCGGGCGCGGAATCGTGGGTGGGAGAGGGTGGAGCGTATTTGCCTCGGGGATCGGCGGCGCGAGAAGCGCGTGCTCGCGCTGTTGTGCGCTTTTTGATTGGAGCCATCGTGGATGTGAGAGGGAGAGGAGGGGAAAGGTTGGAGGGAGAGGGAAAGTGGGATGTGAGATGCGAGTCAAATTTTCGGAAGATTGTTCTCCCGCTACAAAACTCGTGCCTGAGGCTTGAGTAAAGCATTCGAGCATTACCTCTACAGGGCAAGTTCACATGAAAGTTGCCCAAAATGAGAGCGCGAGGTGCGAGTCAGAGCTCGAGACTTCGAAAGTAAATTACGGAGTGAAACGGTTCATCAGATGGAATAGCATCAACGTGCTCGAAGAGACTGCGTATTCGTACTTAGGAATTAAAACTACTTTTGCTCTGGGATATCATGCATTGCTCTTCTCTGTCTTTATTGCCGTCTCACACTGTCTCTCAACAAACTCCTTTGCAACAGTCTACAGTACATTACAAGACAAATGCCAAAGCGCCGGCAGCAACCGCCATGACACCGCTGCAGACACCAGCAACGCTGGCAGCACCAGTGTATGGCACGATGGCAGTGTGAGATGGGACCGTGGCTCCAGTGCCAGTAGCTGCAACACCGGTGGTTCCATTTCCAGCGCCGTAGGCTGGCACGACCCCAGCGCCATACGTTGGCACGGAGGGTGCGGTAGCGCTCGAGGCAGCTCCAGCAGCGGTGGTACTGGCAGAGACGAGGGTGAGTCCACCGTTGGTGTAGACACACTGTTGTCCTTCGGGGTACTCATGGGCTGGGTTGCAAGCGTATCCAACCGAGGTGGACGACGAAGACGCGTATTCGGATGCAGTCGAGGTGGACCAGCTGTATCCCGTCGAAGTGGGAGCAGACGAAGACGCCGGAGCGCTAGTCTGGGAGACAGTGTTGGCCAGGTATGCCGAGGAAGCCAAGAAACCGGAGCAGAGGCCATTGCTGCAGGTGTTGTAAGCACACTGAGAGTCTGTCGTGCACTCGGCGTTGAAGTTTCCGCATCTTCGGATGGTGAAGGAGGTGGTGCCGTAGCAGTCAGCGCCGTTGGCACATTGCTTGCTGTCGGAGCAGGTCTCGCCCAGTTGGAGCGAGCCCTCTGCGGCGGTGATGGCAGTCTGGCCGGGTGGTTGAGATCCTGCAGTTCCAGTGATAACGGAAGCCGAAGACGAAGATGAGGAGGAAGACGAAGAGGTGGACGTTGGTAGGTTGGCAGTGGCGGAGGAGCAGTATTCTCGGTTGCGAAGGTCGTCTTCTCCCAGGCAGGCGGTCAAGGTGCATGAGCAGGCGATGTCTGGGGTGCCGGCTGCAACGCATGCCTTGTAGGCGTCCTGGCACGCATTTTGGGCATGGACAGCGACGATGGCTGCTGCCAGAGTGAAGGTTGTGTAGCGCATGCTGTAGGATTTGCGGTAAGCGAGCGTCGTGGGGTGGCGTCCGTATGAGAGAATTGGCAATGTAGACTACTGTCGGTGTCTGATCAAAGTGAGTGTGAAGGACGAAATCGACTCAATCCCGGATGCTGTGCAACTTATCTGTCTTCACACCGGGGCCAGTCCAGTGGCTTATTACCGTAATCACGGCCGCAATCCGGTTCGTATTCAGCGCGATGGTGCCACAACCTGAGACGCCAAGATGAACTGCCATTGGATCGCGAACAGACCTTCTCGTGATATGACACCGAGGCTCCTTATAGTTGCCTATTTCGACTGGGGACAACTCACGACCCGGAGAATTGCACTACGAAATTTGCAAACAGATGGATATATGCTGGGATGATAACTCCAAATCGCAGCTGCTGGTCCGGCCAGGCCGCCGAAGCAGAACTATTTTGCGTGCGAAGCAGGGTGTTGGGAGACTTGCTGCCAATTTTTTGACGAGGATCCAGGATCGTGAGTGATATGACATCTCCCGTCTTGGGAGGCAAGGAGTTCTCGGATGCACCAGAGGTGTCTCGTTTCCTTGCTTTTCACATCCAAATCTTTCGCTGTCAATATCACCGTACCACACCCACGTCTTTAGCAGACCGAGTTCGCTGATGCGCTGGTCTGAGGGAGAACACCTCGATAGGGCAGACGGAAGAAAGGAGCCGGGGAACTCCGTGGAAAAATGCGCAAGGTTGTTGATAAATTTGGGATTTTTCTATGGGTTTCCTGGTTGATGTGGCGATTTCTAATTTCGGCTCGGAGCTTTGGGCGACGATGTACCGAGCCGTGAGTCGGCGTCACCCTATATAAGTCTGCAAACCCTCTTTCGACGTCATCCGCGCGACATCACGGGGACGTTGAATATTATCTGTACGTTGCTTCCAGACCGCAAACATTGACAAGCTTGCGACGAGAGTTGTGAACCAAGGAAGCGAAAGGAAGAGACCTCGACCGCCTGCTTTGCCAGATAGATAAAAGAAGATGCTCCAGCGCCCAAGTCTCTTTTAGCTAATTCGGAACCCAGACTTGAATTCCTCAGAGGCTAGTCTATCCGACTCGTAGATCAACGTCTCGTATCCGTGGCAAAGGGACGAACAGGCTACACTCCTACCGCTCGTAGCTGTACACCGAAAGCACACTGGTTCCGAGGCAGGGAGCGAGATTCGATGTCACAGCCTCAGGTGATGTTGTTCGGTAGGGTAATACACCTTCCGAAGCAGCGAAATGCCTGATGCAAGAGGCGGCAATACGAGCACTATGACCGGAAAGAGTGTACATCAAGACCTGGTATTGTGCAACGAGGGCGTTCGTTCTGGAGCAGGAAATGCTCGGGATGTTCTTAACCCCATGTTGATGTTGCAGGTCTTGCTGATGGACAATTTCCACTCTCTACCGCTAGGCTTGCCATTGTACTCTACGCCTCCTTTAAGCCGCCGAGTCGTCGCGTCGCTTTGCAAGAATCGCATCCCAAGACTCATGTATATATGATCATGACCCCGACAGTCGCGCGAACTTTCTCTCACCTACATCTGCATAAGCACACAGACAACCTGCAAGCTTCCTGCCAACAGTTCGATCGAGTCACGGGCTGGGAATGCTGCTTCTTCCAGGTCGAATGCCGCGCATTTATGACTCCTCCGACAAAGCTGGGTATCTCCTGCTAACATCCACCGAGCGTATCTTGAGAAGAACCTGGAGCACGATCGCCCAACAAGAACGCCTGGCGGACATTGCGATTACCGGAGTCTCGGTCTCTCACCTCGGAATGCCAGGGTCGTATTCCACAAGCAAGAAAGAGATTCCCGGTTCATATGGGGGCAATTTCGTATTTCTTCAGAAGATGGATATGCAACCCTTCTTTGCCATCAGCTTTTTACGACTGGAAGTTTGGGAAAGGCATCCCGAAAAGGCAGACGCCAGCCGTTCGGTCCGCATATCCAATCTCCCAATCAGTCGGAGTACATCTCAAGCCTAGTGGAAAAAGTGTTCCATTTTTGAAGAAAAGCAGGGACTCACGGATGTAAGAAGATACGATGCGTCTTCAAGTTCGAGCAAATGTCCATCGAAGAAACCTATACATTCGAAAGGCTCGGAAGACACAAGTCAAAGGCACATCCGGACAAAGAGAGCATCCTTCAAGCCTCAGCAAATCACACCAGCTACTAGCGTCCGCACAGGGGTGAGTACCTTAAGACCATGATGCCCAATTTGCTGCAGGCGAGGTTGCCGCTTGATACTCGCCACCAGCCTTTCCCTAATCGCTGACTTAGGCTCCCCATCCTCCCGCATGCAACTCGCATATCTCCAGACCTTGAAACACTAGCCCCTCTCACCTCTCAAGTGGTCTCCACCAAGGCCCACCGAGATTCTGCGTCCCTTCAATCTCCAAAGACAACGCTCTTGTCCTCCGCACTCTCGTCCTCCCCTACCATCTCTTCTCCCCCGACAGCATACCATCCACAATAATCCATGCACTACGCTCCGGAGCAGTGACCTGTTGCGCCACCATTAGAGACGAGAGAAATCTCTACCAAGCCAGACCAGGCGGACATTGATGGCGGAGGGAGGAGGGAGATGAGACCGTCCGCTTAATTACTCCTGGATAGAGAGACGAAGATTGAGTCCGGGTCTTCTTTGTCGTTGCGGCGCTCGGGTTCGTGGTGCGAGATTGAATTGGAACTCGTCAGCCGCCGGCGCCGGCGCCGGAGAAGGAGTCTTGCGGTTCTTGCTGCCGGACCGGAGGCAAGTCATGAGCAAGTCGTCTTTCCGCCTTTGAGATCGATACGCCAGTTGGATGCGATACTCGGGACCGATATATGGAGTCTTCCGCCGAATGCCAGAAGAATTCCAAGATCCGGGAATCCAGACCATCGGCGCAGTCCGTGTCGACCTACATCAGACGGGACGAATAACATCCCTCGTATCATGCATCTCTAACCCAAGAATCTTCTCATCCTGGAAGACCACTATACACTGTGGTCCGTACATCTGAAAGCATTCCCTCTCCTTCAACTTCTCCTCTCCTTCAACTTCTCCTCCTGCCCCGCCTTATGCAGAATAGGTCCACAGCGAAGAAAATCAAAGCCATCAAACATCTACCTCCGCTCTCATATCGAAGAGGATGGGCAATCGATCCTCACTCCACGGACCTGCTTTCCCTCCCTAAGCAGTCTTCGGGATCTATATCATCTGCATGCACACTGACCGACCATTGTTGTTGTTGTTGTTGTTGTTATTGCTGGCGGGCGATCGGAGGGAAATGAAAGAAAGAAAGAAACCGGGGACGGGGATTGCGCCAAAAGCGCTGGTGTTCGAGGCCATATGTCAGTCAATCTTTAGATCGATATACTCGGCGGAGATTTTTTCCACTCTGGAAGGGAGAAAGGTGGATGGGTATGGGGTGCAGTGCAGCTATTATTAAGAGTAGTACCCTCTCTCTCAGGTCAGATGGGTCAGGGATAGTATAGTATTCTTGTTCCTGGCTCCCACGCGAGCAATACTGTAGTAAATCTGCTCCACGAGCTGAGCTGGAATTTCAGGACGCCTCGGATCGGGTTCGATAGCAGTCTGCACTCCCGAATAGTTGATGGATGAGGTTTGTGGTATGCTGCTTTATCAAGGCAGCTAGCTCTCAAGAGCTCTTCATATCCGTCGAGTCGACGCGGGAGGGAGCGCATCGATGCCACGAGCTCGTTTGTGCCGAAGATGCGAGAGGGAGCGGATGGTGCTTGACTGTGCAGGTGCTGCTTCTCCCCTGCCGCCGGGCTATCAAGCGGGTGGCCATTCATGCCTATTTCGAGGGCGTCGGATCGTGTTAGGGAGGGGGAAAGATGTTATCATCGAAGGGATAAGCGCCGGACGGGCGAAGGACTCGGTCTGGGGGATTTGGTCGGATAGTTGCGAGTAGCTCATGTGCTCCTTTCGAAGTCGGGTTGTCAGAGGATGTTCAATTGAATTGTGTTTGAGAAGTCTCACCCGAGTATCCCAACCACCAGAAAGAAAAAAAAAGAAAGAAAGAAAGAAAGCAAACTCAGCATCTGTAGCAGACGGGCAGTTGCAGTGCCAAGACGTATTTATTACCAAGACCTGACCTGACGTGACCTGACGTGAAGTGAGGCTCTGCGGTATTCATATTCATATCTTACCTGGCCTGCTTTCTCTCTTTCCTGTAGCGAGTTCTACCTCGTGAAGATGTAGAGATTTACACTGTCGTCCCTTAGTTAATCTCGAAGCTCGAGTAAGTATAATTTGCTGATCCCGGATGCTAAGATCTGGGCCATGTCCGCATGCATCTCTTTCGACCGTGTTCTGACGGGGAAAATGGATTGACGTACTACCTTGACCGTCGAGTATCAGCTATGAACCATATACATTACGGGAACACTCAGTGGGCGTCTGTCTGCGCTTCCTGTTCTCGCTGGCTAGGTAGCATTTCATCATGATGTTGTTCATGACCAGATGCAGAGACCGCTTCGCCGTGACTTTCAGAGTGCTCTGAGGAGACTCCCACTGCCTCAGAAATCACAGGAGCAGGAGCAGGGGTCTGTCCAGTCTGTGCAGCCGCCGTCTCCGCCTCATTCCCATTCTCAAAAATTCCACTCTCCGGAGCAACAACATCAGGCGCCGTCCGCCTCCCAGCGCGGTGTCTGACAGTACCGAGCCCCATCTCGAACGGCCCGCCACCGAACCATTGTCTGCCCTCTTCGACAGCAGGCGGTGTCCCTCCAAACGGACTCGGACTCCCAGCAGCTCCAAAAGGCGTCCCCTCCCCCGCGGAGGGCAGCGGCGGCGAAGGGCGATCGGACATCAGCGGCGACGGCACGCCGAGCGAGGAAGGGTCGGAGGGGAGTCTAGAATGGCGGGGTCGGAAAGGCGACACGGCGCCTCCTCCTCCCAGACTAGACCGCGAAACCGAGCCGGCGTCGAGTTCATGTCTCTCATTTAGGAATCCGCGAGCCGTGAAGCGCGCGTCGAGTTCGGCTTTGAATTGATCGGAAGCTTCGTCGTCGTTGTTGTTGTTGTTGTTGGGGGCCTCGGACATGCCCGGGGGTGGTTTGAAGTATTCGTGTCGGTGTTGCATGGACATGACTTCGTCGTTGATTGTCGTTCCGCCCATGCTGGAGGCGCGCCAGGAGGCTCGTTCGCGTTCGCGTTCTCTCGCGCGCTTGTGGGAGCGTTTCTTCCAGTAGAGGAAGAGGAGGCCTGCGAGGAGGGCTAGGGCTGCTACGGCGCCGAGGGCGATGCCGGCAATGGCGCCGCGGCTGAGGGTGCTGGAGGAATCGGGCCAGGTCCGGATGTCGGTCGCGTGGTCTGGGCTGAATGTGGCTGGTGAGAGGTAGAAGATGCGGTTGTCGTAGTCGGCTGCGAGGTAGCTGTAGTAGATTAGCAAGACCTTGTCACTTGTAGATATTGAAACGCTCACGCTTCTTGCAGAAATGTCCTTCCCAGGAAGAATTGTGAATTGTCTGCCGCTCGCTTCAGGGGAAAGTATTGGCGGGTCGCGGATGTATAGCTCGAATTCGGTCCTCCAATGATCGGCCAAGCAGCAGTCTGGTTGAAGGCGGCGAAAGGAAAGAAGATGGAGGTCTTGTTCGTACCAGCCGCATCGCCCGATAATGTGAATGTCACGGATGCGTTTCGTTGTAGCAGGGTATCGTGTAAGGCGGTATCGATGAAGTACATCTGGCTAGTGAAGTTGTAGACGAGGCCGAAAGCGTCTTCGAAGACCTGGCATGCGGAGAGCGGAAGCCAAATCTCGGGGATGGTAGAATCGATCATCCACGGCTGCGAGGCGGTATTTGTGACGTGCGTGATAGCCCCATTCGTACTCAAGGATATGTCGTTCACGTAGATGAGGAGGTCTCGATCGGTCTGCTGGCCCATCGGAACCTCCAGACCACTTCGCGGATCGCCTCGCTTGGCATCATAGCCGCCGAGGACAAGACTTGACCATGCAGTTCGATAGTACGCTCCCGCGTTGTAGGCATAGAAAGCGCTCTTGATAGCGCGTGTGGCGCTGAGATCCCCGAGCGAGCTGTTGAAGGTCCCCGCCACGTCTTGGAACTCGGATGCATACGGCAAGAGGCCCAACAGTCCGACATAGGGGGCGTTGCCTGAGTATGAGTATATGGTTTGTTGTGTGAGGGGCGGCCCGTTGTTTGCTTGGTAGCCGAATGCGATTGTATCTTGACCCGCGGTTGCGCTAGCATTGAGATCTATCGTGTTGGTCAAGTTAGGCGAGCTGAGAGCGGTCTCAGCAGTCCACGGGAGAAGAAAGTTGCTTGACGTAGAGCCGGGCCTGGTGATCTGTTTATAAGAGACGGATTCGGCGGTATCCCAGGTGCCGCCGCGGAGGAGGGTACAGTTTGGCGCGGCATTACTGTTGGTACAGGCGTCGAGTCGAAGAGTCCAAATCGACGACTGAGATGTTGAGGGCAATAAGAGCAACGGAGCCGCCCTGTGGGTCCCTGTCAGTCTCTCATGTCCATCAGCGTAGGGGTGGCTACACGTACTTGGACCCGACTTTGATGGGTACAGGCGACCAGAGGCCGTCGTTCCCAATGAAGCTCTGGCCCGGGTCGATGGCTATGGCGGACATGGTGGGAATGGACAGATGGACCAAGATCTTGGGTGCGTCGTCTCAGAGCCTGTCGCGCATGCTGCTAGATGTGGTGATTCGAGGCGGAGTGTGTTGCGCGGGTCGACGGCGTCATCAGGGCTGAAGATTGAGAGCCAGATGGGCCTGTGCGCCGCATTTTCAGAGGATGCGGAGGACATGAGCTGGAAGGCAGCCTCGTCGTCAAAAGGATGCACCGATGCGGACACCAATGCGGAGGGTCGTGGCAAAGAGCAGCTGCTGTGCTGTGCTGTGTGTGGTGGCAGAGGAAGAAGCAATAGCCAATAGGTGTTGGATACAGCGATGCGGTGTGGTTGCAATTGGTTCACACCCCGAAGCCATATATACAGCATGCACAGAGATAGACATCCATGTGCATCGACGTGCAGACATATGCATATCGATATGCATCGATATGCAGACATATGCAGACATATGCATCCATGCTGCAGCAGGTGACGGCGGGGCCCCACAGGCGGAGCGAATTGGGTGCCTCAGGCGTCGAGCCGAGCTGCGGCTGTATGCACTTCCTCCCGCTCTGGGTGTGACTTGCCTCACCGAATCCGACTTCTCCCACCAGCACTCACCATCACATCTCCCTCCATGTCAACATCCAGAAGATGCGGAGAATTGGCCGGCATACACACAGCACATCTCCTCGGCACGAAGCGCTCCACCTGGACAGCGCAGGGACGGGCGTCCGTCTAGTGTGTCGGTGCACAAGGCTCCCGCTGCGGTGACAGCCTGCCTTATTACAGGATGAACTCGACATCCACGTCTCACCCAAATCAGGGCACAGGGCACAGGGCACAGGGCACAGGGCACAGGGCACAGGGCACAGGGCACAGGGCACAGGGCACAGGGCAATTCCTCCGGCATCCCGGCAGCCTCGCGATGCGCCTTCCCTTCTGCTTTGGGAAGGAGCTGGCTTCACGTGCACTGCATGTGGTTCTCGGGCCGGCCCCGTCTTCTGGATGCGCACTCGGCAGGGCACAGGGCACTCGGCCAACCGATCCACGCCAACACCACCTCACGCACTTCGCACCACGAACGACCTGCAGTAGTGCTCCAGTGGTGCTCGCACAATCTCAAATCTGGCTGGCATACAGCTGGACGAGGCCGCGCAGTCTCGCCGCTCTCTGCCTGCTCTTCGATGCCCGAGGCGCAGCGCCTGCTTCGACAGAGCCTCCCGTCACCGATACCTATGAACAGACACCGGGCCCACTACGAGTTCGGCGCACTCTCCTTCACACGTCGCACACCCCAGCACCCGGACCAGAATCGTCTCCTCAACCCGGCTCTGCCCCTCGCCGACCGCATTGACGACCGCATTGACGACCGCATTGACCCAGTTCAGACGGACGTCTGGTCGGTACCGCAACTCATCTCAACACAACACAACACACCTGGGCTGACATCTGCAGCTCCTACACCCCGAGGCAGTAATGCATTGGACTCTGCTCACGCTCGCTCTGGCAGCTCTTGCCAAGTCGGAGCTGCACGACCGTGGCGGCGGAGATGATCCGCCCTACACCTGGTACAAGACATACGAGACAACAGCGCCCGTGGTCACTGCGACCACATCACAATACAGCACGGTCTGTACCAGTACATATGAGCAGACCTGGCCGGGAAAGGAGTCGACCTACACGACGACCACGACAATCACCTCCTATGTGTCTGAGAAGGGCACGTATGTTCCGGTATCGGTCACGACCACTCTCCCGGGAACGACGGAGACAGCAACCACCACTTACACAACTCTGACAACCGAGACCGACTACATTACAGAGTTCAAGCCCACGACTACGACAGAAACCATCATCAGCGTCTCTAATCAGACACAGACGATCAGAGAAACAGACACCCAGGTATTTCATCATCGCTGCCAATCACTGGGTATGCGGAGCACCTACTAACTCATCGCTAGTATGTTCCCACCCCGGTCCCGTATCCGACCACAGAGACGGACTTGTATCCATCGCCAACTACCATCTACTCGAGAATCACAACGCCGACCACCATTTACTCCTACTCTACTGCTTACGAGGACAAGACGAGCACGGTCTACACATATACTTACACAGATGTCATCTCGACAACGACTGCCATTGTAATCAAGCCCACCACGGTACCCACTACGCTCCCCGGACAGACAGTCAGGACTACTGTTTACGTTCCGCCGATAACGACTACTGTATCCGGTACAGCTACTATTATCTCTGGATCGACCATCACTACAACAGTTGTCGTTCCCACTACGATTCCTACTACGCTTCCAGGCGAGACGATCCTTACTACCGTCTACATTCCCGGACCAGCAACAACCATCTCCGGGAAAGTGACCACACTGCCGGGCACTACTGTGATAAAAACAGCCCCTGGCGAGACAGAGACCATACCAACTACTGTCTATATTTCTGGGTCAGTGACTACAATCTCCGGCCAAGTCACCACACTGCCGGGCACTACTGTGATAAGTGAAGCCCCTGGTGAGACAGAGATCATACGCACTACTCTCTATATTCCTGGACCAGTGACTACAATCTCCGGCCAAGTCACCACACAACCAGGCACTACGGTGACCACAGATATCTTTGAAACCGTAACAGTATCCGGATCCACAGGCGTCGTTACTGGTCCAGGAATTGATCAGACAGTCACTGTATCGGGTAGTCCGATCTCTGTACCGGGCCCAGCAACAACGATCGAGCGTACTGTCACTCTCTCGGGAAATGCGATTGTGGTGTCTGGCGGGGCAACGACGGTCACTGTCGCTGGACCTACAGTTGTCGTTGCTGGTCCTGGTACTACATTGACGCAACCTGGATCTCCATATGCTGTTCCTGGTCCTGCAACGACCGTCACGATCGCTGGAAGCCCCATCGTCATTCCTGGCCTAGGTACTACCGTAACTGTCACTGGACCTGCTGCTGTTCAGACGTTTCCGCCTTCAACCGTCACAGTCCAGCCGAGCGTTGTTACACAGACCGTGCAAGGATCCATCATCACCGTAACACGCCCCGGTAGTGTCTCTACCGCGCCTGGCAGCACGGTCACACTATCCGGCTCGGTGTCAGTGCTCACTCTTCCAGGAACCACAGTCGTCAACAATGTACCCGGATCCGTGTCAGTCCAGACTTTGCCGCCTTCCACGGTCACTGTGACGCTGACAGGTGGCATCGCTACCATACCGCCATCTGTCGTCACAGTAACTCAGGCTGGATCTACGGTCGTACAAACAGTTCCCGCGAGCACAGTGACACTTTCAGGATCGCTCTCCGTGCAAACGCTTCCTGCAACGACTCGGACTGTCACACTGAGTGGTGCTGTCACTCAGACGGGCTTTGGCATGCCGGGATACACGGTTACCGTCACTCCGCCTGCACAGACAATATTTGTTACTCCGCCGCCACCGCCTCCTCCGGCGACGACATGCAACTCCTCCGGTTTCTATCCCGCACCAGACGCCTTGGCTTGTGGAGGACGAAGATGCTCAATTCAGATCGAGGAAGCCGCGGCTATAGAATGGTATGTCCGCTTCGGGAAACTGTCTTGAATGATCACTGACCTGGAGCAGGACTCTACTCCCCGACTCACCTCCCTTGAAGACTGAGCTTGTCTTTTCCAACCCTAGTATTAATGCCCGCTGCATCACGACAACTTGTAATTCCGACGCTTTCTCGTCGTTCTACGCTACAAGCGTCGCAAGCTGTGCGCGACCACCCTGTCCTTCCAACTCTCTTAACCGCGATTGCACCATCGTGTTTGGGCCTTTTGATATCGGCGATGGCACAACGACGATGATGTGAGTAGCAAAGATACTGTCACTACGAGAGTCCGCTGACATTTGCAAAGCACTCAGAATGGCTATTCAGGAACGACGTACATCCTTGGCCCCACTGCCGTGGCAAACAGCGTTCCTGCATGTGGACCCGGAGGTGCTTCTTGCATCACGGGAAGCTCTACGACATTCGATCAAGGCTTAATCTACACCGGAGATGTCAGTACGCAGACGATCAGTACGATGGGAGCCATGGAGACCAACCTCCTCTTTCCCGATCTTCCGCGATACTTTCCGGCAGGCGACCCCTTCGGAGGCTGCTCTAGTGTTGTTCTCGATCCTCCACGTCCAGCTGGATATATGAACAACCAACACATGAAACGTGCTGTTTCTTACGATGCAGTGCCTATATCGGCGAGAGCAGCTCCCGATACGACGATCACACAGAGCTTTGACATCCAACCTCTTAGTGCTCCTGCGCTGGTGCCTTCATCGACTCCTGTAGCGTCTCCAGCGCCAGCGCCTGCAGCTGCGTCTCCTAGCTCTGCGAGTCCTCCCGGTCAGTCTTCCAGTCCATCGCCGGCTGCACCTCAAAGCTCAAGCCCGGCGCCGGCACAAGCTTCGAGCCCATCAGCTGCAGCAACATCTCCTGCGCCTGGTAATTCTCCAGCGGGATCTTCCACTGTCGTTCCTGCTCCAGCACCACTTACATCTCCAACCACGATCATCCAACAAAGCACAGTAATATCGCAAGGACCCACAGTCATCACCCAGACCGGCTCCGTCATCACTCAGTCCGAGACTGTCATCAGCGAGTCCGGCACCGTCCGAACACAACCCGCAACAACCATCACCCAACCCAACCTGGTCACCACGCAGCCAGTATCAGTCTACACACAGTCCGGCACCACCATAACGTCCATGGCCACGATCGCAGGCGTTGCCCCCTCCAGCGCTCTTCCAGGCCCAGCAGGCACCACCGCCGGCTCCGGACCCACAACCGCAACCCCCGCACTCTCCTCCACCGACATCAACGGCACAATGTTCATCACCACGACCGTCTACTTCACCTCCATCAACCCCAACGCCACCAGCTCCCTCGCAAACCAGATCTCCTCTCTCGAAGCAGGCCTCAGCACCCAGCCTGCTGTCATCGGGAGCTATGTTTGCGGAATTCTGGGTTGCAGCTACAGTCCGACGGGGACTTATCGGTCTACTGGTAGTAGTAGTACCACTGCATCCGCGCTTGCGACTAATACGAGTGAGGCCGGCGGGGGTTTGAGGCCCGGGTGGGTGTCGGTGTTGTTATTGCTTGTCACGGCGGTGGTGTTTAGTATTTTCTAATTTTGACGTTGAAGGAATGCATGCATGGCGGCGACTTTTCTTGTGTAGTGATGATGATCAATGTGTACACGTAATGATTTCTAGCAAAGCATTTCCGACGGAAGAAGCACCGGATCAATTAATTTCAAAGATCTCGGTCTTTGCTTGAACGGGATAAGTAATTCCTGTTATTCTCTTTCAGTAATACGACGAACCCTCTCAGCATTTTCCGGAACCGAAATCTGTTCCGCGACGCGACGCGCGGGACTTCTTACTTTAATAGCGTCTACTATACCTAGTAAGGAGATATCGAGAAGAGACGATTTCTTCTACGTTGGCGTCGGGGAGGGATCCTTCGAAGAGCGAGCGACTTTTAAACTCCACGGCCTTGGAATCCTCTATATCCCCGTCGTTCGAACTTCGTTAACTAAACCTGAATCTCTCACATAATACCTCGAAACCGAACCGTATTTTAGCTTGGTCGACGAAGATGCTTAGACTGGATATTGACTGTGCCTGAAATATATATATTCCGTAGTCGTTGCCTACGCTACAGATAAGCGGAACATCTAACATCTAACATCTAACTAAAATTAACGGAGACCTACGTAGTAGCATTCTATTACTCTACGTCTACTACTACTACTACTACTACTACTACTACTACTACTACTACTACTACTACTACTACTACTACTACTACTACTACTACTACTACTACTACTACTATTATTCTAGCGTATTTTGCTACTATTTCTCTATTCGATTAGATAGGACGAGTTATGAGCGTACTATATAAAGCTATTATAGTTTTAGCTCTTGGTATATAATTGTAATAGAAGAAATAAGGTAGGTAGGCAAAAGAGCCGGCTGTAATAGAGTAGACTGTATACTACTACGGGACTACCTAATTTAGCATTCCGAACGTCTATTAATACTAAACTAATAGCAGCTGTTCTCGACAAGGTATCTAGATCGATTCTCATTCCGCAAGACCAATACTTCGTCAAAGTCTTCTGTAGCTTTAGCTAGGCGGAGTCTTGTTCTCGCGCCTCATTGCCCTCGTACTCGGTCAGCTCCCGCTCCCGTCAAAGTCGTACGTAGGTTCTACCTATATCGAACAGCTGGAGTTTAATGCCAGCTCCCACTATTATGGACGACGCATATCCGTCTTTCACATGTCCCTGCAAATGTCCTAGTAGATCTCTCCTTGACTCCTTAGGCGTCGCTCCAAAATGGGGCATTGGATTTTGCCCTTCGGAACATACTGGTCCGCGATCACCCTTATACACTACTGGCCTACAACCTTGGTATAGTAAGATTCATGTCCTAGATGATCTCCGCGAGGACTCTGTGAACAGCGCCGCATAGAACTCGTTATCCGTCATATCTACCGTGTCTCATTTGAACGCATTCGTCTCATCTTCGGTCGTAAAGGCAGGACATCAAACATGAGCGTCCGTATTCGACTTCTCCAATCGTGCATTTGAGACTAGGATAGTCATCGATTCCGCCGCAGAAGATTACTTTCTCGCCAGCCGCTTCGAACAATTTTGGCCAGTTTGAAGCCGAGCAGACCGCCCAAGCATTGTAGCGGGCAAGAATAGGGACATTCTGATTGCGTGCGGCGGACGGCTTTGTAGTAGCAATCGAGGGGTCTTGAAGACCGTCAGCAGTCCCCTCATCTGGATAAAGACGTTTAGCTCGGATAGCGTACCGTGATCATTCAGACTGATACTGTAGTAGTCCAACCCAGTATAAGAACTTAGCGGCGCCCGGGTAAGGAAGAAAGTGTGACTCTCTGCCCCCCTACGGCTGCTAGCGGAACAATGGGTTCGAGATCGTACCTAGAAGAGTAAAGTTCGTGTTCCATATTCTACAAGGGAGTATAATCAAAGTTAGAGCGGCCTGGGACCTCTCGGTGGATCTCCGACCCTTCGTTTAAAGCTTTCTTAAGGCGCATGAGTCCTAGTGAGCTTATGCCGGAAGACAGGAATGCGTGCTGATCCATAAGTCTTCGAGGCGAGACGTTAACAATCCCGGCGTATGTTTTTGCAAGTTGTTACTGGAGAGACGATATGTCGTCTGGCGTCCCATGATCGTGAGTACCGTCGGTCTTGTCTGCCGCTACCGCATTCCATGTCGTACCCGCTTCAACAATCAAATCGTTAAAGCTACCTTTCTCACACCGCTGTTTTAGCTTTTCATTGATTGCGGCATCCTCGCCTCGGGCAACGGCACAACATATAATGACTTTTGCGCAAACACAGCGAACACGCATTTATGAATAGCCCGTAGCGTTGCTTTCTGTCCTTAAGGCCAATCGCTGCCTCTGTCGGGTTGAAGAGGATCATGATAGCTTCCAAGCACCTTGATTGATCCTATACCGAGAACCCAGGTATGTATAAGACTTCCAAGCCGGCGAAACTAGCTGCATCCAAGACATATTCGATCTCGAAGGATGGATGGTCGTTGTCATTCAAGACGGCGGAGCCTCTTTGGCTCGACCTAGGAGATGGAGAACCATTCGGGTCCAGTCTTGCAACATTGCCGGCGTTCATCCAGCCGTCCTCGGTCATGCATGCTTTCGTGGCTTCTGCATTGCCTTAGTAGCTCTTGAATATCACATCTCCTTGCTAATAGACTAGGCATTGATCCGAGCTTTCTTCCTCGCCTTGCTTGACACGCTTCATCTCCAGAACGCGCGGGAGATGCATGTCGACAGACGCGCATGTGTTTTGCGTCGGAGGTAGTATAGTCGGGACTTTTGAGCTTGTAGTAACACGCCCAGCATGTCTCGCTCAGACCATAGGCGGCTTTAATAGCATGTCCGGGAGCACCGCAACGTCCCTCCCAGAATCCGGTACGTCGCTTCGACAGTTAACGTTCGATTTGCTCCGCCGCCGCACACACCATCACAGAAAGCGACCGAGATCGATTCCGGACGATTCGTCTTCTTAAGCCCCGAAGCGGAAACTAGAAAGAAGATGAGCGGGAACGTATAATCAACATCGTACTCGCCGAGTATATAGAAGAAGCGCCAAAGGTCCAGGACAAGCTCGTCGTTGGGACAAAGACTCGGCCACTGGCAACATAGATTGCCCGCAGAAACAGACCGAGTGATCAAACGCTAATTGATTGTATGAGTAGACTGGCCTAACATTTGGCCTAGGAGGAGCTCACAGATCCACGCCGTGAAAGCCTTGCCATGGGGAGGAGAAAGTTACGATGATCTTGCGTCCACGGAAGTAGTTAACTGAGTGTGTGCTGTATTGCGTAGCTTTCGAGTGCTCTATGCTGCGAGAGGTGAAGGGAATGGCGGCCGCCTCGTCCGAGTTTGTTCGGTGAACGATCCAGGATCGAGGCTTCGCTCTGCCGTGATTTAGCAGTTTCGATCTGCTCACAATTCTTGTCTTTCAGCTTCGGTGATGGGAAGAGTGCCGACGATTTGTGCGTCGATCCTACACCCCTGTCGACTCCTAGAATGGCCGCTCTCAGAGGAATTGTGAATACCGAAAAATCTCCATCTCTGGACTCTCGGGCTCCCGATTGGACAAAACCTCTTCTATGTTCTTCCTACCCTTGCCTCGATCAGCATTATCTCAAAAACACTTCTCAAGAATCTCCACATCTGCCAGAAAAGCCAAGTCACGCCAGAGCTATTTGTCGACCTGCTCGGGAACTTTGTATACTTCGCCCGCGAATTCGACGCAGTGGGGAGGTTGCAGGTCTCGTGAGATGGTCAAGAAGCTTCAATGATGTGCGGCGAAAAGCGTCGAGAATTTCTTTGTCGGACAGAGACCGGATGGAGAAAATCTCCGCTAAGGTGGGAGCTTTGGAAGAGATGGTCGAGGGCGACTCGATTGATGTCCTTGTAGGAGACGCGAGTGTTGGCAATTCTCTCCAGCCTGGCGGCGGAGCTGGCTCGGGTCTTTTCTTGGATCGGACGAAGTCTTCCTTGCGCATCCTTCTCGAGGAAGAGCTGGAGCTTGGTCGACGTGATGTCGGAGGTCGATGATCATTGTTTCTCTCGTTCTTCTTGGCCTTCGACTCGTCCGCGAAACGAGTTGGCGTCTTGAATAATCTCCAATTGCTCAGAAGCTAGTTAGGAGATCTGTCTTTATAAGATCTTTTCACACCTTTGTGTACCGTGGGGCTAATGAACATCCATGCGTGCGAGGTCTAGCGACTGGAGAGAGCTTGGTCTGATGAGAAGCAGTTATGAACAGCAAATCCTCCGCGCTGTGGAATTCATTCGAAAAGTTCTCGGCGGACCACTTTCTGTCCCATCAGAACGACTGCCACCGTTTAGGTCTGCGTCTATTCGCACGCAGTATGTCGAGTGCCACAGGCCTCATACCCCACGAATGCTCTGGAGGGTCAAAATCGTCGCTGGACCTTTTCCCCATGTCACATTGTCGCGTCCAGACGCCAATAATGGTGGAATGACCACTGCTTCGTGATCTGGAGAGTCAGGCCAGGCAACCACGAAAGATGGAAAAGAGATCCTGCAGTAATGTGGTGAGGAGTTGCCGATGCGGCCACGCAACCATATATGTGAGTTGTGGTCGTGCAGATCAGCTGTCACGAACAAACATTTTCCAGCAGGAAGCAGCGTTTTCGAAGGCAATGTCAACCTCCGCTCGCTTCGCATTGACAGTATGAAATGCACGTACTTACAGGCACGCAGTGACGAGTGGTCATTGATGTGCAAGTAGCCAACATGGAACTTCGATGTTAGCGGATGGATGCATGAGCTTTGTGCAGCACAGTGCAGTGCCTACTCCTTTGTGCGCAACCAGACCCTCGTCAATTATTGCCTCTTCGCAGGGGCATGCCGCTTTTTACTACCGAAACCGTGCTTTCAGGGAAGATGACTCGTACATCAGGCACTAGAAGAAGCTTCGGGTGGCTTGAAATCCTCTTTGGGACAACAAAGGGATATGCAGCAGCAGCTTAGCCGACGCTAAACTCTGCCATCCCGAACCTGGACAGAGACGTCGCTAAGCAGCGGAGTGACGCTGGAGGTTTCTACCTCAGAGCCCACGATATCATAATCGCTGACTTCACCTTCTGACCTAGATGAGGTGGTACCTTTCAAAAGCAGGATTACCCGCATAGCGATCAGGGAAGGCGTCGTCGCATAGAGGGCATCTGCCTCTGCCTCTGCAACGGCCAGTGGTGTTATGCATGATTCGAAAAGTAGACCTCGGTAATGGTCGTGTTGTAGCAGGGGGGAGTGGACAGACAGAGTGTGAGCGTCCTCGAGAGCACAGCGGCGATGAAAGAGGCCGTACAGCTCTGACCAGCCCAAGGGAGGGCTGCTGATGTCCCTCGCTCAGAATGGCTGCTCGGGCTAATGTACCAAACACCGACCACCTTTTGAGCATTGGGCAGAGCCGTAGCGCACGTCCTCTGGAACAGTAAGACAGTCTTTTGTAGCATCAACGGAGAGGCTGAAATTGCAGTGGAGAGCATTCTTGCCTACCATGACCACTTCGCCGGCCGCGTCTTCGGGGAAAGCGAGGTGTTGCTCGAAATATGCAAGATGCCCTGGGTCAAAGTACCCATCGGCGCCGGCTGATGAGGCTGCGAGGGTGGATCGAAGCTGCTAGACCGGAGTCCGCGGCAGGGTGGACCTCCAATGACATAAGTTACTGAGAGCCACGGCTCTGCAGATGAAGCAGACAGGCCTATAAGGACCCGTACCTGCACCAGCCTGAACGCCACGGGAGAGCATTGGCATGAGAGCATTGACCTACGCAGAGAAGGCGAGAAGGAGAGACGTTTCCTTGCATCTTGTCGTCCTCATTTGGAGCGCCGTATCGAGCGCCTTCCTGCAGAGAGATGGTCCAAGCTGCATCCATGTCAAGCGATAGATCAGGTGCGAGAATCTGCACCGCATGTCCTGATGAGAGCTGAGCAGTATGGTATGTCCATCTCGTCGCCGTCACTTGTTGCACATTCAGCGCATGCCGATGATATACTCCGTGTGCACGCCCAGGACCATAACAACCTTTTCAGGATCTATTCCGCGGCCGCGAAGCAAGCGAGGTACTCGCTCCATCCACCGCTTGCTGTATATCCTTCACGGCTCTCCATCTGCTGCGGCTGCTTGACTGTGCACGTGCGGGAGTTGCTGGGAGTGCGCTTGCGGCGGTTCAGGTTCAGTCCGGACGACGAGGCTTGCTGGCGGGAGGGTTCGGAGGGGACGAAGTGCAGTCTGAAGAAGCATTGTGACGGTCGATGGAGGGAAGAGAGGGAGGGAACCCGGTCGCTGGATCGTGACGGTGGTGGTGCACACACATACTGTCTGTGCAGTCTGTGTTGTGAAATTATTGTGAAAGCCGAGTGCGACACTCGTGAAACATGTGGCTGTGATGTCATTCATCCCGGGCCCGGGTTCGGATCACGGGAAGACAGGCCAACCGCCTGCCGCTTCCCGTCTTGCACTTTCCCAGCAACATGATTACATGTATTGTTCCTTCTCCCGGTCAAGTAGCGCTCACTAGCGACGCAGAGAAGCGCGGCAGAAGACTCGGCGTACGCAGCATTTGCCGCAAGCCACATGGACGACATCGCTCTTGCTTCTGGAATTTCTTGGCGCTCGTCATTTCCGGGAGTCCCGGATGTGCTCTGGCTTAGTCAAGACGCAAAGTCTCCCTTGTGCATCGATTCGGATCTAGTCTCGCTCATCTCAAACAAGCACAACTCTCTCGGGCTGGACTGTTGTGGACGAGTCCAGGATGGCGAGCACGTCCACCTCTCCCGGATCATCGACACCGGGATTATCAACTTCACGTCCATCCAAGAAACAACATCATACAGCCCACTCTGCCTCCCTCTGCGGGACTGGCTAGCCGACGAGGAATCCATCTGCAAAAATACAATATCAGCCCTCCTTTGTTACTGGCACAGGCAGGCCGACCTATACCCTCGTTTTCACAACTTTGACTTTGGAGCTAGAAACAGATATGCAAACTCAATGCATCCTTCTGGCTCTCACGCCAAATCTCCTCGCTCCCATCCTCTGCTGTCACTGGCAGGCGGCGGGGCGCGATGAGCTATGCGGCGGTTTCTAGTGGACGGCAACCACTGCTCGACCTCAACGTACGCTGGTCGTGCAGACCAGCGCGGCGTGGACGTGATCAATGAAACACTGCCCTGATGAGATTCATATCTTTCTTCCTCAGCATCTTGTTAGTGCCCAGCCCTTCCTCTGCTGCCGGAGTCGATCGCTCCCGGAATCGACTGCTGCCTGCGTGTTGTTGTTGTGTCTGGACTGTCCCGGAAGGCGGAAGCTCTCTGTGCACTGGACTTGCAGTCTCGCTGACTGTCCATGACGACCGTCCCAGCGTTGCCTCGAAGCTCTTGAAAACCTTTCTGGAGAGTGCCGCTGCACTACATTAGGCCCGCAATGGCGGACCCCCGAGCAGGAAGTCCACCTTCTGATCCGGATTTCGACCTCTCCCGACTGGCAGCAGCCGTTGCTACCCAGCACCCAGATCCGCGGACCTCGCCTCTGGACGACGCGCTGGAAGAGAAGATGGCTCCTCTACACGACGAAACACCCAGCACACTCAACCGGAATCAGTACCTCACCGCAGACGGCAAGGAGGAAGTCGAACTGCCCTCCAAAGAGCTCCAGGCAAAGCATCTTCATCGTGGCTCCTCCGCATTCGGGCCCTTGAGCCCACGCGACAGAGACGCACTCACCCGCATCGCTTCTCGGTCGCAATCTTTCTACTCGAGACGCAGGAACAGCACCCCTACAGCCGATGCAGACCCGGAAGCGTTGCAGCGGATAGCCACTCTCGGGGGCCATGAGCTGGGAGATGATGTCTTCGATCCCCAGAGCCCGAATTTCGACCTCAAGAAATGGATCCGAATGACGTTGAAGTTGGCCGACGATGAACATATCAAGATCAAACGAGCTGGCGTGGTGTGGAGGAATGTGAATGTCAGCGGAAGCGGGTCCGCCCTGAACATCCAGAGTAATGTTGCAAGCATGCTGATGTCGCCGCTACGAATCGGCGAAATGTTCAACTCCGGCAAGAAGAAGCACAAGCAGATCCTGCACTCCTTCGATGGGCTGATGAAGAGCGGCGAGCTGCTCATCGTCCTTGGACGACCCGGCTCTGGCTGCAGCACGCTACTCAAGTCGCTCACGGGCCAGATGCATGGTCTCGCCCTGGACGAGCAATCCACCATCCACTACAATGGCATCCAGCAGAAGCAGATGCTCAAGGAATTCAAGGGCGAGGTCATCTACAACCAGGAAGTCGATAAGCATTTCCCGCACTTGACGGTCGGTCAGACGCTGGAGCACGCAGCTGCGCTTCGGACACCACAACACCGACCTTTGCAGTGCACACGACAGCAGATGATCGAGCATGTCACCCAAGTTGTGATGACCCTCTACGGTCTGAGCCACACCTACAACACCAAGGTCGGCAATGATTTCGTGCGAGGAGTATCTGGAGGAGAGCGAAAACGTGTCTCGATTGCCGAGATGGCGCTCGCCGGATCTATGTTGGCCGCTTGGGACAACTCAACTCGAGGATTGGATTCTGCCACAGCGCTGACGTTTGTGAGATCGCTGCGAACGACTGCCGATCTCGTCGGCTCCTCTCACGCAGTCGCAATCTACCAGGCAAGTCAGGCAATCTACGATCTCTTCGACCGCGCCGTCGTTCTCTACGAGGGCAGGCAAATCTTCTTTGGCAAAGCCAGCAAGGCCAAACGCTACTTCGAGCGCATGGGCTGGTATTGCCCTCCGCGACAGACGACGGGCGACTTTCTCACATCCGTCACCAATCCTTCCGAGCGACAGGCCAGAGAGGGCTTCGAGAACAAGGTGCCACGAACGCCCGATGATTTCGAGCAGTACTGGCGAAACAGCCCGGAGTACAAGGAGCTGCAGCGCGAGACTGCAGCTTACGAAGAGGAGTACCCCATTGGCCACGAGGGCGAGCTTCAAGCCATGCGCAGCTACAAACAAGGCCAGCAAGCCAAACATGTTCGCCCCAAGTCGCCATTCGTCGTGAGCATACCGATGCAGGTCAAGTTGAACACCAAGCGGGCTTTCCAGCGTATGAAGGGCGACATCGCTTCGACCGTAGCACCCATTGCCTCCAACATCGTCATGGCCCTCATCATCGGAAGTGTGTTTTACGGAACACCAGATGCCACTGCCGGTTTCCAATCCAAAGGCGCCGTACTGTTCTTTGCCATCCTCTTGTCCGCACTCATCGCCATTACCGAAATCAACAGCCTGTACGACCAGCGACCGATCGTGGAAAAGCACTTCTCGTACGCCTTCTATCACCCTGCGACCGAAGCGATTTCTGGCATTGTCACCGATATTCCGATCAAGTTCGCGACGCTGACGGTGTTCGATATTATTCTGTACTTCCTGGCTGGACTCCGGCGAGAGCCATCGCAGTTCTTCATCTTCTTCTTGATTACTTACACCGCGACTTTCGTCATGTCGGCTGTATTCAGGACGATGGCTGCCGTGACCAAGACGATCTCGCAGGCCATGGCGCTTTCCGGTGTCCTGGTACTCGCCATTGTCATCTACACGGGATTCGTCGTGCCGGTAGCCTACATGAAGGATTGGTTTGGTAAGTGCGCTTAACTCTTTCGCGGACGCCCTTCTCGCTAACCTCCTGCCAGGCTGGATTCGCTGGATCAATCCGGTGTTCTACGCCTTCGAGATTCTCATCGCCAACGAGTTCCACGGACGCCAGTTCGCTTGCTCGCAATTCATTCCCACATACAATGGACTCACCGGGATGCAATTCGTCTGTTCATCCAAAGGAGCCGTCGCAGGCCAGCGCACCGTCAGCGGAGACGATTTCATCGCGATCAGCTACGGATACTATTACAGCCACGTCTGGCGCAATTTCGGCATCCTGCTGGCCTTCCTGTTCGGCTTCATGCTCATCTACTTTGTGGCCGTGGAAATCAACTCCGAGACCAGTTCTACCGCCGAAGTGCTGGTATTCCGCCGGGGTCATGTGCCGCAGTACATGCTTGACAAGGGAAAGGAGGGCGATGTAGAAGCCGGAACTGCGGAGAAGGGTGCTGAAGTTGGCGACGAGGACGATAAGGAGGACGTCAACGTGATTCCTCCGCAGACGGACATCTTTACCTGGCGCGATGTGGATTACGATATCCCTGTCAAAGAGGGTACGAGACGGTTGCTGGATCACGTGAGCGGATATGTCAAGCCTGGAACTCTGACTGCTCTGATGGGAACTTCGGGTGCCGGCAAGACGACGCTTCTTGATGTGAGCCATCAATTCAATGCTCCCGGGTGAACGTTTACTGATTCGTGTACAGGTCCTTGCCCAGCGTACCACAATGGGTGTCGTGACCGGCTCCATGTTCGTCAACGGCGCTGCCCTCGATGACAGCTTCCAGCGGAAGACCGGATACGTGCAACAGCAAGATCTGCATCTCGAGACCGCCACCGTTCGTGAGTCGCTTCGATTCTCTGCCATGCTGAGACAGCCCAAGACTGTGAGCAAGAAGGAGAAGTACGACTATGTGGAGGATGTCATCAAAATGCTGAACATGAAGGACTTTGCGGAGGCTGTCGTCGGTGTGCCTGTAAGTTGGAGGGAAGATACGAGGCTCTCGAACGGATGCTGATATTCTTGTAGGGTGAGGGTCTCAATGTTGAACAGCGCAAGTTGCTCACCATCGGCGTCGAGCTCGCCGCGAAACCGAAGTTGCTCCTCTTCCTCGACGAACCGACCTCCGGACTCGACTCTCAATCCTCGTGGGCAATCTGTGCATTCCTTCGCAAACTCGCCGACAACGGGCAAGCCGTGCTCTGCACCATCCATCAACCCAGCGCCATCCTCTTCCAGGAGTTCGACCGACTCCTCTTCCTCCGCAAGGGCGGCCACACGGTCTACTTTGGCGAAATCGGGGAGCAGTCTCGGACGTTGCTGGACTACTTCGAGAAGAACGGTGCACGGAAGTGCGACAACGACGAGAATCCAGCAGAGTACATGCTCGAGGTCGTCGGCGACGAGCAAGCAGACTGGGTGGGGACGTGGAAGAACAGCGCACAGGCCAACGAAGTACAGCAGGAAATCGACAACATCCACAAGGAGAAGGGTGGCCAGCAGAGCGAGGAGGGGGAGGATGCGACTGCGCACTCGGAGTTCGCCATGCCCTTCACTCAACAGCTCATCGAGGTGACATACCGCGTCTTCCAGCAGTACTGGCGCATGCCATCGTACATCATGGCCAAGGTCCTCCTCAGCGCCGCGTCTGGCCTCTTCATCGGCTTCTCCTTTTACAGCGCCGACGTCTCCCTGCAGGGAATGCAGAACGTGCTCTACGCGCTCTTCATGGTCACGACCATCTTCTCCACCCTAGTGCAGCAGATTATGCCGCTCTTCGTCACACAGCGATCGCTGTATGAAGTCCGCGAACGCCCCAGCAAGGCGTACAGCTGGAAGGCCTTCCTCATCGCCAACATCATCGTGGAGATACCCTACCAGATCGTCGCGGGGCTGATCATCTACGCGAGTTTCTACTACCCGGTCGTCGGCATCCAATCGTCGGAGCGGCAGGGCCTCATCCTCCTCTTCTGCGTCGTCTTCCTCATCTACGCCTCCACGTTCGCGCACATGTGCATCTCCGCGCTGCCCGACGCGCAGACGGCCGGCAGCATCGTCACCCTCCTCTTCGCCATGTCCCTCATCTTCAACGGCGTCATGCAACCCCCCGACGCCCTCCCCGGCTTCTGGATCTTCATGTACCGCGTCTCCCCCATGACGTACTGGGTCGCCGGCATGGCGGCCACCATGCTGCACGGCCGCCAGGTGCAGTGCTCCACGGAGGAGGTGTCCATGTTCAACCCCCCCGCCGGCCAGACGTGCCAGCAATACATGGCGCCCTACCTGCAGACGGCGCCCGGCTACCTCCTCAACCCGGACGCCACGACGCAGTGTGGCTACTGCTCCGTGCGCGTGGCGGATACTTTCCTCGCGGGCGTGAATATCTTCTGGTCGGAGCGGTGGCGCAATTTCGGCCTCATGTGGGCCTATGTCGTTTTCGACATTGCCGTTGCCGTGTTGCTGTATTACTTCTTCCGCGTGCGCAGTGGCAGTGGCAAGCCGAGCTGGATTTCGAAGCTCACTTCTAAGAAATCCAAGAAGAAGGACAAGAAGCAGGATCCGCAGCAGCAGCAACAGACTCGTCCCGCCGAGCAGCCCGAGGATGCGGCGGCGCAGACCAAGAAAGGTGAAGCCGAAGGCAGCGGCAGCAGCGGAGAAGATGCTACTTCTGCTTCTGCTTCTTCCGACGACGAAGACCGCCCGAGGGATTTACAGAGGAGGAGGAGGAATGATGATGGGTCTTGGATCCAGGGGACCGTGGATCAGTATCGGAATTATAATCTCCGGAGGACGAGGACGAATACGCGGAATGCGGAGATTTTTTGAAAAAGGAAAATGGAAGGATATGGAGAAGATGGAAGAAGATGGGGGAGGTGGAGAAGGTGGAGAAGGTGGAGAAGGTGGAGAAGGTGGGTAGGTGAGAAGAGAAAAGGTGCTGTTATTCTTTTTTTCGAGTGGTTTTTTGGATGTTGTATGAATTTGCATTGGGAGTTGTATCTTTCTGGCATTGGTAGGAGCGATTGGGATAGATCGAGAGAGAGAGAGAGAGATGATGTGTCTTGATAAGCGTCTTGCTTACCTGTCTTGCCATGTCATGTCATGTCAAGTCATGTCATGGATGTCAGATTGCCGCACTCCACACTCCACACTCCACACTCCACACTCCACAACATGGGCGCATGGAAGCAACCTGGAAGGCTCATCATCATCCCTGTCCGCCACGAGGTGCTACGGTGCTATCTACGCATGGGTGCATGGGTGAAGTGCCGCTACCTACCTACCTACCTACCTACCTACCTACCTCCCTTGAAACATCTGAGAGACGAATTCCGTTCGTTCTTGAATTCTTGACTTGTTGACTTCCGACATGATTTTTCTTGACTTCCGACATGACTTCTTTGATGCTTGATTTCTTGTGATTTCTTGATTTCTTGATTTCCAACATGACATGATATATATGATAATGATAGGCGACTTCCTTTTGAACCATCCCGCCTTCCCTTTCTTCTTCGCCGCAGCGCAGGGGGGGATCTCTCTTGTCTTGTCTTGGCATAAGTACGGCAGACGAATCGGACGAAGAGACGGGATAGCAGATAGGATAGCGGGCTCGAGGCTTGGATTTCTCCCGAACCCCCTGCCTGAGACAGAGAGCGCCGGGCCCAGTCATGTCTACGATGTCTGCGATGTCTGCGATTCTATGGCATCTAGCGCATAGGTAATAATGGAGGTTCTGCATTTGGAGGAGGAGGAGGAGGGGGAGGTGGAAGTGGAGGAGAAAGGTGAAGGTGGTGGAGGCCGCGGAGATATATGAGCCGTCTCATGACCGCATCTGGACTGTTCCGAAAGTCGTCGTGGTTGTTCGCTCGCACCGTTCTCCATTACAGTTGTACAATACAGCAGTACAGTACATGTGGCGGCGACCAGGGATGTGCCGCGGGAAGATGCGGGGAGATGTACCTTCCCTGTCGGTTATCGTGTTAGTTCCCGCTGGACATCAAAGCTTATGCCTATTGCTCCTTCCGCTTTGGGAGCATTACCACGGTCATCGCACGCTTGGGGGAGCTTATCGCGATAGTAGGAAGGCACGAGGGAGACTACGCCACCTACCGAGGAGGAGCTGGACCATTCACCTTTCGCATCGCATCGCATCAGTCATCAATTCCGAGACGACTAGAGTTGCCCGTGTGGAAGGTACTTGGAATACTCCTGCCAATCAGGATACGCCCACTCCAGATGACAGAGGTGCCGAGGCTGCAGGATGGACGATGCGATGGGAGATACAGAGGCGCATAAAGCAGACCTCGTTGCTCGTTTGCTGTGAGACGTGTGGAGGAGTGCGTGAGACATTATTCTTCCCCATCATGCATCTGACCGGTTGTGCAGTCGTGTGGTCGCTGGCCGCGTCGGCGCTGGCCCTGTCGACGCCCTCGAACCTCGTCAGCCACGAGAAGCGCACGCAGTCCCTCAAGCAGTGGGTGAAGCGCGGCGACGTCCATCGCAGAGCCATTCTGCCCATGCGTATCGGCCTCAAGCAGTCCAACATCGACAACGGCCGGGCTCATGCCCTGCTCGACGACATGTAATAATCACCCACTCCATTATTCCACCCCTCCCTCAATAATACCTAATACAACCCCACGCACGCTCACTGATATCGATATCACTCATCAGCTCCCACCCCGACTCGCCCAACTTCGGCCAGTGGCTCTCCGCCGAGCAGGTCCACGACCTCTTCGCCCCCGCCCCGGATGCCGTCGACGCCGTCCGCGCCTGGCTGCACGACGCCGACATCTCCCCCGCCCGCATCTCCCAGTCCACCAACAGGCAGTGGATCCAGTTCGATGCCACCGCCGCCGAGGCCGAGCGACTCTTCAAGACCAAGTACCACCACTACGAGCACCTCCCCACCGGCAGCAAGCACGTCGCCTGTGACGAGTACTTCCTCCCCGACCACGTCTCCCGCCACGTCGACTACGTCACCCCGGGTCTGAAGCTGCTCGGCGGCGGCAGAGCCTCCAACGGACGCCCCCTCGACGGCCGCAAGCGCGGCCGCGGCATGGACAAGCGTGGCTTCCGCACCGCGCCCAACCAGAACTTCTCCACCCCTCCCATCATCGGCCCCCTCCCCATCCCGCCCACCGTCCTGAACGCCACCAAGCAGTTCGAGCTGGCCAACTGCGACAGCTACATCACTCCCCCGTGTATCGCCGCCATGTACAACATCACCCAGGCGACCAAGGCCGCTCCCGGCAACGAGCTCGGCATCTTCGAGGAGGGCGACTTCTACGGCCCGGCCGACTTGGCCCTGTTCTTCGCCACCCTCGCACCCAACATCCCCGTCACCACCATGCCCAAGCTGGAAGGCGTCGACGGCGGATTCGCCCCGGGTGCTTATGCCGGGGGAGAATCGGATCTCGACTTCCAGATCTCCTGTAAGCAGAGCGTTTGTGAACGAACATACATCCTCCAGCACCACCCTGACCACATCCTCCTCACAGACCCCATCATCTACCCGCAGAACGAGATCCTCTTCCAGACCGACGACATCTTCTACGCGACTGGCATCGAGGGCGGTGGTGGCTTCCTGAACACCTTCCTCGACGCCATCGACGGCTCGTACTGCAACTACTCCGCCTATGGCGAGACCGGCGACGCCAGCATCGACCCCAAGTATCCCGATCCGATCCTCCTCGGCTACCAAGGCCAGCGTCAATGCGGTGTCTACAAGCCCACCAACGTCATCTCCATCTCCTACGGCGAGCAGGAGGACGACCTGCCCACCAACTACCAGCAACGCCAATGCAACGAGTTCATGAAGCTCGGCATGATGGGCACCTCGGTCATCATCGCCTCCGGTGACTCGGGTGTTGCCGCTCGCGGCACGGACGACAACAACGCGGATGGTGTGTTGATCTCACCCACCCACCCTTTCTCGACAGACACGTTTTGCTGACGACACTCTCCCAGGCTGTCTCGGTCACGGCGAAGTCTTCAACCCCGACGTACGTCTTTCGAAGTTCCTCCTACGCTGAAATCCGCTGACAGTGCCTCGCAGTTTCCCGCCTCCTGCCCATACGTCACCGCCGCTGGCGCCACCTACCTTCCTCCCGGCGGAGACCCATACAAAGACCAAGAAGTCGCCGTCACCCGCTTCCCGTCCGGAGGTGGCTTCTCCAATATCTGTCAGTCATCCTCTTCGAATTCTTCCACCTCCCCTCCGTACTTATCTTCCCTCTTCCACCTCCCCTCCGTACTCATCTTCCCTCTTCCACCTCCCCTCCTTACTGACCACCTCCTCTCTTCCTCTAGACCCCCGCCCCGCCTACCAAAACGCCTCCGTCACGAACTACCTCACCGCCCACACCCCCTCCTACCCCACCTACAACACGTCCGGCATGAACAACCCCCCCGAGTCCGTCACCAACGGCGGCCTCTACAACATCGCCGGCCGCGGCTATCCGGACGTCTCGGCCATCGGCGACAACGTCGTCGTCGTCGTCAACGGCATGTTCGAGCTCATCGGCGGCACCTCCGCCGCCGCCCCGACCTTCGCCGCCATCATCAACCGCGTCAACGAGGAGCGCATCGCCGCGGGCAAGAAACCCGTCGGCTTTTTAAACCCCACCCTCTACGCCCATCCGGAGATCTTTCACGACATCACCGTGGGGAATAATTCCGGCTGCGGCACGCCGGGGTTCTACGCCGCGCCGGGCTGGGATCCCGTCACGGGGCTGGGCACGCCGAATTATCCGGCTATTCTGAGTCAGTTTATGAGTATGCCGTAGAAGAAGGAAGAAGAGAAACGACAGAATGATGATGGATGAGGGATGATGGATGAAGGTTATGATGTGATTGTTACTTGGAAGAAGATGTGAGATGTGGAGGGAGATGTAAATATGATGATATCCGCGTGATGGGATTGAGGACGATGAAAGATTTTCCGATGTATATATTCCAACAGACAGATATCGCCCTTTTTTCTCTCTCAAAAAAGAAAAAAAAAAAAAAAAAAAAAAAATTCTTGGAATTGTTCTAGATATCTAGGTAATTCGACCGGAAAGAGAAGTCTTAAACCCCTTTTATAGATTAGAGAAGGAAACCAAACCGCTTTCTTCTTCTTCGAGTTCTTTCTTCTTTAAGTTCTTCTTAAAAATAACCGAGTTCTTCTTCTTCGAATCCTTCTTCTTCGGGGTCTTAGAATTCTTCTTCTTCTTCTTCGAAATCTTCTTCTTCGGCTTCTTCGACTTCTTCTTCGACTTCTTCTTCTTCTTCTTCTTCTTCGAGTTCTTCTTCGAGTTCTTCTTCTTCTTATCCTCCCTCCGTCTTAAGAATAAACGAGAAGAAGGAAATCGTAGGTAGCGCTTATACGAAATCGATTTTTTAATTATAAATAAGGATAGTATTATTTAGGTTTAGAAGAAGAACGAAGAAGAAGAAGAAGGAGAAGAAGAAGGAGAAGAACGAAGAAGAAGAAGAAGAAGAAGAAGACAAAATACTTAAGAATAAAAATTCTAATTAATAAATTCGTTCTTATCTATCTATTCTTCCCTTCTCTTCTTCTTCTTCCTACCTTGTCTTTTAAGTTAATCTAGCTTAGCTTTAGTTTTTACTTCCGGTTTAGTTATTTAGGTCTTTTTTTTTTTAGTTTAGTTTATTTCTATATATTATTATTTATTATCTTATATTATTATTATCTTTATGTTTAGTATATATATATTATTATTATATTATATATATGTTTATATATATAATATATAAACTCGAGAAGGAGATTTTAATTATAAAAATTCGTCTTACTTTATCTATCCTTCCTTCCTTTCCCTTCTTCCTACCTACTAATAAGTAGTAGAAAGTCCGAAGTACCTAGTACTACGTACCTAGGTACCTTAGGACTAACTAAAAACCCTTAGTAAGTATACCTTAGCGGCTCTACCGACCTACTTATAGCTTTACTATATACTTAATAGACCTATATCTACTCTAGTATATACCTCTTTAGTACTACCCTTTGTTTTCTTCCTTTATAGAGTCTCTTATATAGGAGCTAGATTAGCTAATATATTACCGCGTTAATTATAGCCTAATACCTCCGTATAGGAGGGTTAGGTTATAGTTACTTCCTTTACTACCTTTCCTTCCTTTATATGCCTCGTACTATTTAGTTTAGTTTAGGCCTTTTTTTTAAGTTCAATTCCAGGCCTATTTTAGTCTAGTTTCAGTTTATTCCACTTTAGGTCTGTTTCTTGTTCGTGTTCTATATATTATATCACTTACTATGTTGTATATATATGTGTACAAACTCGAGTAAAGTCATAACGTACATTATATGCATTCTCTTAATTCTTAACCTTAAATTCTAATGAAGGAAGAGGTAGACGAAGACAATACTAAGAATTTCATTACAAATTCGTCCATCTCATCCTTTCCTTGCCCTATTATTCCTTCCCGTCTGCCTGACCGAGTTCAGGCCTGTGGTTCTCTATACATCATCATCTCTTATGTTATGTTGTTAATGTGCGTTATGTATACAAAACTCGAGTCATGACATGACATGACATGAACGTAATCATTGGAGGGATTTTCATCGATTTCCTCCCTCTTCTCTATTCCTCTTCCTCGCGGAAACCATTGCCAAATTACTTTCCTTGCTGAATTAGATGAGTTAGATCATCAAAGCAGCGGCAAGCCCCGCAACCAAGAGAGATCCACCCGCGACGACCTTCTCGGCCGCGCCGCCGGTGTAATTGGCCGGAGCAGCAGTGGCGGAGCGGGTGGCGGAGGAGCCAGCTGCTGCGCTCGAAGATGGCTGGACGGCTGCTGCTGCGCTCGAAGATGCGGGGACTTGGAGCTGGCCGTCACTATAGCGGAAGAGAGGTTAGCTGGCTACCTTAGTTGATGGGAAAAGGGGGATATGGATTTCATACGTGATCTGGGTGACTGGGCGGCCTTGCGAGGATGGTGCCGGGGCGGGAGCAGGAGCGGAGCTCACTGATGGTGCCGGAGCAGCAGCAGCGGAGCTCGCGGGTTTTGGTGCTGCCGAGGGTGGAGCAGCGGCGGATGAGGCTGGGACAGCGGCAGGAGCGGAGCTCGCTGGCTTGGGGGCTGCTGAGGATGGAGCAGGAGCGGAGCTCGCTGATGGTGCCGGAGCAGGAGCAGAGCTCGCTGATGGTGCCGGAGCAGGGGCAGAGCTGGCGGGCTTTGGTGCTGCCGAGGATGAAACAGGGGCAGACTGCGAAGAGGCTGGGCAAGAACTCTTCGGGGCCTGAACTTGTCCGTCACTGGGAGATTATTAGCTTGGAGGGAGGCAGGAGGGTGGCAATGCGATGACCTACGAGATCTGAGTCACGTGGCAGTCCTGCGATGCAGCTGGCGCGGGAGATGCGGAAAAGCTCAATGGGAGTGGGTACGACGATGAAGCCGGAGCCGGGGCAGAGCTCACGGAGGGTGCCTGCGACGATGGAGCCGGGGCAGCGGAGGAGCTCTTTGCCGAAGGGACGGGTGGCACGTAGGTGCTGGCAACGGGGCATCCACCGGGGCAGTGAGTGATGGTCAGGGTGGTGGAGGAGGAGACGGTGTAGGTCGAGCCTTTCACGCTGAAGGTAGTTGCGGACGGGCAGACGGTCGTGTATTGCGAGACCATCTTGGTGACGGTGACGGGCGCGACGCTGCTGCTGACGGGTGCAACGCTGCCCGATGGCTTTGGTACGCTGGCTGGCGGGCTGCTGGCGCTGCTCTTGGGTGGGACGCTGGCAGATGGCTTTGGCACGCTGGCGCTGCTCTTTGGTGGAGCGGATGTTGGGTAGACCATGCTCACGGGCTGGGTGACGGTGCATCCGCCTGGGCAGTGGGTGATGGTGAGGGTGGTGGCCGAAGTAACCGTGTAGGTCGACTTCTTGGTAACGATGGTGGTTGGGCTGGGGCAGACCGTAGTGAACGAAGAGACAACGGCAGTGATGGTCTTGTCCTGGGGCAGGCTGGCGGCCGGGGTGGTGTGCTTGCACGGGCAGTCGGTGATGGTGAGAGTGGTCGGCTCGGTGACGGTGTATGTCTTGGAGTTGTAGGTCAAGGTGGTGGCCGAGGGGCAGTAAGTCGTCAACGCAGTGACGACCTGGGTGACATAGACATCGGGTGCGTAAACGAAGGAGGGGGCGGCAGACGCGGTCGCGTTGCCGTAATATGGTGCGACAGCAGCAGCTGCGCAGCCGGCGAAGGCTGTCAAAGCGAATGTGGTGGCCTTCATCTTGCCTGAACCTGAGCCTGCAACGGTGTGGGTGTGTGGTTGGCGTGAGGTTGTGCTTGGGGTGGAGAACGTAACAAACACAGCCCCGGCCTGCGAGTCGGTCTATATACCCTTGTGCCGGTCACTGTGCGCACTGGTCGCGCTGCTGATAGGGAGACGTCATGAACACTCTGAATAGTGGAGAGTGTTGGGACAGAACAGCCACACTGGGAAAACAAGGTTCCTTCACGAGAAGCGTCAATGAACGGGCCCGTCCCGCTTCATTTCAAGTGGGACTCACCAACGGAAAACAGATGATCATCGAGCTAGTTCCTGCAGCGTGGTAAACCTTATACCCCAGGCAAGGACCGGCTAGCACGTGAAATTCTCTGAGAGTTGCCGGATGCGGATAACTGAGCGTTCGATGTCGCCAGATCCCGATGGTGTTCTCGTTTCAAATCATGTGGCAGCACTCGGGTGGAGCAGCTTCGATGATGTGATTGTTGTCGCCATGCGATGACGCCGTCGTTCTCTTCCATTAGTACCTTCCGACTGGCTTGTAGAGATGTCTGAGTGTGAAACTGTTCTTCTGCGTCCTGCCGGCATCGCGCGGGGGACTGCAATGCGCTGCAGGATTTTCACTCCAGCCTGAGCATCCTCCCGTCTGCAGCCTCTGCACCAACGCCTTCCTTACTCATGTGCTCGGCTATCGATTCTGAATCCTCGGACGTGGCCAAGGACGCAGTTTACTGGGTGATGTCGCGCGCAGAACGCTGCCGGTGCGTTGTCGGGCGTGAAAGTTCTCATCTTCCGCGCTCGATCTCCTGAATATGCAGCACTTATGCAGGTACAGCGCGACCGAGGATGCGAGCATCGCGGACGTCGAGACGGCACCGCGTTGTCCGATTCGCGGAGGACTGGAAGACGTGCATGTCTCCTGCGTCCGTCAATCGATGATTCGTCTAGCGCTCTCAACAAGTGCGCCAAGCCTCCTCTTGTTAGCCTTTGGAGCCGTTGTTCCTGCAGCTCCAGTGAAAGTCTACCGTATCTTGGCGTAAGCCACGAAGACTTCGTACCCACTTGTCTTTGGTGTCTCTGTCCGCGGCAGGATTCATTTGGCTGGCGAAGAATTGTTGGCGGCTGAGATGCCAGCTCTGCCGTTGCGCTCAGCCGTTGCGCTCTGCTCCGTTGGATGTCATGAATGAATGCGCCAGTCCTGGTGCCCTCTGCGAAATGAAGGTGTTCGCGGAAGCCGTGGAAGAGGGTTGAATGTAACGGTGAAAGCCAGACGATTGGGAGACACGGAGCCAATCAGCTCGCAGTCAATGCAAACTGCCAATGTCATTGTCAGCAGTAGCAGCAATCCGTCAGTGTTGTTGTGTCCGCACTTCCTTTCCAGCCACATCCATGATATATCGCAAGAGGCCGGTATAGCTTGCTGGAGCTGCCTGCTTGCCTCCCTTCAAAATGCTGTCTCACCGCCAGCGGCCTAGCAACCCTATCAGTCCATCCAGCTTAGGCAATCCGGTTTGGCTTCAATCCTGGTCCATCGCATAGATCACATAGATAGCAGTGAGACAGTCACGCCGTGGACAGCTCACAGCCATTGCTCTGACAGGTATCGTTGGAAATGTTGGTTCAATGTTGCGGCCGAGCGATACGGTCATGTTGCGGTAGCAACCCCACGGACAGCAGACTGCCAAGCCCGTCGGGTCGTACCGGTCCCGCAATATTTGTAGGATCCGAGCGTCCGCCCAAAGCCTCGCTCCGATATGGTCGATACTTTGTGTCCGTAGCCTGCGCCTCGCGAGGACCTTCAGTTTGCATTGTCGTAATCACGGCGAAGGAGTCCTAAACGGCCATGACGACACTTCGCTTGCATCCATGCTGGGCTGCCACACGTTACGCCAACTTCGTGTGCCGTGCCGCCTACTTCTCATCATCTCTGTTCCATATACGAGCTCCAAATGTTGAGAAGCGCCGGAACCAGGATGGATGATGCTCTTGGAAGCAGGATCGCCGGCGACGACCATCCCAACGAGAAGTCGTGATGACATTGCGACTTGTACGATTGTAGATTTGGAATTTCCTGGAGCGATGGCCTCTTCTGGGTGTCTCTTCGACCACACAGCAGGAGCCGTGTGAAGACATAACATCCGATATCTCGCTCATTGCGCAGGCATTGCAACAGCGTCAAGTATCACCCAATGCGACTCGATTCATGCTTCCGTTCGAGCGGCTCTCTTTCTCTGGACATGGCATGTGCTCGTCGTGTGCTGCGCTGGTGCAGGATCTGGATCCGCACTTTGACGAGAAGAGGATAGCCGAGCTCATCCGGTGAAAGATCGATGAGATCCTCACATGGCCGATTCCATCGTGGGGACTGAATTTCCTGGTATCGTCCTGAGTTCATGTTGATATCGAGTGGCTTCTGGCGACGAAACGAGCTGTGCATGTCGGTGTTGATACGTGGTCCCAAGGGAAGGAGGAAGTCGACTAGCGAAGTTCCACCGAGCCTGAGCCGGGATATCCCGGCTGCAAATGGTCTACAAGGCAAGTGCAGCCCAAGACAACAACTAATTCTTCCATCTCGACGCACGTCTAAGGTAACTTTCATCACATCAATCACCACCAATTCACGCTGCAAGACAGATATCTGCATGGCAAGAACGGACTTTCGAAGCCTTCGAGCGACGATGGTGAGATGGGAGCGACCGTTGATCCTCCTCGTACGAGCTTGAGATACTCAAATAGTCTGAAGAACGGCTACATGCGCTCACCGATAGTGACTCTTGGGCCCTCTGGATCAGGCAGAGACTGGAATTGAAAGGATTCTTAGACTTCTTATTCTCAGCCGGCGCACGCCAAAATTGGCTGAAAATCTCGCAATCTTGCCTAACCTTGGAGAAGAATTCTCATTTCCGGAACGCTGTCTGTACTAATGTCCAGAGGCGTCACGATCACAGCACTTGCTTCTTTGGTTTCGCCTTGCCTGCTTATTCCGACATGGCACTCTGCTCTTTCCGACTTGAAAATCGTCGCGATCATGAACGAAATGCTGGAATGGAGCAATCAAGGTTACTCTCGAACCCTCTGGTTTTGGCCTTCCCATTCCTGGATCTTTATTTCGCATCTCATGCCTTCATGTGCCATGCGATGCAGTTTCAGACTCCGAAGCTGATGAGAAGAAGCCACCGTGAAGCAGACACAGACATCTCTGCACACATTTCTGCCCACACCTCTAGACCGAGACCGAGCTTGGGCATGAGACGGCCTGCTCTCGTATCTACAGAGTATCCGAGTACGTCCTTCAAATATCTTCTGGGTTAGCACTGCTGCACTGTACAAGAGAAGACCGCTGTGAGGGCCTTGAGATCCTTATTTCGCAAGGAGCAGACTTGGTTCGGCCGGTTCTCTGCACTTTACGAACGCCAGTGGTCCTCGATTGCAATACCCTCGATTTACCTCGGTGTGTCTTTTCATGGAGATGTTTCGCAAGTCATCATCCCTTTTCGACTCGATGATCATGCTCTACTGATTGCGACCTGGACTGGACCCTCGGTCTCTATACTGCAAAGCTTTTGAATCACGGTAGACGCTGCCTGTTCTTTTCGCCGATCCCGTTTGATCCTGCGCTTGATCGCTTCTTGTTGAATCGCCCTGTGCCAATCAGCTCTGCCAGTCACCAGGTGTCCCCGAATTGGGAGCAACAGGAACTCTGGCGACTTCCTTCTAGCGCAGAGTTCTCAACTCAACAATCGCAACAAAAAGATGGTTTTCATGTGATGGAAGTGAAGTCTGCCGTCGGCCAAGCTATCCCTGCAGCGGGAATCCCAAATAGGAAGGAGTGGACGTTCGGCCGATAGCGACGCGCTACTCTCCAAATCACAGCGACCAACACATCGCCCCGAGACACTTCTCCACATGGACCGATAACAATGCATATTGATCCCAGTTGCACATCTGGTTATATTGTCCGTATGGTCATTTTTCCAAATGTTCCTGCAGAAGTGGGCCTCGCTTCGCACCGGCAGATGGCACGTCACTCGGACGAGCCTTATCATGCATATATTAGACGAACCTCGCTTGCTTGAGCGCTGCACATCGAGCATATTCGATGTTACCTCTATCTCACTCCTCGTGCTGTAGGAAAGACAACGAGAGCTCCGGGACAACAAGAAGGGCTAGGCAATGACTCGTCGACGGGTACTGCATGGCTTGAACACCAAAAGACATCTCTTCCGGCTTCTAGAACCTGAACACTGCCTGGAAACTGCACGAGACCATGAACCTGCACGAGCGAAGAAGCGAAGGCAGATAAGACTGCTCAAACTCTGCCACCATGACCGCCCTCCTGGGGTACAAGTGGCTTGCAGGTCATCTTGACGGGGCGCATGAGTATCTTATGCAGAGCTGCATCTGCTTCAACCAACAGACACCTATCATACGGAAGCCCTGCACCCGGCGAGACGGAGACCATCCCATGATGAATGACCTTGACCGAGTTCGCATGCCGGTACTATCTGGGTGCGGGCTATCGGAGATTAGATACTTGCGTCAACAAGGCGACATTGATGGGTCGCTCTGCTGAAGAAGAATGTGAAAGAGACCGACCAGAACCTCTCAGTACTGGCAACCTCTCAAATGGACCGCGATCCCGTCGACGAAGCAATCTGCCGACAAGTGAACTCCCGTCTACTCAAGACCGAGCTTGACAAGCATTTGCACGCAGTATAATCGTGCTTGATTGCCCCAAGGAATGAGCTTCAATAGAGCTTATCGGTAAGATGTACTTTGCATCTCGCTTGGTGGAGTCGTTACCATGACCCCGTCAAGACGTCTGCACTTTTACGAGGCTCCATCCCACTCGAGCTCGCACAACCAGCCGATCTTTCTTTTCTCCCAGCAAACAATGACATGCAATCACACCATCGGAGGTGACCTTCCTGTTGTGAAACACAGGCCGCTCCTGGCTGGCTTTCAGGATATTGTACACTAGACAAAGGTCCGAAGACGAAGGCCGAGGATGGGTATTACTCGAGAGCGACGAAGAGACATAAGAATGGTGAAGTCGGCCATCAGTACCTCCTCAATAGATTACAGCGTCGGCCCTCGCTTCCTCATCACAGCATACCATTACAACGCTCAATACTTCGACACACACACATATCATCCATCAAGATGAAGTTTTCAACCGCCCTTAGCACTCTCGTGCTAGCTACTGCAGTCGCCGCCGCTCCATCGCCCTCTCGCCGACATGTCAACTCGCCTCGTCTCTTGGAGAAGCTTCGCCAGCGGCGCGCAGAGCGTTCGGCCGCGAAACGCTCCGATCTCGTCAGACTAGACCGCCCCCTCGCCGTCAACTTCACCAGCCTGGACGACGTCATCACCATCAACAACCCAGACCACGTCGACTACAGCTCTAACTGGGCTGGCGCCGTCATCATCGGCTCTGACATCACAAAGGTCACTGGCACTTTCACCATCCCAACCGTCAGCATCCCCAGTGGAGGAAGCAGTAGTACCGAGTATGGTGCTTCCGCTTGGGTCGGAATCGACGGAGATACTTGTGAGACCGGTACGTCCCTTCAAATTTCCTCAGTCACCTGTTCACCTCGTTCTAATTCGTCCACTAGCTATCCTTCAAACTGGCGTCGACTTCCTCATTGAAGGTTCCGAGACTGCCTATGAAGCTTGGTATGAATGGTACCCGGACTACTCGTACACCTTCAGCGACTTCGACGTCGCTCCGGGCGATGTCATTACTGCCACTGTCGTTTCTACTAGCACTGTTGCTGGTACTGCCACCATTGAGAACCAGAGCACCGGCGAGAGCACCACGCATACTTTTAGCAATGAGGCTTCCCTGGGAGCGCTCTGTGAGACGAATGCGGAGTGGATTGTTGAGGTGAGTTGCTGCCATTTATAGGGTTCTGATCTGAAGAACTTGTGCTGATCTGTCTCTCGTAGGACTTCGAGTCTTCTTCCGAGCTGATTCCGTTTGCCGATTTTGGTTCTGTTACTTTCAGCGATGCTTCCTATGTCGCTGGCGGTTCCACGAAGAGCATTTCCGGCGAGACAATCATTGATGTCAAGCAGAGCGGTGAGGTCGTTACTGATGTTACTGTCAGCGGCTCTGAGGTCACGGTGACCTACACTGGCTGAGGAATGAAGGATGTCGGCAGAACAGCAGAAGGGAGTGGAAAGAAGAGCAAACGAAGGCAATCAAGAAGACAATGTCGTTCATGACCCATGTTGATGCTGTACTTAGGATAGACAATGAACGGCTAAGGAACTATCGTATCAGGCCAGCAAACCAGATATCTTTTAGTACATGGTCTCAGAACCCAGAAGTCCAAAACGCCAATGTCTTATAAGATCCTCCGTTGTAGCGACCCTCTGGTACAACCCTCAGACCAGCTCTACCGAATCAGGGAGCTTCACCCAGGCACTCGTAGCCTTATACCCCATCCTTAGACTTCTATACCTCGTCGCTTTCAGCACCTCCTGAACTGTCACTCCCCTCTCATTCTCCACCGGATTTATGCGGCCATAGTCAGTGGTATACTCCAACACTACTTCCACACGCCGAACCGGCGGTTGCGTCAGAACCATCCTGCCCACCAAATCTTCCCCACGAAGTTCCATTCTACTTCCCGCGCGGAACCCGATGATTTTCAGCCAGACGCATTCGTCGCCATCCTCTGTACCGGGAGCCTTGAGCGTGCGACGGAACATCATGGTGTTGAGAGAGACCAGACGTCCTTCCAGGTGCAAGTCTGCCGACGCAGGCTGAAACGTAATTCTCCGCAAACCTCGCGATCCCTCGAAAGTTTCCTCAAACGCCCTGTTGACCCTCCTGGTGACGATGATATCCCTCGGCGGAAGGCGGCATAAGACCATCTCACACAATTCCGCGACACCGAAGACCCGATTCGCCACTTCCGCAAGCGCGGCAGGATCACATCGACTCCCAGCTCTCTTGAGTCGCGAGCGCCGTTTTGCTTCTTGGAACAGTTCCAGCAACGTATCGGCGTCATGAGCCGCGGCGCAGGCCTCGATTTCGGTGGTTTTGACCGTCGTGCCTAGGTTCTCGAATAGCTTTCCTAGTTTACGATTTCGCATCAGGGAGCCTGGGGTGCGGAAGAGACGCTCGTAGGGAGCGGTCGTGCGGGGCGTAGCCTTTTTCTTGATGGCGGTTTTGGTTTTGGCCGCATAGATGGCGGTGATTTCGCGCATGCGGGTGCGGATGGTGCGTGGGCCGGAGGGAAGACGGAGTTGATGTGGAGGAGTTTTCCTCCATTGAGGCGTGTGAGTTTGCTTCTTGATGATTGAGCGGCGACCACGTCGGGACGAGGAGATCGAGGGCGACTTCTTGGCTGGCGTGCGAGGGTCGCGATCCGATGGTTCCTGGAATCTCTGTCTAATGCGGCCGAAGAACCGCCCGACTGCGTCCATGATCGCCGTCGATGGGAGATGTTGTCGCGAGAACGCAGCAGGAGTTATGACCTCGCCTAAAGTAGAGATAGGTCAGGGTGGTCAATGCTCGTTCACATGCGCGTGAAGCTCGGCTTCGGGCCGAAGCGGCGCTTGAAGGCAAAACGAATCACGCATTGTCAAGTCACCAAAACGCGACACACACCAAGCTCACCGATCCAGATCCGCTTCTCCAGAAAATCCCGCGACATGGCACCCACTACAAGTTCACCTCGAGGCCCGGCGACGGTCTGGTCTCAGCAACGAATCGACGAGATGAGAACAATCCGCAACCAGATGAGATCACTCCACAACTTGGTGCGTCAATACTACCCGCCGCCGCCGCTTCGCATGGGATCCGCCGAGGGAGAAGAGAATAGCGATGATTCCGAGGGCTCTGAAGACGAAGGGGTACCTGTGGAGGTGAGCCGTGGGCTCGCCAATGGGGAGTGGGAAGAAGAGGAGGAGATCGAACCTGAGGAGGAGATCGAACCAGAGGAGGAGCTGCAACCAGAGGAGGAGCTCGAACCAGAGGAGGAGCTGGAACCAGAGGAGAGGCTCAGACCAGAGGAGGAGCTGCAACCAGAGGAGAGGCTCAGACCAGAGGAGGAGCTCGATTCAGAAGAGGAGCTCACACCAGAGGAGGAGCTGGCAGCAGAGAACCAGACGCCATTCTCAAGGCTGGAGGAAGCAGATATGGAGCGGATCAAAGCTCAGATGTCGAGGCGTAGTGTCCATTATTGTCCCATCTGCCAAGGACAGGACATTGAGGAGCCATGCATCACTCCCTGTGGCCATATCTTCTGTGCAGATTGCGGTATAGTCTGGATCCATGAGAAGGGCAGCTGTCCCATGTGCCGGAGCACGCTGAGTCTGGAGCAATTGACGATGCTTGAAGTGCAGCATAATCGTGAGGATGCAGTGGATGGAGAGTGAATGGAGAAGGACAGGGTGGAGGGTTATAACGGGGTGACAAATGAGACGGACTTGAGACCATGCATGCTGAGGGAGGAGGGGATAAAGGTATCGCTGATGACATGAAAGACCGAATGGGAGTGTGCGACTCTGAGGAGATCCGACGGTGCAGAACGTGTGATGGCTTGGAGCGACACTGCCAAGATTTGAGAAGAATCCGCAGGATAGATACAATAGATGGACAAGGGGCAGAATAGGTACCCTGCTGGCACAAACTATTGACGCGAGCTTCTGCATACACCTGACACCTGACTCGGGAAAATCACAATTCCCATTGCAAAAGCTTTCGGTGTCTGTCGGGCTCGCGAATTGGTCTCTCCTTTCTCTTGTCTGCTGGATCCGCTCATAAGCCGAAGACTTCTCGATCGCGCTTTGATGTCTCGAGACATGCTGCTTTGTGGTAATGTCTCCCGTAAGCTCCAAAGAGCTTTGCGGACGCTCGACTCAGAGCTGAGGGTCTACTAGACGCTAGAAACGTAGCAAACTGTCCAGAATGAGCGAGTATTGCATTCTCCTCGATGGAACTGGCTTTTGATTGTGCCAGACCATGGTCTGAAATCGGCAAACAAGTGCCAGAACGTGACTCTCGAGCAAGCAGTCACCGGTTTCCAGGTGATTCCAGCGAAACCTTTCGTGGCTTCCGATTTTCTTATACAATGCAGAGCTTCGCCCATCTTTCTCAAAGCAATCACAGGCTTAAAGTCAGCCGAACGAGCTCCAACACCTCCTCCTACTCCCATTTCGTCGACATTGACTGTCCGACCACGCGCAGCAAGCCGCAAAGATGCCTCCATCCGACCACGACCACGACGACACCGACGCCGTGCCTACACGCGCAGAAGCCGAGCTGGAAGAGATGCACGCCAACACGGCCGCTCCACCGCAGGGAAGCCCACCAAACGCACCGCCAGGCCAAGTACCCGCTCAAGACATCCGCCTTGCCAACTCATACCACTACCCAGCAGCACCACCAGGCTCGGCTGTACCAGCACAGGCTGTATAACGTTACAGACCGCTGCCGCCACGCATGGATCCACATGCTGCGCAACAACTTCCGAATCTCTATGCCTATGTACAAGGTGAACGAGGCATTCCCGGGTACAACTCAATGTACACTGCTCCGCATCAGCTTGGCCCGCCTCCTGCTCCTGCACACTTCCAACGTCCGCCGGGGATGATGGGCCACCGCACTCATCGTGCTGCCCCACGCAACCAAAATCATGACCAACAGGCAGCGATACGGGGCCGTCCCTCTGTTCCAAATCTTCCGCAGGATGGATCCGATGCCAGACCAGCCTTCTCCCGCGATCGTATCCAACTCCCGCCTCAGTTCCCGCCCCCCATATTACAGCCCGCTTTGAGCGTCAATGAGATCAAAGCAATGCTTCCAAAGAGCACCAACCTCGAGGACTTCGCAATGGGTGAGGAATGCGCCATCTGCAAGCATGACAAGATCGAACCATGCATGACCGCTTGCAAGCACGCCTTCTGCGCAGATTGCGTGGTCGCGTGGATTCGAGATCGTCGCTGGTGCCCCATGTGCCGCCAGCCAGCGATTATCTGGGAGTTGGTACTTCTCGATACCCAGAATCAAGAGCAGAACGCTGCGGACTCGGGGATGGATGGCGATGGCGATGGCGGTGCTGGCGATGGTGATGCTGGCGATAAGATGGAGGAATAGAGAGAATCATTCGACGAGCAGGGCGCATTGGGGAACTTGGCGTCCATGATTCGGTGGCGAAGGGCGATACTAATACTTATTTTGTGCTGCGGTAGATGTTGAAAGCTGCGTACCAAGGCTTCATGACTCTCTGGGCTACGATGCAGGGTATTGGACCAATGTGCCATGCTGTGACGAGTGTCTGCGACTTTGCATTGCTTGAATGAGATACTGCTTGACTGAGATGCAGAATGGGAAGGATGGATTTTGCGTAATTGGAAGTGGACTTGAAGCGATGGATGCGAGCGGAGAGGACGAAACAGAAGGACGGACTCCGATGGAGAAACCGGAGAAGTTGTATTCGTACAGAATGCATTCAATGGTAACCTTGCTTTCAAATGACAACAATACGCGAATTGTTCTGCCTTGCGAATTGATAGGTTAGGCGCCTTATCTTACTGATCTCGCCCCATACAAAATACTAAACGCTGCTCCCTCTTCTACTGTGTCTCACATCCACCTCTGCATGAACAAGTCATGCCATCCATTACTGATATCGCAGCTCTGATTCGCAACCGACCGTCCGCCGACCTCCGGCTCATATCTCTACCAATCTGGCAGCTGTTTTAGAAGACAAGTCTATACTTCACCGAGTAGACTGCATCGTCCTGACCCTGCTCACGCTCGCTATCGCAGCAGCTGCAGTGGCTCCGCGCCCAGTCCTACTTCCACGGAAGAAGGAATGCTTTGTGCTCGCCCTCACAACGACGCAGTGCATGTTGCTGCTCGTCCTCCTGACGACAGACTGGTCAGGCACGGATTTCTCGAAATGATCTCTTGTCATATTACCAGCAGGTCTGACAGGCTGTGAGAGCAAGGATCATGAGGGTATTCCATTCAGCCGGTATGGCCTGGAGGACTGATGTCGAGCGCGGCGGCGATCGTGATAGTTGGCTTTGACGGTGGGCGGACGCTGTTGTCCTCGCTTGCTATTGTGATGGGCAGACGAACCTCGAAGTGAATGGCTAGCTTCACGCGGTTTGGAGGGCCTGGCGCTGCAATTCCATTCTCGCTCATTGAGAACGCCACTGCAGTCTCTGAGCAAATACCGGCGGAGGTAGTCTGAGACATATTGTTGCATGTATTCGTGGGTAGCTCGAGTGCGGTGTGGTGGCACTGGGTATTTCGGCGCGGTGATGGTGTTGATAACAAGTGGATGGAGCCTTGCGTGATCGCAGCGAAGACTTAGGGAGGCGGACGTTGCAGGTCCATCACTGCGGATAATAAGTGTAAGTGAGCGTCTGCTATTTTGCTGTATTCCTCGCCTGTACTCAAACAATGGCTTTGTTCTCTCGATCTGTCTGGTCAAAGCACGCAGCAAGGGTCTCACTTCACGCCAAGAAGCCCGAGGTCCGCACGTGTACTCACGAAATGTCTTGATCCGCACCGAGACAAACCACAGACAACAACGCCATGAAGAAATGGGGATTTGAACCACGGAGCGATGCAAGCGCTCTTTCTGGATGTTTGGAAGGATCTCGCAGACACCTCTTGCTTCATGAAGAAGGCGGCGAGCACTACTCTGCGAGAGAACGCTGCTTTTGGAGTACGCTTGGGCGCCTGGAGAAATAAAAGAGAAGTCAACAGAGCGGAAGCTATCTCGCAGAGCCCTCGAGAATGACAGTGGCAGGATTGGCGAAAAGAATCGTTCGATCGGGCGTACACACGAACCTCTGGCTCACGTGCCTCTTACCGCGGAATGATTTGACTGCAAATCAGACTCACTGTAACCGCAAGAACTGTATTTCAAGGACACCAGACTAACTCAGAGCCGGACAAAAGGTAAGCCGAAGGTGCAGAAAGCCGAATGCCTCCAGCAAGGCCAGAGCTCGAAGCCATGCTCACGCGAGAAATGTTGCAAGATTGGCGCAGTCTCGAACAGGTCGATTACACAACCCGTAGCGTGAGCCTCCAACTATACACCCGTTGAAGGCTGGCCATACTGACGATGTACAGATCGGCAACTGGGTAATTTCTCTGCACCAGGATGGTCCTCACGTACGCCTTGGCTTATCACGTCAGTGCATGAACATTCTCAGATCCAATTCTGTCCAAAGATACCACGATCTCATGTCCAACCAGGAGTCTGCAATTCGAAACTCGGCACCCTCCAGGTATATGGTCACGAACAGAGAAGCCACGAGCTTGACTTCAGCTGCATCATTGGAAACGTTGTACCAACTACACGACTACGAAATCTGATCCACTTTCTATTGTCACGGCCACGGTCTCAGCGTCTGTTGTATCTTAGCACATTATTCTAGCGCCACTCAAGCATTGGTCGATTACAATTTGGCGATCGAACTCTAAAGATGGATAGTCCATCACTGCAAAAGCTCCGGCCGAAAGATGGAAGTCCAGCTTTTTGTTCTGAGTACCTTCTCTGCCTTGAGTAATCATTCCTTTGGACACCTCGATATTTCAGGAAACAGCTCGAGCAGCTGTAGCTCTTTCTCGAGCAGCTTCGAACATCGACCACTCCAACGTCGAGCTCAAAGAGCACAAGATCTTCAACAGCGGCAACTGTCAAGCCAATTGCGGCAACCAGTGCTCCACAATGGAACACTACAGCCCTCTACGGCTTAGCGGGCGGCAGCGCAGATTGCGTCTGCGACTACAGAATAGACAGGGCGAGGGGATTCTGCATGGAAAACATGGCCAGCTTCAATGCCTGCCATTCTGGCCCGGATCGCTCTACGGGAGAGTTCTGCAACGTCATTGCCGATAATCGCTGCGATCTGGGGGAGACTTGTACTTTCATCCAGGCCGAGTTCTTTGAAGCTCGAGCAATCCATGGTTGCCGCGTCTTACATCTATCCGCTGATGAAGGCTTGCTCGTCGAGAGATACTCGCTTGGCTGGCAACGGCACTGGCACAGAGCCTAGAAACGAAGACGAGAAGTGCTTGCGGGATCTACCCTGACCCAAAAACACACAAGTCATCAACACTTACAAAGACGAACAGTAGAGAGGTTCCTCCGAGCTTTTGAGTTGTAATTCGAGTATATTCCAGGTCGAAGACCAGAAAGCTATGTCTGAGACACGGAAGCCACCGAGAAGCAACAATGTCTAACTACGATCCACTCAAAACAGATCATAGAGATCGCCATCGGCAAAGGCATCATCAAAGCCATCCCTCCGCCGTCTGGATCTGCCCGCTCCCCGCCTGGACCGATTACCGCCACCCATCCTGTTGTATAGATTGTTAGAAGCGTTGTAGCCTCAGTAGCCCCCTTGTCCGTACATGCCGTACCCGTAAGGACTACTGTAGCCCGTGCTGGAGCCGCCGTAGCCGGGAGAGGAGTAGCCTGAGTAGCCTGAGTACGCGTTGTACGGGTAGCTAGAGTAGCCGCCGTAGTTGGGATAGGAGTAGCCTGAGTAGCCTGAGTAGCCTGAGTAGTCATTGCCTAGGAAGCTAGAGTAGGCCCCGTAGCCACCGTAGCCCCCGTAGCCTCCGTAGCCACTGTAGCCACCGTAGCCGCCATAGCCGCCGTACCAAGACATGATGATAGATGGATATCGAAAGAATGAACAGATGTTACTGGTATCTGAAGAGAAGTAAGCGAAAGGGATAAAGATCTCCGCGGCTTAAGTACCTGTACTGGCACGGTTGTGAACATTGCATTCCGGTGCCTGACGGGTCACGCATGACACTATGAACAACTGTATTCCTTGCATCTGTGAAGCACCCCGATCGAGATAGTAAAGACAACGACTTTATAGTCCCGCTCGTTCATGACGCTTTCACCATTGACCAATGATGATACCACTCCGTAGTTTACCGTACTCCTCCGCTCGAACTCTTCCTATACTATCGACTTTCGACGCAATTGATCATTCAACACAGCCCTGCGATAGTCATCTTTCTTGCAAGAGAGTATGAGTTTCTGGAGAATGGTCGTGGGGGCAGGAATATGCTCTGGAAGCACAACCGAATCCGCGATGGCGAGATCTGAAATCCAATCCATTTCGTCGCTTTCGGAATGGCCTTGTGAAACCGTGAAGTCTGAGAGGTGATGATCGTCCGAGGCAATGCCATTCGGTTGGATTTCGTGTGAGAGCTTCGAAGGGATATACTGATGAGATGTGGGTTCCATTGAAGCGTTGATTCCTGGAAGGATGATGAGCAGTGGTGTTTGGCTCTGGGTTGTGATCGACATGATTGCGTGTGAGAGAGGATGTGCTGGATGAGCAAACGGCCTCGATAGAGCATTTTAATAAACAGGTGAGGACCCAATTTTCTCATCCTGTGTCTTCGCCTGGCCATATGATGGCTTTGTCTGCGACCGAGAACAAAGAGAGGGCCGCGACACAAAGGCATTGTCTCTCATCAGTCTGCGGCGTCGCAGCCTTCATGAAACTGGCCCATCTCAAGCGCCAGTTCGAGTAAGGAATTGAAACAGTATAGTCCTGTATGAGAAAGATTTAGCCATGATTCTGGTGCTGAACATGTACCGAGACAGTAGACTGTCTCTCAATTTCCTACCTTCACTCTGGCAGCGCCGTAACTGGTCAAGCTCAATACATACTCATCGATTACATCCCTGTGAGGGCCTGCTCCAGCTACTCGCGGTACCTAATCTAGCACGCATTGAATGACGGATGTTGAGCGCCTACTCCCACTCAAACGACTGCAGCAAGAACTTCGCCGCTTCAGCTGTTCCCGAGCTCTTACATAGTTGGATGTGTAGTAATGCATTCCTATTGCTCACCGCTCGACGACGGTTCTGATTGTCCCGCAACATTGCCACTGATTTCATGAACATCGTCGTTGGTCCTGGCGTCTTCTCAAATCCAAGCGTCGAGTCGTCCAGAGCAGAGAAGTCCCATTCGCCGGAGATTCGAGCGGCATCCAAAGCAATTCGAGCTTTTGTGTTCGTGTCCTCAGGCTTGTCTGCGGCGAGATTTTGCGGGTAGACTTCAGTTGAGAGTTTGGAGGGCGTGTAGGGTCGGTGGGTTTGGGCAGCTGCATTGGTACCGGGTCTCAGGCCGTGCATGATATCTGACTTGATGGGGACAACGCAATGGAGTCGCTCTCCTATTCTATCTTCCCGGGAACAATGGCTTTGAATGACAATGCATTGTTCTAGTCGGTAGCAGGGATAGACGGCGCAAGCTGGAGACGTTTGTTTGGGTACGCACCAAGGAGGAAGAAATGATGAAGGACGATCACGCGCTTGTGATGCAGTGCAGCGATATAAGGCTCACTTGACAAGATTGACAGGGTCTCTCAGACCGTTTTGCTAGCCTTGAGGTATCAACGATAGGGGATACTGTTGGCTCTAGAAACGCTGTCTCATGGAAGTGCCTTCCTCTCATTACGTGCTATCTTCCTATCATGCACACTGTTCAATCCTTTGAAGCTTTTCCTTCCTCCATTTCGAGTCAACTGCTGAGTGGTCCTCTTCTTCATCTACCAATTGCGACCACCGTTCACCACAGCATCCTCAAAAACGACCTTCACCGTCTTTGCGTCAATGTTCGAAGCGGCAACGTAAGCCTCGATGAGCTGCTTCTGTGCATCGCTAATCTCGCCAATGAATTTGAATGTCACCAACTCCAAATCATGGAATCCAGTATCTCCGAGATGACGGATGGTCCAGAGCCAGCCACACCCGTGTTCGACATTGTCGCCGACGAGCGCCCGCGAGCTGCGCGTAACTGGGATCTCGATCTGAATGTTCTTCATCATGTCCCAGTACTTCTTCGGAGGCAGAAGCAAGGCATACTCCCACAGACGCTTCGGCGCGTCGGTCGCCAGACACGCACCGAAGACTTTGATCTGCAGCGAGTTGGAAACAGCAACACCCCGGAAGAACTCCACCTTGCCGGACGTTACCAGTCCATTCTCATCGCTGGTGACTTCATGACGCTCTGGGTACGCTGGGTTGCCGACGGCACGTTCAGTGGGCAGAAGATTCCCAGTGTTACCAACGGCACGCTCGGTGGACTGTTCGATTCGGATGATGTTGTTTCCCCAGAACAAGGGAGAGCTCTCTGCAAGGAACTGCTTGGAGACGAGCATGTTGTTCATGATGCGTGTGTGGGCGACGAGGAGGGATCGCAATGCGATAGGCTTCGGCTCGCCGGTCTCGTTGTCGGTGATGGCTGTCGATTGCGCGAGAATTTGATTGCGGATCTCCGCCGGGAGGTCAAAGAGACCTTTGCGTTGTTGTTCCGGCAGCATGGTGGCGGTTGAGCTTTTTCGAGTGTTACTGGGGCCTGGCGTGGCTTGTCGAAGAAGTAGTGTCTGGTAGCTTGTGTGTGTTGTGCGAAATTCACCTAGAGTCGCGTAATGTCTGTCACAGTCTGTGCTGGTGAAGTTGGGGAATCGGGATGTCGCAGCTGTGACGGCAGCTAGAGACTGCACTGGACAAGACTTATATGCTGGGTGCATTATCTAGGCATCAAGACTTGGATTGTGAAGGAACAGCATTGCGCGTTACAAAAGACAAAGGGACTCGATGCATTGTCAGCTGCAGATGATTTTCTATGGACAAAGCTATTGTTCCCTCGATACGGAAAGTGTCGAGTTCAGAGCGTGCTTCTTATGCGCGACCTAATAGGCTAACCATAACACTCCTGTGTTGCTCAATCATTCGTTGCACCTTCTGTCACTCCTGTCCTGACGTGCGTAGTCTCCACAGTCTTCTTGATTTCGATCTCGTTCTTCTTGATTCAAATCTCCTCCCTGATACTCCGTACGGTCCCAAGAAGTCGACTCAATCAGCGCGTCCGCAGGAACTCCACCTTGACCTCCTTGGAATCGATTTCCGAGGCGTCCACGTAGTCCTGGTAGTCCTTCTCGCAGATCAAGTTTGGCTCCTCGTAGATGAAATTGAATGTCACAGTCTCCAGATCCCGGAAACCCAGCTCGGAGAGGCGCCGCACAGCCCAACGTCTGCCCAAGAAACCGGCTTCCGCTATCCCTGCATCCCTTGTTATTGGTGAGACGCGCAGCGTGATCCTCTTAATCAGATGGCGATACTGTTGTGGAGGAAGCAAGATCGCGATTCCAGGGATCCTCGTCACGCCGTTGATGCGCGTTGGTTGACTGACTGTGAAGTACCTGATTTGAAGAGAGGTACGCGCCGCGATACCGCCGAAGAAGACGTACTTGCCGGTCTTGATGAAGCCGTTCGCGTCCAAGCTATGAGTTTTGGAGGAGGTGGTGTCCGCATCGTTCTGCTCGATGAGTCGATGACGAAGAGGTTGTTGCCCCAGAAGAGGGGAGCGGCTTCGGCGTGGAACTGTTTCGAGACAATCATGCTGGTGAGGATGGGTTTGTGACCGAGCAAGAGAGTGCGCATAGTGATAGGCTTGCGGTCGCCGTTGGAGTCGCACACGGTATAGGCGTCGGCGAGGATGGCATTGCGAATCTCGGCAGGCAAGTCCATGAGGCCTGTCGACATGTCGGTGGAAGTCTGTCCTTGCTCCTGTTGCGTGCGACTAGTTGTGTTCGCTGCTGAGAGAGCTGTACCGCCGCCTTGGAGCTCGCTGTTGGGGAACGATTGATCTGCCTGTTGAGGGATGTAGGTCGGATCCATCTTCGCTTGGCCGCTCGGTGGGTTGAGCGGCGCCTTTCGCGTTGTTGGATGTTCGAAGAACGAGTGCAGTTGCATGTTCAAGAAAGTTGCAGCAGAGAAGCGCGCGAGAGTTGGAAGGTTATTTATGCGACGCGCTTCACGTGTTCTCAATTAAGCTTTCCACTAGTGATTTCGACAGGGGCACGCTTCGGGAATGGAACAACACATAATGCTATTATTCACGTCTAGCAATCGCAAAGCCGCGCGCTTTTCTTGCATCAAATAACAAACCCTCGACTCTACTATTGCACCCACTACCACCCTGACAACATATCTCACTTCATACAAAGCATGGACTCCCCCCATCCTGGACCCCAGAAGGTCACCATCTTCTTCTCATCTCGAAACTCAACGCATCTCGAAAACGACCGGAGCAGTTTCCGTTGCCACTGGTGCACAAGACAGCGACGGGGATATGGCATCACAGTAAGCAAAGTCTACAAGATCTGCGTAACTTGCCTCTCCGCTTCCATGGACCGACGACTCGCAAACGGCAACACCTGGGAGGAAGCTTGGGATCACGAGAATTTACCTCCACGGGCTCCGACGACGCGATTGAAGAGGAAGCCGAAGATGCTGTTTCGTGGGGATTCTGGGGAATATAAGGTGGCGGTCGAGACGGAGGCGTACGTCCCTCCCCACCAAGAGCGGGACGTTGCTGGAACGGGGAGCCTCAGTGAGCTCGAACGGAACGCGAGATTGGTTCGATGGCTGTATGAAGATGGAGACGAAGATGATGGACGATCCGGCGAGGCGCGATTGGGACTTACGGCGTAGGCGGGCTTTCAGGAGGCGATGCATGACAAAGTGGACAGCATCGGCAGCGGCTTTGACCCGCCCTTAGAGATGCAGAGATGATAGTCGGGCAAGACGTGGAGGGTAGAAGTTGCTGATGCGCGCAATGCTTGACGCAATCCTCTAGAATAGAGAAGCAGGATCGAAAGGAGACGATTAGCAGTGGAGTAGCCGTTGGATAGAACACTTCGACTGAATGCAAGTGTAATCCATTACAATTCCTGGTGTGTCTACTGCAAATCAAACGCCCTTGCATTTTCCCCTTACCTGTTCTCAGCATCTTGTGTGTTGCTTGCGGTGTAATTACCCTGAAGTGTCTTCTTTCCCGGCGCCTCAGGGAACGTCGTATCGTATCATTGTGAGCCATTTCTCGACCTTTCAAGAGACTATGTCTGAACTTGGACTCGGCATGGCTAGGCAGACCGCCAATGACCTCTTGGCTAGGAGGTCAAGCCAGCTCTGGAACTCGATGGTCGTGTGCTCAGCGTTGAACTTCTGCAACATTTCAGAGCCCGTGTCTTTCCACTCATCTCCTATCCAAAAGAAACTTTGATGCTGAGCCGCCTGAACCGGCCGCACTACCGCAGGTTTCATTCGAGTGCGTCAGAGGTGTAGTCTACTGTGGCATGTCGTCCCTGTAGAGTTTCTCGTCTCTTAGTACGGTAATCTCCATCTCTATTCTGCTGAGGAAGCGATCGAAGGGCAAGTGACTCTGGAAGTCTCTCAGTACGCAGGTAGTAGACGCATTGGTCGGTGATACAACTGATCCCGCCGCTACGACGTTTCCGCTTGCGATCGTACACATCAGCTGTGACAACGACCTCAATCAGCGCAGCATGCTACAGAGAACGTCTTGCGTCGCGATGCTCCTTTGTAGACATTTTGCTGCCCTCGAGAGTATACCGCGTATCATACCACCTATCCTGGAGCCGAAGCATCCTGCCATAGAAGAATGTAGCCATGGCCTCCTCCAATGTGTCAGTCCCCCAATGTATCAGGTTCGCCGGTGCTATCGACCTACGGTCTACCTCACGCAGCTATCTGTTGACTTGAAAGACGCCTAGATGCGATTTTAGAAGGGTCCATACGTTGCCAGGGGTCATCGGGGCCTTTTCGCAAGCGTATGGGTCGAGTATCGCAAGCTCGACGATCTTGTTGTGGACCTGGGCGGTCAATCCACAGAGCGTTAAGCCATCTTGTGTAGGAGCTGCAATCGTGCATCGTTCCAGCGATGTGTCGAGAGCTTCTTGATGATTGAGTGAAGAGAAGTAGCTCTTCATGACTTTGTCAATTAGCTTGGAATGAGCACTCGACGCGGCCAAGACTTGCATGAGTTCGCTGTACTCGCATGCAGGACTTCGTGAGAAAGGCGATGTCATGATCTGCAGGACGAGTGACAAAGAAAGACGTGACGTCTCAGAGTAGAAGCCTGCTACACGCCAATGAAGCAGATATGACCATCAGGACGGTGGGGTCGATACTTTGCTGGGTATGTCTTCCAGAGGGCTACCATCCGAGGGAAACAGGTTGTTGGAAGACACAGTAGAATCCTCATTCACACTCGCACTTTGCTCCACTCCCTCCGGATATGGCGAAAGCCACTGTTGTAGCGGCATGTTCAGAGTTTCCCAGCCGTAGCAGCCGCTCATCGACATGGCGATCTCTCCAGCATTGGTGTTCATCTCGGCAATATCCTCGGCCTAATGGCGGTTCACCTGGAGGAGACCTTTCAGGTGGTGCTGGAAGATGATCTGAACATCGTTAACTTTGAGATTGACCCGAATGCTGCAAATGGCGTCGTCGAGGACCCGGAGCCCAATGATTTGGTTTTCGAGCTCTGTGCTAAGTCCGTAGAGTAGTGCTGAGGGGCGCAGTGATGTATCCTTTCTTTTGTTGGATGCTGTTTAGCATTCGCGTGCTCAAGGTAGATGTCTGGTATACTACGTCGATTTAGGGATACTTCGGCAAGGTTGAGGGTGATGATTAGTAGCCGAAGCGTTTTGGGTCAGCTGTGGCGAATGGAGTGTACTAAATTGTAGGTTGTAGATAGAAGCATACGGCGGCGAAGAGGTATTTGTGGGCTGTGCCGAGGTAGCGGCGCTGCTACTACTCTCCTGTGCTCGAGTTTACTTCGAAGCTGACTTTCTTGACCCAGTCGGACCACCGATGTAATTTCGCATAGTGTTCCGAGGTGGATATTGCGCAGGTCAGAGCAACTGTAGATGTACGTATGGAAGAAGACTTGTAGAAGGAGTCTCCTCAATACGGAAAGCTTCTCCCTGCCTGTCTTGCCATCTTGCACAACACAGAAAACATCTTCGCGCAGAGCGATTCATCTTCTTGTTTACCCTCTGACTCCCAAGCAGATCTCCATTTGTTAGGCCCACAGCTCTTGCATAGCGGCATGAGAGCAAACGCATCCAGGATACAGTAGTCCAACGCTGCTCAATCAGTTACAGCCCGAGTCCCAAGCTCCTATACCATGAAGTCCCTGACCGCCTCTATTAGCTTCTGGCAGGAGGAAACTGCATGTAGAATACGTGCTGCTCGCTATGCGGCTCTTTCGAAGCACAGTTGCGGCCGACTATCTTGCCGTCTCGATGGCAGATGTAAGGAGGCAAAATCGTGCATAGCGCTTGCGGAGCAGTGGGTTGCTCTGCGTACCACTCGGTCCGGGTAGGTTCATTACAAGCGATGATGACTTGACGCGAATCAATGCGTACAGGGATCCGTCCTTCGATGTTACAGCTTCAGTCTTCGTCGAGGCCGAAGCTGAAGCCAGGCAGGCCGCTAATTCCGCGTACCGCGTGCGAAGAGGCGGCAGCCTGTAACGTCAGAAACATCGGCGCGCGTATGGGCGAAGATATTGAAGCGCCAGCGACCAGTGGAGGGATCGAGCTCTCGTTTCAGCGGTCGGTGTCGATGCGCAAATGGTCGGAGGCGCCACCGTGGACGTCGAGAGGGAACATCACACAGAACTAAGAGGACGCGAAAGAAGGTGGAGTTGATGCCCCTGTGCCGCGACGACTCGGATTCAATCTATGCCGAAGTAGTTGTGTTACACCATCTCTGGGAGAGTGGATAGTTCGCGTGTCGCTTCGTGGCTGTCAGAATCGTTCTTGAGCTCGACGACCTCGGCCGACGGGGCCACGGCGGTGGACGAGGTATGTGGCTGCTGTTCAAACTTCACGCCGAACGGCAGTTCTAGACCCGCAGCTTGCGCCTCGCAGGGATGTAACAGCCGCGAGGCCGGTCATGGTCGCGTTCGACAGTTTGAAAGTGCTGGACGCAATCGATTCCTTGTCCTTGACTCCTTGAGTCCCTGAATGATAGTCTGGAGCCCCTTCTCCAGCATGCTTCACAGCAACGCGTCCTGGTGTCGACTTGCGCGCTATGAAGTCAAGCGGCGCGGCTCAGCATGACGACTGCCACCGAGCTGTGCTTCACTCCCCCATGATGACCAGATAGGTTTCAGTCCCGTGCCGTGGCGTGCCACACTGCCATACTGCGAGAGTCTTGTCGGCAGCCGAGTCCGTAGCCGAGTTTCTCTTTCCTCTCTTGCCTCCAGTCATGTTGTGGAAATTGGAATGATGTTGCACCGATGAGTTCTGCGGCCTGCCGAGTACTGAGAATGAAGCCCTTGAACTGCAGTGTGTCTTGCCCAGTGCGGTGTCGCGTTTCCCAACTCGATCTCACAGACGGTAGTGCTCTTGAGCCCGGGCGAAGGCCGAGGTTGTTCGTGCCCTCGGCGGAGTCGGGAGGTCGTACGGTGAACAGAAGCGTGTGAGGCCCAGGTAAAGGAAGAGATACCGCGCGGCGGAACAAAGCTCGAGTATACGGCTTAGGCGTGAGGTTCTGCTGTCGAGTTGGTATTTCAGCGTGGCTGCGCGGTCAAGACGAAAGTGGTCGAAGATCATACCAGTCTAGTGCGCGGCGTGCGGGTCGAGAAGTAATAGATTGCTGTCAGCGCGCTGTTGTCGTCTGACTCTGTATGCGCCGAGAAAGACGGAGTGCAGTACCTCGACTGAGTAACTCCAAGTTGAAGTGGCTTTGATGCGTGGGCGCGCCCAGAACGTCGCCGGCGAGTCTGCCACAACGGAAGCATCCGCTCTTAGCTTAGTTACTTAGGTAACATGTGAAGCTACCCTCCAATATCAGCAGAACACAGGTCTCCTGGCCTAGTGGTAAAACCTCAGCAAGGTAAGTACAAATTTTCTTTCAGTGCGCAGCGTGGCAAAAGGTACAGTATCGGGTTTGGCAACCCGCAAATTCCGGACTGGCAATCCGAAGATCTTTTTTTTTGGTAATTACTTCTAGTACTTGCTTTTTGTGATCTCGTCGATGAGTAATGTGAGTGCAAGTTTTGGTGCTCGAAGCGCTTGCTCATGCCGCCATGCGCTTTGCTTTTGAACTTGGAATACGTTGAAAAGAAAATGATACCCATGGTACGGCATCTCAGTTTGGTCTCTCAGTATTTTTAGCGGCTTCGGAAGAGTCGTTATGTCTCTCGTCATTGGATCACAAGTGCTTCATCTCTTCTTCTGTTGCTGCCCCTTTCCCAATTTCCACGCGACGGACTTCGAAGATCAATAGATATCATCCGGCTGTTAGCTAGGAGTAGTCCTTGATAGGCGGCGATCATACCGTCAGCTCTGTACAAGAAAGCCAGGTGCACAAAGATACCAACGGAATGAAGCATAAGAGCTTTCACCGCCACCAGCCAAAACCAAGACGCCTTCCATCATGCTTCCAGTCTTGATCTCAGAGAAAGCTGGATCAAATGGAGACTTCGCAAAATGCTGAATCTAGCTTTGCCGAGAGGGGGCGGATCGGTGTACTTGCTGAGCATTCACAATGGCAATGAAGATAGCATTGATCAACGTCTGGATCCTGGCCAACGTCTGGATTCTGGCCTTGAGGAGCATGGTTTGTCACCGTGATGTAAGTGAAGATGGCGACACTACTTGTTGCAGGATTTGAACTTCGTCTTCAGATCATATCAACGTTAGGCCGCCACCAATTGCAGTCTTCGAATCACCTCCCAGGGTGGAAGGTATGGTAGATATGAAACCACGCAGAGACTATGGCAAAGGCTGCACATTACAATGGACTCCACCGGTGAGAAGTATATATCACGGTGCGTAGAGAGGAGCACATTGATCGAGGATCAATCCTCTAGAGTCTAGCCATTGGTTGTTCAGCATAAGAATTCTTGTCGCTTCTTGATTCTGTGTTATGCACCGTCGGGAAGCCCCCTATTCCTTCCTAGAAAAGTGGATTGAATATGCTACAAGAGCCATGCTACTCTGGCTGTTGCCCATGTCCTCCTCTTTCGTAACCTCATGGTTCAGAACACCTTACGTACCTTCCCTGTAGTCATTTGTCGCAGGTCCTGGCTGCGGCGGATGGCAGAACAGCGCACTGACGGATGTAAACGATAGAGGAGAGGCCTTGTCACGTAGCTGTAACACATGGGATTGCAGGCTCAATCAGCGTTGAGACTCTTAAGACGTTGTAAATGAGATGCTCGAGGACGGAGCCTGTCGATCTTTGACAGCAACGACATCTTGGGGCTATCGTTGGAGTGCATCCTCGTTCATTGAAAGCATTCGACTGGATATTATGGCAGGGATCCACTGGTGCAGTTCTCGCCACTGAATATATTCGGCGATCGAATCACCTGTCTGGCGACCATGCCTTCTCAGACTCTGAGCCAATCGAGAGTCCAATTCGAGCGTCGTTCCAGCCCACGCGCTCACCCTTCGTCTCATGTCCCCTCTCCCTAATTACTAGTATACTGCCAGTCTTGCCTGCCATTGCCTCCATTCAGCTTGAGCACCATCTGTAGTAAGACTATTAGTAGCGCCCACAACCTGCTAATACTGGGTGCTCATCCGTTTCTGTCTATCCACCTATCCATCCTCTCTGGTACCGTGTAGTGATGTCTGCTGGTGGTCTTGGATGTAATCTTGCTCAAGGCGTGCATGCTTGGTGGTGCCATCTCTTCGTATTGCGCATCATTGGGGATCTCGTAGGCGCCTGCATCGGTTGCTTTTCGTTCCAAAAAGGTTGGTGACCTCACAGATGTTTGTGTAGATCTTGTGGCGTGTTTTGGCTCGTCTTGCAGTCCTTTGCGGGTCTGACTTGGTACTTTTCAGTTTTCGTGCCGTCCAGCAAGAGGCTTCATATCCTGTCCCAGTGCTTTCGCGGCAGGAGGAGCATGACTATCCTGGAAACTACACGTCATTCGAATTTGTTACAGGTGGGATCATACTGTTCTTCTTGTGACTTGAGACCCAGTCAACCCGCCGAGACCATCCGTGTCGTGCGCCGGTGCTGACATGGATGTATTGGCTCATTTGATTGCTTCATGTACGATACGAGCTATTTAATGTTGTTCGAGCAGGCCGTAATGTTGAACGTTAAGCGAGAAGAATTCAGTCGCGAATTGGGAATTGAAGTGCGGAAAGCGCCGAGCACGGCACGTGGCATTTGCGCTAAAATCGGGCCGCTCCAGTGAGGTAGAGGACGTGCATCTGGTCGATCTAAAACGACAGATCTTCATCACAACAGCAAGGTTCCACGAAGGGAGGTAACAACATTTGAATGGGTCAACCAAGTTCCCCGATCATCGAACCGCATCATCGAAGGGATGTAAATAAGGCGATGAAAGAGCGTTGAACAGAGCAGTACGTCATTGACGCGATTCAGGCCCTCCTGCTAATGAAAGACTAGGCAAGTATTGATGCAAGATCTCGTGCTTTTCGCTGCTTGGCGCCTCCGAAAGTAGGTTCAGGAAATAGAGTCTGAGATTCCAGAATCGCTTTTTCTTTATCGATACAGAGACAAAACATAGTAATCTCACAGGATATTTCTTCACATACTATCGAGTTTGTGCAGCATCCCGTGAGTCAACAACTGGAATTGATGGGACGCTACTCTCGCAGCTACTTCAGCTTCGCGGAGGCTCTGTACTATGCCCTCTTGCACAGTGCATTGGACGGGTTCACACCGCACAACCGTCCGCCTGCCCCTGGAGGACCCTTTAGTGAGACACTGCGTATGCCACCTTTGTGCACGAAAAGCTCTTCGGCAGACAGAGGAGGTGGTGAGATGTAGAGCTCGACGCGGCAATCGTTCGGTCGGAGCTTTTGGATCTATGGAGCAACCATGTTTCTGTAGTTCTTGATTCCAAGACATCAGGAAATGATGTTGCCAGTTTCTCTATTAGTCACTCACGCACTAACATTTGATTTGGGTGTGACGGTCCTTGCAACCTCGGCTGCAGTAGGTACGTGGATCTTGAGATCGTCTAATCCGAGAATCGGTGCTCATTACGAGACTTCATTTCCGTACTATCCGTAGAGAGGCTCGATTTCGAAAGAGAGTCCGATGTTTAAGTGTGCGAGTATCTTTAATCACAGCCTAGATCGAGTGCATTTCAAATCGGAGAGCGCACCGCACTGTGCTTGTTTGTACACAACGGAGTACAAGTCAGCCAGCCTGATCAGGCATATTAGGCTATTTGCATCGACTGTGTCATACCTACCAATCGAGCCCTTGTAATGTCCGTTCTCGGTCAACAAACTCGAAGTCACAGAGGTGAACTCAAGAAAGATCGTGCGCACAATCTACGATTCCGGGAACGGAAGGGCTTCGCATTCTTCTTCCTGCCACCGGTAGCTCTGGTGTATTCCATGCCGAGGGACCTTCGACAAGGATGCGGTTGGGGCAGACGAACTCTCACAGGGTCTGGTTTCGCCCCCGAGGATGGTCCAGTCGAACGAAGAAGCCTGCACAGAACTCTATCGATCGTGTCTCTCTTGTTCGCGATGAAGTTGCGTGTTCCATGCTCTGCCTCTCGTTTGGTCACGAGAATCGATAGCCTGAGCATTGCTCTTTTATGTTCTTTTCCTTAAGTGTTTGAGGCTCTTAGCTCATCTCATTGAATGCAAGGTCCGATGTCATATCCGATACGCGACAAGCTGTCGCCCAAAACCAACAGTCTTGTGCACGGTTGAGTAGAAGCAGACGTTATGCGCGCTTGTCGCTATCAATGATGATGTCGCGGTCTCGACATTTGCCGGCGACCGAGGCAAAATGCTTTCAGAGTCGTCCAAGAATAGAATCACGGCATGAGGTTCAACGAGCAAATCGAATGAGATCCCTGATTCTCCACGTTCCAGAAAACTCTGTTTGAACGACGCCCGACCATCCGACCGGCGGACGAGAGAACGGCAGCATTGGACAGGCAGAACATCAGATAGTATTTTCTTAGCGCCCGCAACTGCATCGAGATTGTCAGAGTAAGGAAAACTTTCGCGCGGGACCTCAAATGGCATCCATGTCGCCAGTGTCATAGAGCACTTTTTGCACCAAAATAGCAACATCGGCGAGTCGACATCACAAGAACATGTCTTAGCCGAGGAAATCGCGAGCGGGGTGGTGGAGGCATGATGCGGGTTCCAGACTACGAGACGTAGATAGAACACACAGTGACTACCGAAGCGGCCGTAGAGGTATAAAGTAGTCGGTGGAGTCCACCTATAAGGTCTTGAGGTACTTCAATCTGACCACATTGGACTCGCTGCCGCAATGCTTGTCAATCAAATATACCCGGCGCTTGTTGTGCTGGCGCTTGCTCACATTGTGCACTCTGGGCCTATTCTTGAACATGATTCAGTACGACCATACCCGTGTCCTCACTTTCCTCGCCTGACATGACTTGATACAGACCGCAATGTTGAGAGCTCGTGACGACGAGAAGGCCCAGAATGCTCAGGCACCCAGTGCTCCCCAGTCTCCCAATGCGCAAGAGCTCCAGGCATTCTGGCAGTCGCAGGCCCAGGACATGGCAAAAGCCGGAAAGAGCGCTCCTACTGCGCAGCAAATCCAGGCCATGGAAGAACAGCAGCAAGCCGAAGCCGCGAAACAAGGCCAGCAAGCTCCAACGGCCGACCAATTGGAAGCTGCTCAGCAGAAAGCTCAGCAACAGACCGCCAGCGAGGCGCAACAGCAGGATGCCTCGAAACAAGCTGGTCAAGTCAAAGGAGCCGCGCAAGATCTTCCATTCGGGATTGGCGATATCTTTGGCGGAAAATTCGGAGGAAGCAGTCTCGCCGACATCATCAAAGCTGCCTATCCGAAAGGTGTCTCCTCATCATCGTCATCGTCATCATCAACTTGTCCTCCATGGTTCCCGTTCTGCCCGAAGTCAAGCTCGTCGTCTACCTGTCCTGCCTATCTTCCATCATGGTACTGCCCGAAGCCTGCATCGACGTCGACGTCCACGTGTCCTGACTGGCTACCTGCTTGGTTCTGTCCGAAGCCTGCAGCGAAAAGCATTTACGGTTACGACTGTCCGGATACCATGCCGTCCTGTTCTTGTAAGTGCAAACAAACTTCCACGTATACATGTGGCCGTGTCACCGTCACGCTGCTAACTCTTCCGACTAGCTTGCTATGGAGGCTATAATGGAGAGAAGAATGTCTGCTTTGTAAGTTGCGGGCGGCGCTATATGCCAACCAAGCTTATGCTAACTGTTGTTAGTGGTATTGGATTGCTGGCTGCGAGTGTAAAGCGGATTAGAGCTACGACGATGATTAGTCCAATGATTCATAGAACATTCGTTAGGACACCCTGGTGATGAGTTCGAGATAGACCCTCCATGAGAGGATAAGAGCTTGAGAGCAACTACAGTCCTTCGCACTCGTTTGTCGCAAACTTGCTCTACCCGAACCATCGCTGGCGTCTCTCCCTTGCTTCTTCACTTCTCCATCCATGTTTCTCAAATGGTAAGTCTTGCTCCCCCATCCAGAGGCTGTAGTGACATGTGAAGCGTCTCTATTCAGCTTCCGGAAGAATGAGTTGTCTTGGCAATTGAATACGGCAGCGAAGGGATAGCTATTGGTGGAAGCAGGCTCAAGACGAACGAATAAGCCGTAGACCTGGCACAGGAAGCTCTGCCACGGTCGATATATGACTACTCTCAAACGAATGTCGATCCTGCCGGAAACCCATGAGATTGAGCAGAGGAAAAGAGGGCCAAATGCATGAAAGCATTCCGGAATTTTCGAGGTGGCTCCCGTGGTGAATCTACGGCAGGCCGAGAAGACTTTGCAATAGTATCAGCTAATAACATGGGCAGTTCAGTGCCCCGAGTCGGTTCCCCTCGTATAGCACAGCACAAATTGCACTCCAGACTAGATGTTTGGATCTATCAGTAGCAGAGCTCTTAGCTCTACAACGTAAGGACGGACGAAGATGACATAGGGGTCGAGACACAACCAGGAAAGTAATGAAGGGCATAGCAATGAAATTTGGCATTCTACTACACGAATATGATACGGGAACGCTCCGCCATGGCACTTCCTACCCAACCTACAGAAAGCTTTCGTTCCTTCAACACAACTACGTTCTGCCGCACCAACCCTGACGTCGTGGGCGAGGGAGGCTCCCGAGGCATATGCTTGCGAATGCGAACCTCTAGATGCTCCATGTACAGTGCTCAAGCGTTCTCCATATCTTCGTCCAGATTGTCTGCGGCTGGCGCGATTTTGACCATGGTGCGATGCATGCAATCTATCTCAAATGTGGCCGAGGGTGTGCTTTGCTGAAGCCGCGGTCTGACGAGAAGCCAGTTCATAAACTGTCGACGGACTTGGTGATCTTGGAGTATCCTGCACATGACCAGTTCTTCGAAGTTAATTTTTAGTTCCTGCAAAGCTCCCCTGTGGTTATGTTGTAAGGCAACCCAGGCGAAGTCCTGGAAGGGTTCTCCTTCGACGGGTGGAGCAGGAGTCGTGTAGCGTATTATGACTCTCCCATTGAGCCCAAGACTGTTGTTCATCGCTGATGCTATTTGCTCCCACTGCACACAACCATTGACGCCGTAAGGAACCCCTTGCACGAGGAAGGCAAAGAGATCTGCCCAAGAGATCAGAAGCATGCCATAGATCCCAGGCGGCTCATTTAAGTTGGAGGGAGGCGGCCGTAGAATCGCATTATTGTCCGGTTCTTCGTCAAGTATCTGCTCCGTGCGTCTGCGAGCATCGATGTATGTTCCGTCGTAGCTGTCTGGGGGCAGATTGTGTTCTCTCGACAGAATGTACTCCATCCAGTGCGCAGTGAAGGTTTGCTCGTCTTCCACACAGTGCTGAATCTCTTCGTTTGCAAAGAGGTTGTATCCAAACATGCGATCCCACGGCCTCTTGCATTCGGTCTCTGTAACACGACTGCCCATCATCTTGTATGTGAGATCGATCTCCACATGGCTGAGATCGGTGGTAAGATATCCTCTCAGCCAACCAGCCGTCTTATTTCGGTCCCAATAGCCATTAACATGTTCTGCGAACCGTTTCCAAGACAAACTGAGGGTCCAAGAGTCCTGTGCTTCTCTGCATACAGTCACGTTTTTGTTGTCAGGCACTTTGTCGACCCACATCCCTTCTTCTTCCTCACCTTCCTGAATGAAACACAGTGCTTCAGAAAGTCTTGTGCCGGTGTTGAACATCGTATCCAGTAACCGATAAATGCGATCTTTGTGCTCCGGCTTGACATTAGCATCGAAATCAACCTTTCTTACCCTGGCGGGCTCGCGGACCGCGGGCAAGTAGAACTCCAAACGAACTTCACCGGGAATGTTGAAGCCCAAGTCTGGCCAGACGTTGTCCCCAACAAAGTCTGTCCATTGCTCATTCTTGTGCGTCCATCGCTCCAGATACCGGTAAAAGCTTTGAAGACTTATCTCCATCGCAAATGACTTATCGTCTCCTGGGTAAGAGCCGGACATCACGGTAACGAACCCTCGTTCAGGAATCAGGAATTCGTGGAAAGGCTGCATCTTGTCGTAAGCAACCTGCAAACCAGGTACTCTTACCCAGTCGTCCATTTCTATGGCCTGTTGCCCCTGTCGACGGGTGATGTGCGCTGTTATCTGATAGAACACGTCCGTCCAGTGACGCTTACGGTATAACAGGAATGGCCACGTCGTCTCCTGAAACACGTTGATGAGGTTTGTGATCGAGTCGGCATCGGGGTGCTGGATGACGACGCTTCGTAGTTGTTCATCATCGCTAACTCGAACCACGATACGACCTTCCAGATCCATGTTGTCCCGCACCCATCTTGGAATTCGGGAGTATGGTTTGACAAACCTGCCAATGGCCTCGGCAACACAGGCGTGAAAGCGCTCCCAAGACGTTATAATCTCGTCGTAAACACTAGACCCATCTTCCACGGTCACAAAGTGCGTTGTGGGATTCAGCAGATCCTCAGCATTGTGCTGTTTGACTGTGTAGACGATTGGTCGGTCGTCTTTCATCACGGCGACTGCCTTTCGACGAGTAGCGCGATGTACCTGATCAAGGGAGTTCGGATTTGGTACCCTATCTTGGTAGTCCGCATCCGGGTAGCTAGTGAGAAATTGCAAGAATTCCTGTCTGCGATAGCCACGCGCGAGAAGGTCGTCCAGCAGAAGGAAATCCAGATCTTCATTGTCCGCGTCAACGTCAACAAGATCGCCATCGTCCAGTACTGAGCCGGTCTCCGGGTCAGCATCGAACAACCATCTCACTCGACGCACGTCTCGCTGCCCAGCGAATACCCACAGTGGCACCGGCTCGTCCTTTGATTCGAGCCATTCTGCCAGAAGTTGACATAGTCGTGCTAGATGCAGTGTCGCATCACTCATATCTAGGAAGCCGGAAGCGATACTTCGATGATGGAGCCATATGGGACGAATGGCTTCGTCGTCCTCGACGTTGATCTCCGGCCAGATCTGCGGCACAAATGCCGAAAAGGTTGCGTTGGCGCTGTCGGCGGGTCCCCAGCGCGGACATTCAGATCCTGGGTCCCAGTGTCCTGAATCTTCCCCGGCCTCAGCACCGCATAGGTAGCAGAATTCTGTCTTACAGAGTCCACAGCTATCGGGGCGCTGAAGTTACCCTCGATACCTCGTTGTCTTATTTCTCACCTACCGCATATGGTTACACTGCGATTCCAACTCTATCTCCGTCCTACAACTCGGATTCGGACACTCCTGATAATCTCGTCCAGCTTTCAATCCTTCAATCGCCCCCTTGCCATGCTGCTCGCCAAGCCAGGCCCTCTTGCAGATGCCAGACTTCCAGTGCTGTTCGTCAAAAGTCTTCTCGTTGTCGTAGCAAGGCTCCCCGCATAGGTTGCAAACTTGCCCGTGACAGCGATTGCATTCGAGTAAAGATGCGCTGGCACCGTCATGTAACTCACCATGTTCGTCGTTGTCGAAGAGGTAGCTACAGAAGTCGAAACTGGCCTCCGGTTGCTTCTGCTCCTCCACAGAGAGATGCTGCACATCCGGCTCATAGGATGAGAACTCGCTGGGCGTCTTATGCATGCCTGTAGATCATTAGCAACTCCATAGACCTTTCGAATAAGAAAGATGCGCGTACAATACTTTCTCTTCACTTTCGCGATTCGAACGAGCTTTTCCTTTTCCACCTGCTTGTACCGATACTTCTGTACGAGCTCCTTGCTTGCGAAAGGTACGATTGCCTCGAGAGATATCTCTTGACCCGTCAGAGTGGCAGGGAACTCGGCATCATTCTTCAATGCAGCCTCGAAAAGTGAGACCACCTCTGTCCTGGAACAATCGTGGCAAAAGATATAGGTGTCGTGGTGTAGGGGGTTTGTGTCTGTTGACGGCTCGCAGCAGTTTCCACACACGAAAGGCTCCCCCATTGCGCCGTTCTGTCTTACGCTACTGTGTTCGAGTCGCGGGTTGTCATTGATAGGACCATAGATATGGAATAGAATAGCAAGGCTTATGGCCATTGTCTGAGGATCCGCATTGTTGTCGTCGCCGGATGAGGAAGCCATGGCCAATCTCAGCGAACAAAGAACTTAGGCGTTGGTGGGTGCGCCTTCTTGGTTACGCGAACGATCGACCTTTGGTCGAGTGACTCCGCAGCTATTGTTTGTCGAAGTGAGCGCGATTTAGAGTTTACCTTCGTTTGCATGTGAAGCAAGCTAAGCCGCATTGGGTCGAGTCTGCCGCCTTGCAGCAGCACGAATTCTTACTGGCAGGTCATCCCACGTTTTAATCTCATCATTGAAGCTCTTAAGGTCTTATTCTGGAGACGTCGGTTCTCACAGCTGTGCCCGGGGCACCAACCCACGCGAACGCACGCATGAAATCCTCGAATTCGCGGTAGGAGATTGACTCGAATGTGGGCAGATTCAACATTCGCGCGCAGACATTGATCGCCGTTCTGGACACACCTCATGAGCAATTCCATACAAATGACCTTAATGGACGTCGGCGGAGAGTGCGCACCCACGAAAGCTTTGGCGGACAGAGGAAGAGCGAGCTACTGGAGACCCGCCAAGAGTAAGCGAGTCTGTGGGGCGATAATCGCATTCGGTCACGGATGATTCTGGTAGAAAGAACAAAGAATATATGGCTAGAGACCAGAAACGGCGAATGGATGGAGTCTTGTAGATGAAATTGGTCTTCAAGACAAAAACAAAGAAGCTGCAATTGTCCAGAATCGTGTCGGACAGGCGAGCATCAGCGAGCGAACGGTCAATGGTACTCCAGGAAGCAAGCTCGGGTGAGCAGCCTCCATTGCAGTGATACGGATCGTGCGCCGAGTCCATCAACGAAGACAACCCGTACGTGGCCGACGACTATGTTGGACGCCAAGATCTTTGGAAACTTTCTTCGCGCACATGTCTGAGCAAATGCTAGAACATGACCACAAAGATCATGTTCAATCGGTCAGAGAGGTCATGAACATGGACACCCTTGCGTCCTGCATCAGCAAGGACTTCGCGAAGGAGTGTCGGTCGGAGCACAAGCAATTGGGCACCACTCAGTGATAGGGGCGTCTTTGTGAACGAACATGACAGCTGTCTCAAGGTAAGTCACACCATTGATGCGCTCCGTGCCGTCACAACATCAAATTACAGAGAATGCACCGAGATGGATCATCCAGTCTATCTTCTCCCAGAAGACTATCACATGCCTTCGAAGGACTGCGGAAGGCTTCCTGGCCCTGAATCTCTCTCTTGCTTGAATCTAATGCTCTCCTTCGACGTCTCCAACGCAATCGTTGTTCCGTCCGGTCGTGCAGCTGATGTGCTATGCCAGCATACGACGGAGAGCGCGTGTACTCGGCGAGGTTGATCCCAACAACATGGTACGGACGGTGGGGATGTTGTCAAGCGTGGGAGAGACTATCAGGTCTGCCCCAACCCGGATTACCTCCTTCGACTCGGGCTGGCTGTCGGGTGTAGTCACCTGCTGTGTGTCTGGCATCTCATATCATGGAACCCCTGTTTCCGAGCAACGGTCTGAGGCTAATCCAACTTCGAACTGCGGCTGTGGCAATTGTCAGACGGACTTTGGCTGCATTTGTGGCGAAGCAGCGGCGAGCGACTGTGACCACTGGCGCCAGCGCAGAGGTAGCTGTCGACGATTCGAACAACCAGACGATATTCAACCCTGAGGTTGTAGATTTTCTCCGACGTTGACAGTCCTGATTGTATGTTTAGGGCCTGTCCAGAACTTGCAGCGAACGACGATCTCTATAAGGTTATGCTATGTACTGGAACCTCCCGCAACACCGCAGGCCACAGATGTACATCTTCACGGCATACAGCCTTCTGGTTCAGTTCTCGGCGTAGAAACTAGTGTAGCTGACCTAGAAGATGGAAGCCCCAGAATGACGACTGGGGGGCTGAGAGTCTCACTTCTTTTTTGGCTTGGGGACCGATCAAGCGCTGCGAATTTGTATTTCATTCTTACACGACTTGAACACGGACGACGGCAGCTTTTTGACCGCTCGATTGACTATGTACAACGATCTGACCTTGACCTAGAGTTCTTCACGTATCTCTTCGGAGCTGTCGCGCGACGAGGCACTCTTCCTTCGGTTTCTACAGCACGCCCGGACAAAGTCGAACCCTCCTCCGCTGTTGTGTAGTTCTATAGGCAAGAGTGGACACCGTTACCGAGCTGCGGACACTACGCTCCAGCATTCCGAGCAACAACAGCTGGAAAATCTCAAGGACATTCTCGTGAACACAAGATAGGAGTTCTCGCATTCGCACGGCAGAGGCATCGAAGAATTCGGTACAGTTCGTGGTAAGCAGCATCGAGTGCGTGAGATACTGATCTATTCAGTGAGAAGGCTAGAAGAGACGGAGGAGCCGAGCAACAAGATCTCCCCACCGCTGATGTTGTAGTCATCTTTCGTCCTAACGATTCTGGAGACATCCTGACTGATGGCCTTGAAACAGGACAGGTTCTCTGTGGACAGGATGACAGTGCGATCAAAGTCCCCGACGATATGCTGGAGGGCGACTCCTGGTCCAGTTCTGAAGGTCTGACGTTGATAGTACCACATGTAGTTGACTTTGTCCTTCACGACCCCAGGAACGAGGTCGTGGATCCAGACCGAGTGGGTCTGCCGCGACTCTGAGATCATCTCAGTATTGCGCCGCAATAGTTGAGAATACAGCTGTGTAGTTTGAGTTGTATGATGATCTTCAACGTGAATTCGCTTCAATCCCGTGAGTGAGCGTGAAGTATAATGCGTCACGTGGTGCCAAGACGCACGTGCCTCGCCTGGCGAGATCTCGCCAGATTCTCAGACTCTTTTCAGAAATTCATCTCCACAACAACATCCCAAACACCTTCTCAGTTCCACAACCCTCGATCAAGTCGCAGAGATGCCTCTCCCAGAATTTTCCGACGAGCTCGTCCTGATGATAGCCCGCGCCGCCGTGCCGTCCGTCCTGTTGGCGAAAGCCATCCACCGCCCAGGAGGCGGAAAGGCCGACAAGATCATCGCGGTGAACGGCGGTGACTTCCAGGTCGCCATCGCTTTCCTCTCCTTCTCCTTCTCGCACAGCGAGATTTTGCAGGAGGTGAGGAACTCCACCACCCTACGCATCGAATCTTGGCTCAACGGAGAGGAGGAGGGAGGTGATGAGCGAAAGCCAAACCTCCCTGTGGACACCTCCAGCTTCCTCCGCGCCATCGACAAATTCGAGGTGAGGGACATGGAGTTTACCGCTCTCCTGGCTCCCGGAGAAGAATACAGCAACGACTTCATCACCTACCTCCATCCATACATGAAGCACATCCTGCGGTACACCCTCGCCTTGGAGCGCGACGCAACAAGAGCCGACAAGGTCCTCCGCAAGAAGATTCTCGTCCACAGCTACCTCACGCCAGACTCGCGCGAGCTTTCTCCATGCCAATGGGTTCCCGGTGCTCTGTCCTCGCCCTGGCCCAGCTTCATTTGGGTCGTCAACTCCGCCTTGGACGTCGCGCAGATGATCGCAGACTACGGGGATAGCACCTTTGCCGACGCGTTTGGAGACATCTCCATCGCCCTGAGCAGGAGCGTCAACGAAAAGCTAGAACTGCTAAAGAAGATGGACATCATCTACGGACCTGAGCCCCCAAAGGACAAGATGCAGGAATGGAAGAGACCCTATACGGTCTCCGTGTGGTCGCAGATGCAGGGACTGATTCGCGAGCACGATTGGGTCAAGGTGCATGAGGAGGACATGACGAACACAAGCTTAGCTGAGAGGCGTCGGGAGAGGTACGGTGACGAAGATGAATGATCGCCACAGAAACGAAGAAGATTGGCGTGGAGGCGTAAGATAGACACACGTACGAAGCTTTGAAGGGCGTTCGAGCCTTCTTCACCACGACAGACGCACTCAACGTTGACAGAACGGACGATGGTGGCTCTCACAATGTGTACACCTTAAGGAAATATCGCCTGGAATCTTCGTCTGGATCTCTCGCAGAGCTGTTTTTCCTTCTCTCCGTCTTGACTGTAAGGTGATAGTCCTTGCATTGATCTCACTCCTTCTCAGTTAGTACGCTCGATTGTCTCGAAGTGCCTTCCCATAAATGCTTGTGTCTTGCAGTCTTCCATGTTCCAGCAAATCCGCGGTGGCCGCCTTGCAGTACCCGATACCAGGGTTATCGTGTCCTTCTCGCTTGTCTCACTCCTCACCCTCCTCTTTCTCTCGACAATGCACGTCACCAGTACCGAGCAGTGCCACGGAAAGGACTCATTTGGCATACCAAGGCTTCCAGCCTACACGAATTCGCCTACTCAGCCTGCTCTTATATAGTCTACTTCCCAGTCAACCGCGCGATGCATGGACACAATGCTCGACGTACCTGCGAACAGCTTGACCCTTACTTTTTTCAGCGCTGAAACACAGTGTAAAGCCGTACACCAAGCTTCCGCTCTTCTACTGATATTCCTTGCTGCTCACTGCTGCCATGTTTCCTTTCGTTTGGCTGCTTAGGTGTACGGTCGCTTGCGTTCACGCGGGCATTGACGGAAGAGAGGAGGTCGGATCAAGGGCAGCAAAGTGTAGGCACTGTTGGTCGTATGGATTTTGGCTTGGGATGGCGCGCTGGCCGGAGGGCGTTTCGAGAGGTCCGACAATGTTGATTTTGCAGTCGACTGGTACGGTGGCCGTCGTTCTTTTGAATTCAGCGGGAGGATTTTGGTGTGCAGTGGCAAAACGCCCGGCGCTCCGCAGCCAGCACATATAACATATCTCTGTTTGACATCAGCGAGCTCCTCATGGTGCTCTCCTACGTAAGAAGAAGCTGCTGCCGAGATGGAGGAGGATTGGAAATGAAAGTTGCTCCAGCAGCAGCTGGACTCTGGGCGACCAGCACTCCAGGTGTCGAAAATGGTCAGTGGTCAGTTCGAGCGATTTCTCAACGAAGTTCGATGAGACGTTAGAAAAAGATGCTGCGCCATGAATGAAGGAGATGCGGCACTTCAATTTCAACTTTTTTTTTGCAAAGTAACGAAAGCATGTATTCGTGTATTGGCTACGCCGCCAGCAAAAAGTCTCGCAACAATACAGCAGCCACAGTAGTGACCATCACCATAGCAAAAATGAATTTCAAAAATTCAGCAAAACAATTCGCACCCCCGGACGGGTGCGCCTTGAACCCCCCAGTTGGAGAAGGGGATTTTTGTCGAGCCACTTGCCATTGCCATTGCCACTTACCGCGTCACGTTCACGATTGGGGAGGGGAGGACGTACCTTGATATTGGGGTTGTTCGGAGTTTGGCGCGATGCGCTATTCCACTCAGCCACGGGGGCGAGGGCTTGTGATATTGGAGGTAGGGGCATTATCGGGATATATAAAAGTCAAATAAATCCGGCGTATGTTCGGACTTGGCGAGAAGGCAGCGAGGCACGGAAACAGTTGGAGCACATTGGTATTGTTTCTTGCGGTTCACGCAAATTGCAATGCAAGACGATTGTCTCCATTCTCTACAAGTTACCCCTCCTTACGAGCTTCTAGGCATCACCCAAGCCAAGGTGAGATGTCTTTTCTCGAGCCATTGAGGACGCTCCATGTGGCGCGTCTTTCCCACCGTCTTAAGTCTCTACTGACTTTCAGCATCATGGGCAGTTTCACCTTTGAGATCATCAGGAGAGCGCGGAAGACGGGAGGATCTCCAAGAGAGGAGCACGATATGGACGCTGCAACGACGGTATTGGCGGTACTACTTGCGACCAAGGCTCACGTTGACACACAACATACCGGGGAATAAGTTCTCAAAGAGAGTAGCTACGTTTTTTGCTTATCTTGAAGCCAGCTGTCGATGCTTGTGCCTTGACCGAGGTAGAATTGCATTGTGGCTTCAAGCGCTGGGAGGAGGAGGTGTTGCTCGGCGACCGCGCTTCCACTTCATCGCTGCACCAACGCAGAAGACGGATTATCAAGCACTCACTTTGGCTCCTGGCCTGGGAGCTTCAATACCACAGCAATATCCAACGAGGGTGAGGCCCAGTTTCCGCTCCACCTGCAGCTCTGATTAGGCCTCCAGTCGAGTCGTCAATCTGAGATTCGGGAAAGACTGCGGTGACAACACGAGACCCATCTTCTCCAGCAGGACGAGAGCATCCAGCGGCGCAGCATTCATGGCCAGAAACATCAGCAGTCACTCTCCAGATGGAAATTTCTTCCCATACCAAGCAATCATGTCCCAAATGAGTACGCGCCTCTGGACACGCCCTCCCAGCTGCGGCAGCGCAATCCCGAACCCTTCCAAATTGCCGATCTCAACTTCAGATACTTCACATTTCTGCCACCGCGTCCAGCTCATCGATACTCGCCTCTCGTGAAAGTTCAACACCGATCACCTACTTAATGAGGAGGAGGCGACGGGCAAAAACGCAAGCTTATGGAGCAAGATGCCTCGACATGTCAGTCCTGATAGATCGACCGAAACTCTCCCACACAATACAGATAGATACTGTTCAGCGACGGCTACGCGACACTGCGAGCGCAAGTCAAAGAGTTGGCCGTGAGTGCGTTGGCTGGCGCCGCAGCCAGCATGCAAGATTGATGTGATTATCTTCACAGGCCCTTTCGACTGTGATCCGGAGAGGGAGTAATGTTGAGGCTCCATCTGGACCACTCCGGAATCGGAGTCCGGATACAAGATTTGAATACATTCAGTCATGCGGTCCGCGCATCTCACGTCCGGACAAGCTTCCCTCATGTGGCAAAGAACTAGGCATAGTGGGAGAACATAGGGCGGTCCGGCGGAACAGAAGATGTTGGCTTGCACGAGGACAAACGCATGGTCAGTGGAAATATGAGGAGGATCACAACATTCGGCAGACCTTTGACGACAACAGAGAGATACACACACTGGGCCTACTCCTTCTTCCAGACGGACGCGTTCCTAACAGCCTTGCCGTTGAACAGTGCGCCCAGCCACACCGAACCGTCAGCAAGCAAATCCAGCTGCCAGGTTGTCAGGCACTGGACGGTGAGGCAACATGGTTTGTGAGTATGTCGTGATGTGTGCTATTTGGCTAGCTCCTACAGAGATGTAGCCGCCGGCCAGCAGGCAGCCGGCCCTTCCCTGGCAGGCAGGCTGGCAGCTGCCGTTCCGTAACAACCTTCCCCCCTTCGAAAATGACCGCGGCCTCGCGGTCCGGTATAGTGCCTATTCCTGCAGCTGGCGGGCTGATGATGTGACGATGGGGTAAGAGGCCGTCATCCTGACGGGCCGATGCTGTCGGAATCACTGTAATCCGCGGGCGCGGCGACGCTTCTTGTGTGCCGGAGTGCTTGGTGGAGAGGCGACGTGTTTGCTGCACAGAGGGGCTTGTCGACGATCCGGGCTGCAGGCTGGCAGCTTTGGAGCCTGAAGCAGTGGGCTTCTTCTTGCCTGGCGGTGGCATCGAGTCCCCAGAGACAGATCCCTCAACCGATACCTCGCTCACCAGGGAGATGCACTTGCGCCGCACCGGGCAGACGGTGGGTCTTCGACTCAATCGTCCCTCGTCCTCCGTCGATATAGTAGCCCTGATGCTGCAGGAGCAAATGCTTGCTTACGGGACGCATGCGACTTAGATAACTAGCAACCGGGTCGCAGGACCTGACTTCGTAAGGCTCTGCCCTACGATTCGGCTGCGAATCTCCTACTAACATAATTGCAGGAGAATGCTACCACTCGCAGCTCGCTCTGGCACGCCTTATCCTCGCACCCGCAGTCGGTCCGCTAGTCCTTCTCGCGCTGCTGGCTCTCACACCCCGATGCGCGACCGCACTTCTTCTGCTCGCAAGGGCTCTGGCTCTCGTGGTGTGGACGTGCTGGGCCATTGCGTCGAAGGCACCAGCAGCGAAGTGGCCGACCTCCAGATGACCGCGAGCACTTTCCAATGCCATTCCGACCGCAGCATCGCACATCTTCGATCAATCAGGTCACGCATTCAGGTGGGACGTTGTTGTAGGAGGTGGAAGACTTGCTTCAGGACAGAGGTGGGAGGGGAGATAACACATTTGAAGTGAGAGGCAAAGATGGAATGCAACATCAACACACAGCGGAGCTCTCTGAAGTCGACGTAGACTATAGGACAGTCGAAACTCTCATGGCTTTGTTCATGCTCCTTGAATACAGTCGAAGACAACCCATTGTTCCTCTTCTCCTTCCGAAGCAAGGCAAAAGAGTTCTTCATTCCACGGTCCAACGTTTTGCTTCTGTCGGAAAGCGGTATTTCAAGCATGGTGATCATCGCTTGCGACACTGGGGCGGCCGCAACGACAAGTGTCCATCACGACTTCCAAATACAACGCCTAGTTCGCACTGGCAATACAACTTCTATCTACAAGCTTCATCGCTGCGGAGACTATATGCGCCTCATCGCCCCGGTAGAGAGATGTATCGAATGAACAAATTCGGACCCGCGTCATCCGCACGCCGTGACTTAATCGCATAGTCGATAGATTCCTCTAGCTGCAGTATTATACATCTATGAGCCGCTTCCCTGGCCAATGCAACAGCAGAACGAAGCCAGAGAGTCAGTGCACATCTATATACCAGGAATCCAGAACTAGAAAATGAGATTGCCTGCTGCGAGGGGTTAGCCAAGCATAGGTGCTGAACCAGCAGCAAGCACAGAAGTAGCTGGAAGCACGCCATGAAAGAGTACCTCTGCCATTGAAACGCTTGCGACAAGCAACACCCATGCGGAACTTCTCATACCGTGAACATTGCACGCGCAGGGAAGTTGACACTGTGGAGAGATTGGATACGATAACTGTTCTACCTAGTTCG